GGAAATTGAGCATGAAGAATATGATTTTATGGGACTATAACAACCGGTCCGATGAAATAATTCAAGGTGCAAAAGATTGGAATGCGAAGAAAGAAAAAGGGAAAAGGAAGAGAAGTTGATTGTAGACTTGTGTAGTGTAATATTGGTTTGTAAAACTGAACTTAGGGTTGGATAATATCTAGGGGTGAATGCTATTTAGGGTTGGATAATATTTAGGGATAGATGATGGTTTGTAGCAGGATGAAGGATATTTTGCCAGATGTTGGATATAATTACTAACATAAGTTCTGATTGAAAAATATATTGTAACCTCCCAGGTAAATATCTGTCTTTTTGTAGACTAATATCCTTAAAGAACAGACAAATACCTTCTTTATTTAAACAAATATCAGCAAATCACAGACAGATATCCGAAAGACCCAGACAGATATCCGAAAGACCTAAAGAAATATCCGAAAGACCCAGACTAATATCAATAGAGCCCAGACTAATGTCTTTGTAGACTAATATCCTTAAAGAACAGACAAATACCTTCTTTATTTAAACAAATATCAACAAATCATAGACAAATATCCGAAAGACCCAGACAGATATCCGAAAGACCTCAACAAATATCCGAAAGACCCAGACTAATATCAATATAGCCCAGACTAATGTCCTTATACCCTTCTTTTGTAGACTAATATCCTTGGAGCCCAAACTAATAGTAGATAAAGATGGATAACACTTTGAATCAGAAATAGAAACAAACTCAACACAATACAAATTGATGACAGGAAATACTAATTCATTTCTTCACGGTCTCCTCGGTGTTATCTTCATCATACGACTCTGAAAAAGCAGGGAGCATTACTTCGTCCCAATCCATGTGAAAACCACACCCGTTATCATTGTCGTACTCGTACATCCAACATCAGAAATACTTCTTCGGTGGGTTGACTCCATCAACAACAAGTTGTTTAGCGGCTCTCTAACCATGGTAACAGAGTATAACACTATCATATTCGAACTCATCCACCAATCCCCGACGCGATACTATTATTGTTTCATGGGCCTTCAGCCCCTGGGCCCTCGGCGGGCAGCCCTAACTAAGGTTGCAAGCCTTATGTGTTAGGACTTGCTAGTGTGCCAACACATGTCAACAAATATCTGTAAAGCGCAGACTAGTATCCCTTAATGACAGACTAATATCCTTCCAATTACAAAAGCATATCATGTCATCACATGTCAATATCAGATCACAACATACCACTTTCGAAGAGAGAGAGAGAGAGAGAGAGAGAGAGAGTTGGGTGGTTGGACATTTAATTGCATCCCTCCTTTCTATTTTTTCGTTTTCTTTTTCCCATTGTAAGTCAGATGTAGGGGCCCACTTTCCCATCTGCCTTCTCCCGCCCAAAACAGCCACCTTCCTTCAGCCAAGATAAAAGGCCCACCAGCAACCAATTAATAAGCCCGTCGATTTTGGCCCTTGGATCGCAGCTATAGCGACGTGGCATAAATCCGGCTCGTGTTAGTATTTACTAACAAAAACACTTGTTAGCAGTTTAACTTTTGCGGAGTAAGGCTCCCTTCGACGAAAAGTGGAAGAGAAGATGCAGACCCTGCGCGGATTCCGAGGCCGGAAGGAGGCAGCAGGTCGGAGAAGCAACCCATAGAGGGTGACTGACGGCAAGGAGCTGTCCATCCCGGGAATTGGGGGAGAAGTACAGTTTCAACTGCTATGCACGAAGGAGGTGAGGGAAACGGGGGCCAAAGTCGGGTAACGTTTGGTTTATCTAAAAATTTCGAGCAAAAAGGAAGCTAGGAAAAGACAAAATAATATACAGTAACATTGCATTCTTGGCCAATAAAGCGTACCCACCTTTTATGTTTTAAAGAATGTTGCTATATGATGACACTCATTGGACAGTGACTACGGTGTTCACCAGCTTTCTTTTACCGGTGTTGTACCACCTTACCGCCCATTTTTAACCGGATTTCATGAAAAGTAGTCTGGTTTCACTCCCCCGTATGAGGTTGTTCTGGGCCTGAATTTCATCAGAAGTAGTATCCTTCTTCCTACCCATACCAAGTACCAAATATCCTTCTTTCCATTCAAGGCTTCAACATCCACAATCATCATTCTCTGTGTTGTCAGTTTGCTATATCATCGTCATAAGTCAAAACAACTTAATCACACAAGATTTACCTCAACAATGACAATAGTCATGGTTTGCATTTGGATGAATGATTTTTAAGTTTTAAACTTCATTTGTAGATGCACAAGCAGAATATCATAACAGATAACAGTTCTGAAATTGCAGCAGGTCCCAGCTATTATCAAACCAGAAACAGCCTTGATGCAAACATAGCATACCATAATGGCCAAAACAATAGAGACCAATTCTCATTTTGGTGCAACATTGTCTTACAGAAACCCTAACATTGCATTTGGAACATAACTCTGCCCAATTCTAATGAGCTTACTGACATTTCATCTCATTTCAACTTTGGATGAAGTCAAAAGTCCAATTCTGGTAAGGAGACCAACTAATCAGCCCAAATTTCAATCTTAAAGAGCTACGCAAAGGTAAACCGAGGTAGATGCTAGGGAATTTCTCAACTTTACACCCAAAAGTGTCCACGAAAAATTATGGATCAACCACATCCCCCCACAACAAACATACTGCTCCTGCTGAAGTCGATCTTCAGGCCAGTGGCAGCCTCCAAGCAAACAAACGCAGCAAGCAAGTTACGAACTTGATCTTCCTCAGCATCGCAGAACAAGAGGACATTATCAGCATACAAAATGTGAGTCACCTCCCTTTCCTTATCTTCCTGATTCATGCAGAAACCATGAAATTGTTCATCCTCTCTTGCCCCTTCAAGAAGCTGTGACAAAACCTCCATAACAATCACAAAGAGGAAAGGAGAGAGGGGATCTCCCTGTCGTAGCCCTCTGGCGTTGCGATTGCACAATCAGTGTTGCTAAAAACAGAAAATGAAAAGAATAAGGAAGGTATTAGCTCAGCCAAAATCCAGTTCGAATCTCCTTACCTTATGAAGAAGTGCAGCAACGGTCAAAAGCTTTATATATATATATATATATATATGGTGACTACTTCGGTGCACTCACAAAAATGAGTGCGTTCAATGCACCCAACTCAAAAACTAGTCTTAAGGTGTCGGTTTTTGAATTTTAATTTGTGGAAATTGTGTAATATGATGATATAACATATGATAACAACTAATTAGTGGATTACCCTAAGCCCTAGATCTCCAATTTTGAGTTCTATCCCTAAACCCCAAATTGTAAACCCTAACCCTAACCCTAAATCTCTAAACTCTAAATCTTTCAAATTAAAGTAAATCTTCAATGGTTTTTATGCAAATTGATGTGCGTTATTGTTCATCACTTTATAAGTGATGAATGACATCATTTTGACATAAATCGCATGTTTAAAATGACGGTTATGAAGTGAGTGCACTGAATGCACCCAAAAAAGTGAGTGCACCGAAGACACCACCATATATATATATATATATGTCTGTGGTTCTTACTAATGTGTGTGAACTTTTGTAAAAAGCGGTACATGGCTTGGGGAATTACAAAAGGGTTCGACAATTAGGGGAATAGGTTCTGATTGTTCAAAGGTGTATCGGGTCTGGTTGGGATCCGGGAATTGATTACTTTGCTATCTCTTTACAGCATTTTGTCCTTGTTTCTGTTTATGTTTGATAGGAGAAAACGTAATAAAAAGAGTCTCCTAGAAATCAGTGGGTATTGATTCTAGGACGAGGAGTGACGAGTAGTTTGGGAACCTCGTTAAAATCGTCTGTGTCCATTTAATCTTCCGCCTGTGTTCTTTCGTTTTAAGCTTTACTGCTCTGTTCCCCCCCCCCCCCCCCCCTTCCCCTGTTTCTAGTTAGAGCATCTCCATCAATGCAATTGCAAAAGAAATTGTATTTGTATTTTTTATTGTCAATTCAAATTTTTTGCAATGCACATCACATTCATTTCATTCACCTACATCAATGCAATTAACTTGCAATTGCAAATGTAATTAAATATTATGTTTAAATTATAGAAAATTAAGTAAAAGAGAAAGGGAAAAAATATAAAATAAAAAAATTCCCATTTTTGTAGGCTTTTTTGACTTGCATATGGAATTGCATTTGTTGCAAGCTTGCAAATATGCAATTGATAGCCACATCAATGCAATTGATTTTGCAATTACAAACACCTATGCCATGTCATTTTGCAATTGAGAATGCAATTCCAATGTGAATGCTCTTAGTAGCCCTGTTCTTGCTAGTCTTCTAAGTTCTATCCAAGGAAGAAGACGAGTCCTTGACTTAGAAGCAGCATGCTTTACGTTAGTGGGCCTGAGTTTGTTTAGATAATAAGTTGGTTTAATTGTATTTTGGGCTTTGTGATAGTGGGCCCAAATTGTGAAATCTAGAGAACGAGATTGGAAAGGAGATAAGATCAACACCATCTCTCATTTCCATTCTTCCTCCATTTCCGATTTTCCCCAAATCAGCGCAAAAGCCTAATTCAAACTAGGGTTAATATTTTCGTATGGCCTGAAATTTGACCAAAATAAACATTCCGGTCAATCTTTTCGATCTATAACATCCTGGCCCGAACTATACACAAAAATAAACAATTTGGCCAAACCCGATGTTTGACCGTTAACTTGGACGGTCAAATGCGTTGACTAACAGTCAACGCGACACGTCACTGCCAAGTCAGAAGATCTGATAAATATTTAATTTTTTCGTTTTTTATTTTTGGTTTAACTAAGGTATTAGATGATTTTTTTAATTTATAATAATTTAAAATTAGAGAATGTGTGGAAATTGTGAATTATTTTAAATATTTTATGCTGTCTTGGCAGTGACATGGCGCGTTAACGGTCAACGCGTTTGACCGTCCAAGTTAACGGTCAAAAGTCGAATCTGACCAAATTGTTTATTTTGGTGTATAGTTCGGGCCAGGATGTTATAGATCGAAAAGATTGGCCAGGATGTTATTTTGATAAAAGTTCAGGCCATACGAAAATATTAACCCTTCAAACTAACTCTATTTCTGTTTCTCACAGTCTTCTGACATTTACAAGAACACCGATATGCACGTTCTAATCCACGATATCCACTTCGCAGGAAACTCCATTAGGGCCAAGGACAATGGATGCTGGAAAAGGCCGATCGATCGATCCACGGTTCATGATATAGCTGCTTGAAGTAATCTGCAATAGCCCGGGCTAATGCAGCTTTCTCGGTTACAAGAACCCCATTGACTCTTAGTGCTCGAATCGGGTGATTCAATGGATCAAAGAAGGAGGTGTTCCACGGATTGATTGGACTAACCAAGTTTTGTCCCGATTTCTGCCACCGGAAACAAGAATCATGATGTACTACCCTTCTAACTACAACTATCCACCGGGGAAAAGAACTAAATACACAAAAGGGATTTCAGGCAAAATCAGTTGCATTCTTTGGGAATATGAAAACTTACAGAACTGGCTGAGGGCGGAGAACTACGACGGCGGCGGTGAGGAAGAAGATGGACGATGCAGTTTGGAGAGTGAGCCCGGAAGAAGAAAGAGGGACTCTTCAAATGTGGACGTTTGGGTGTTTTGATGATGAAAAAAAAAATTATAGGGATGGCAATGGGTCGGGTTGCCTCATTGTCATCCCTATTGGCATCCCTATATTTGGGTGAATGGCGGGGTTAATTACATATAATAATTAATAATTATATATTTAAGTTGGCTAATATTACGGTACCATTGTAAAATGTGCGGCATCGGTGACGCCAATTATAGTTGGGCCACGTGAAGGTGATGTGGCGCTGGTTAATATGATTATATCTGTCCAAACTTGTTGGCCCATTTAAAAGTGGAAATACCCAACTTCAAACTAACGGCGCAGTTTGTCTCCCGAAAAAGAAAAAAAAAAACGAAAACCAAACACCATAAAATTCCTCTTCTACATCTCTTCTCTCACGCGTCTGATTCTACTCCGGCGAACTTCACAGTCGCCAATCCAAACTCCAGCATTGAAGCACTGTATACCATTGACAAAGCCTAAAGTCGACTGATTCATCACCGTCGCCAACGACCTGAGGTTGTGTGCTTCTTCTTTGTCCATTATAAACAACCGTTGATTCGCCGCCCACCACCAGAGGTCGATCAGGAGAACTCCACAGATTCTGAGCCATAAGACGGAGACTTGATTGTTAGTTTCCGGGGGATAATGAATTAGGTTTTAGTAAATGGGAAACGAGGAAGGGAAGGATTGAGAGTAATCAATTTTAGTTTTCCATTTTCAATAGTAGAGCGAAGACCGGTGGAACTAGGTCGGGGAAGAAAATGGCCTTCGTTTGGACTTTGGAGACCCATCTTTCTTTCCCTATTTCTGCCGCAAAAAATTAATTGTAATTTAATTAAGTGAAGGAAAAAAACAGAAAAAGCGTTGGACGGAGAATAGTTCTCTGTTACTTGGTGATGGTTTGGGCCACTTCTAACAGGTCATTGGGGTTGGGTTGGGATTTTATGAACCCAGCCCATGCCACGTCACAGTCCATGTGGACCAATTAAAAGTGGCGTTACCGGTGTCGCAATTTTAACAGCGGCACCTTAACATTGACCATTTAAGTTTGTGACTAAGTTGTTTGGGCTTGATACCTCATTTCAGCCCAACATGGCTCGCTTGATTTATGGATCAGGAGTATGGTCCGAGGCCCGGCCCATCGGTTGTTGATATGTACCAAAGAAAACATGGTCGGAGTCTCGGAGATCGATGAGAACGGCTCCTCCTTCTTTGGCTGTCCAATGAGTTCAGCGGCGGTAATCGAACTCAGTAGCCATGGATGTACTCGGCTGTCCTTCCACTTTCGTTCTAGAGATTGCCGGCGATTCCTGGATTCGGAAACCCTTTGAGTCCGATGGATCCTACGATTGGAGTCCTAAATTCAAGGATACCGTCGAAATCCCACCCTAACTCTCCGTCGGTCCGTTTGCCGGCATTTGACATTTTCCATCGCGATTCTCGGAAAGGAAGGTGCGGATTGGGGCAGGTGGAATGATTCGACGCCCGAGGATTCCATACGATCATGAAATTCAATATTCGGTAAGACCACCCACAGTGTGGGTTGATTTTGTGTGAAAAAGGGGAAATGTGACCACAATGTGGGGGGAATAGGGGATTAAATGGGTTTTGTGGGTATAGTGGGTGGGAAAACCCACCAGATGAGACAAATGGTGGGGGGAAGTGGCGGATGGGAAATGACAACCTTTTTTTCTGATTTTAGCAAATGCTTGTTTGGAAAGCTGTGTTTTTGTCTCCTCGTATTATTGTGATTTTATAATTGATGATGTCATACTTAATTAGTGATGAAAAAAATATGTCTAAATTAAAAAAAATTATGTCGAAATGTTCGTATTAATTAATTATCACTAAGTACGTAATAATAATGATCATTATATGAAAATAAAGTGACAAAATCAACTATAGATTGATTTTAACAAAAAAATACTAAACTGATTACCCACTTTTCCCACCACCACTCTGTGACCAAATCATCCAATTTTCCCATTTTTCCCTCTTTTCCCACATTTTCCGCCACCCACATTGTGGATGGTCTTCTTCTTCCTCCGTCACTTCACATTTCGCATTGGCTTTTCTAAATTGCTTTCGCAGGGTGATGTGATTTTGGGGGAATATATTAGTTATGGGTTATGTACCCGGTACATCAATCATCCTATGGGCATCGTTTACATTTCAATTGGGTTTGATGCACAAGATAAGATCAGGTGACTAGGGGTTCCCTTAGTTACTTGCCTAAGTCAATCATAGCCTTTCAAGTTCATTAAAAAATCCAAAAGTAGTGTCCCACCTGCCGACGCAAATTTCCCGGCTGACCGTCCAGCCCGTCTCCTCGTCGATCAAAAATTTACGGCGGGCCGTCCAGGCTTTTCCTGTGCGTGGTTGTGCATCCTGCCATTGCCATTTATTTTTTGGTGTGTCCCAGAGAGAGACATCCTGCCATTGCCATTTATTTTTTGGTTCGTCCCAGAGACAGGGAGAGAGATTTTTGTGTCCTATCCGCACTCCCATCGTCGCTCCGTTTCCCGCCGATCCGTTTATGGAAATCCTCCCGCGGCGGAGGTGGAATTTTTATGTCCCAACCCAAGTGAGAGAGAGATCCTCCCGCCGGCGGAGAAGGGATTTTTATAAGTGGTTAATAAAGAAATTAATGAGCCAGGTGAATTATAAAAGAAAAAGGAGGAGACGTGCGCCGGTGCGCGACTGTGTCACGTGAACAGGAAAGAGAAATAAAACAAATTTTTTTTTATAATATCATAACCACCCTTTTCATTAATTTAATATCCCTTACCACTTTTTAACCATTAGATTGGTATATCTAGATCCAAGGACTAGGAAGGGCTTAGTCACTTAGCACCCCCTTAGTCATGGGATCCGCACTCTACTTGATATAGTTCCCCTGTTTTTTATTGCTATCTTGCTCTTGATTTTCTATGAATATGGGAAGTATAATATATCTCATTAGGTACATTGATCATCCCATTTGCTCCCTAGCTCGTTGACATTCCATTGGGGTTGGATCCATAAATCTTATTCTGAGAAAATCTCGGTTAGCTCTTACTCTCTGATTTGGATGGACACTTTGCTCTGGTTCCCTTGTTATTTTCTTGCTACCTCTCATTCTTGATTTGCTTGTTCTCTGTACTCCCCGTGTTTCTTATTTGCTTCCCTGAAGATGGCCGCTGAAATCATTTTGATCCCCGTTGCTAAACAAATCCTTGGCAAGGCAATCGACTTGGCCATGGAGCAGATTGGGCTGTTGTGGTATTTCAAACCCGAGCTCGGAAAACTGAAGAAAACTGTCTCCACCATCCAAGCGGTGCTCCGAGATGCAGAAGAAAAGCAGTTCCACAATCATCAAGTCAAAGACTGGCTCGAGAAGCGCTCGGATGTCATGTATGATGTGGACGATATGCTCGATGATATCTCTACCGAGGCTCGTAGGAAGGCGATCATGGAACTTTCATCTACTGGTTGTTGCAGTGTGGTTTGCTTTCTGTTTTGTTCACTTCCCAAACAGTTAGCTTATGATCTGAAGATGGCTCATGCAATCAAAGCTGTTAGGGAGAAGCTTGATGATATAACTAAAGACAAGGATAGCTTGCATCTGGAGGTTCGTAATGATGAAGGTCTTCCTTTGAGGGAGACTGATTCCTGCCCACCCACGATTGTCGTTGGGAGGGAAGTTGACCAAAGTAATATCGTTCAGCTACTGCTGAATACTAATCGTGAAGCCAACATCTCAGTCGTCCCCATTGTTGGGATGGGTGGATTGGGGAAGACTACTCTTGCTCAGGTTGTATTTGATGATGCAGAAGTGAGAGCTCACTTTGAAATCAAGGTTTGGGTCCACGTTTCACAGCGCTTTGATGTCAAGGTGATCCTTGAGAAGATGTTGCAATCCGTTAATGGTGGAAGCCAAGCAGGTCTTGGTTTGGATATTATGCAAACCCGACTTCGAGAAAGTATTAGAGGCAAGAGGTTTTTGTTTGCGTTAGATGATGTGTGGGAGGAGAATGTTCAAAGTTGGGAAGCTTTGGCAAAATACTTGACTGCTGGGGCTCAAGGAAGCAAGGTGTTGGTGACTACACGTTCCACGAAAGTGGCAGAGGTTGGCGGAAGAGCCCTGAAGTCAGTAACAAGTGGCAGCACAGTGCTACCCTATCCTTTAGAAGGCTTATCAACAGAGGATTCATGGGATTTATTGCTGAAAAAGGCTGGCGGGGAAATCCCAACTAATCCAGTTGTAATCAAAACTGGGAAAGAGATATTGGCAAAATGTCGCGAAGTTCCTCTTTCTGTAAGCGCAATAGCTAGTGTGTTGGTCAATTGCCAATATCCAGAAAATGAGTGGCCGTTGTTCTTACAAAAAGAGCTCTCCGATATCTCTGATGAAGGGAATTCCATTATGCCAACCCTCCAGCTCAGTTACAATCAGCTTCCTTCCCATGTGAAGGATTGTTTCCTTTATTGTAAGTTGCTTCCAAGGGGTTCTAGACTGGATGTTCAAAGGCTGGTGCTGTTTTGGATAGCACAAGGATACATAAAGTCCGAAGAAGAGGGTTTACAGTGTTTCAAAGTGTTGTGGTGGAGATCATTCTTCCAGGAGATGGAGATGGACGACCGAGGAAACATGTTAAAATGCAGAATGCATGATTTGATGTATGATTTAGCTGCATCAGTGGCGGGAACAAAGATCGTTAGAAGTTGCAATCCAACTATCCTAAAAACTCTGACTTCAAAAGCTCATCATTTAGCTGTCCTTGGAAAAGATGATGGTTGCATGGTAGCAGACGCCATTGACAATGGCGATGAGGTGAGTGATGCAAAGAAGGTGAGAACGCTCTTGTCCGATAAACATTTTGCTAGAGAAGAATGTGGTCAAATTCTCCACAACTTCAAACGATTGCGAGTATTAAGGATGCCTATAACAGATTTTGATACAGATGGCTATAGACAATTGGATTACATTGCCAAGTTGAAGCATTTGAGATACCTCGGTATACGTTTCAATTTAGTGTCGAATCTTCCAAACTCTGTCACCAACTTGCTTAATCTGGAAGTGCTCGACTTGTCTGAATTCGGGAATATGGGAGGACTACCTGAAGATTTTGGAAAATTAATTGATTTGAAGCATCTGTTACTCCATCCTTCTGGGGCGTGGTATTTGACTCATATGCCAAAAGGGATTGGGGAGTTAAAGTCTCTTCAGACATTACCGATTTTCGTGGTAGGCTGGAGGAGGCAGCTTTTTGGAACTGATGAAAAAGCTATCGGGGTGGGTTTAGATGAGCTGATAGGATTGAATGCATTGCGTGGAGAGTTGGCAATTATATACTTGGCAGACGCCAAGTTTCTGGGTATTGGTGTTTATGTGTTGAAGAACAAGCTACTGCTTCTGTCATTGGTTCTAGATTGGGCCGGTCCATCTGGTATGTCTCATGGTTCCACAAATGAGGAAGAGATACTTGCAATTACACTTCACCCACCTCCTAATCTGAAGAAACTGGAGATATGCGGCGGTTATGGAGGCGTTACGCTGCCTGACTGGCTTGCTCACCTTGTGCATCTGGTGGAGATAAAATTGGAAGATTGCAAGAAATGTGAGTACCTTCCACCGTTACATCAACTCCCGTCTTTGAAGAAGCTTCAGATTAAATATTGCACCCTTCTGAAGGGCATGAATTTTCAAACTGGTGATCGTTTTCCCTGTCTTGCCTACCTATACATTGGACATTGCCCGGCCTTGTCTCAGATGCCCGCCTTCCCAACTCTTGAAACCCAGTTGGAGCTAGAAGAAACAAGTTTAGAAGGGTTAGAGAGAACGACGAAGGTGGACAAAAATCTGCATCCTCATTCCCGTTCATCTTCATCTGCAGCAGCAATTGTCCTCCGCCCACTCTCCAAGCTAACGAAATTGACCTTGGGGAACACAGATGGAAGTATGGAATATCTACCAGAAGATGGCTGGAGCGGTTTGGTTTCTCTTCAGCTGTTAAGCCTTAGCTCGTTAAGCGGATGCGTGAAGCTACCCAGTGGGTTGGGTTCCATTTCGAGCCTGACAGACATTCGTCTGCATTGGTGTGGGGCGCTAGAGTTCCTCCCACCATTGCACCAACTTCCAATTCTGATGAGTCTAGTGATTAAATGGTGTCCCAAGCTGAAAGGATGGTGGAAGAAGGGTAGTGATCATAATAACGATGCCGATGATCATGATCATTATTATTGCTCCTCTTCGACTTCAGGAGCTGCAGCAGAGGAAGAGGAAGAAGAGTGGCCTCATTTCCCTAGTCTTTCTCGCTTGGAAATTAGCGGCTGCCCAAAGCTGACGCATATGCCTCTCTTTCCAACCGTTAAAGGGTTGGAGCTGAAGAAAACCAGCTCGCGGGTATTACTGCGGACAATGAAGATGAAAGTGGCGGATACTGATGATAATCCAAAGCAACATCCGCTCTCTAAGTTGACTTACATGGTGCTCGAGGATATTGATGACCTTGAATCTCTACCAGAGGAAGGATTCCGCAACCTCACTTCTCTCCGGGTGTTGAAGATCGTGGACTGCCGAAGTTTAGCATCTCTGCCTCAAGCGATAAGACACCTCACCTCTTTGAAACAACTGATAATTCGGGAGTGTCCTTCGTTGACAGTGCGATTGATGAAGGGGTACGGGCAAGATTGGCACACCATTTCCCACATCCCAGACTTAGAAGTGTGATGAAGATTGCTTTGAGCATTCAGGTTTGTCTCCATTCTATCACTTAATAGAAGTTTTCACAAAATGTAAAAAATTCGCCTGAAATTTCCCTTGCTATCTTCATGGCTGCGGCAACTGTTCTGATCCCTGTTGCCGGTCAGATCAATGGCAACGCAACCGAGCTGGCCTTGCTGCAGCTTGGACTCATGTGGCATTTCAGGCGCAAGCTCCAGAAATTGCGGGACACCAGTTTCCACCATCCAGTCTGTGCTCCCACGATGCAGGAGATAAGCAGTTCCACAATCATCAAAGTCGAAGAATGGCTCGGGAAGCAGCTCTCAAACGACATGTATGAACCAACAAGTACACACAATGCTGCACATTAGTGGATGTCCTCGGTTTCACCGAACGATGCAGAAGGGAAGAGGGTGAAGATTGGTCAAACATTTCTCACAACCCAAAGATAGAACTGGACGTGGAAGATGCTCCAGGATTCAGGTTGGGTTTATTGAGAGAACTCTTTTGCATTTGTATCAAAATTTTGATGATGATCATCTCCCTTCTTCTGCTACTACCATTTTATGTATCGGTGCGCGCCCTGCACAATTGGTTTGTTACTTTGTTCAATCCTCCATTTTTGCTGATAAGTTACTGATTGCTTCCGTTGTGCAAGTGACAGAGAGAACTGGTGATTAGTGCATGATGATTGATGAACAAAAACTATGTGATATTTCTGTCAGAGAAAGTTGAGAAGAGCAGCCAGCAGGGCCCTCAACTGGTCAAATCACTATTCTGTCAGTTTGGTGCCTAGTTATAGTTCTTGCTTCTGGTCATAATACTTCTCTTATGATGAACCAATGACCCTTTGATTCAAGAAGGCCGCAAAAATATTGAAACAAGGTTCTTTGGTTATCTTCAGCTAAAATCAGTTATGGAGGTATGTAACTTTGTATGCTATTTCATTGAACTGAAGCATAACAAAAACTGAAGAGTTAAGATTAAGAGTTAAGATTAGGGGTGAGCAACGGGACGGTTTGAAACGAGTACCCAGTTTGATTGAAGAGGATTACAAAAACGTGATATTAAAGTCAGTGATAAAGTAGCCGGAAAACATGTGTAAAGGAATCATTTCAAAAAGGTTACTGACTATTTATTAGCCAAACATTTTTCATATTCTTTTTTATTAGCCAAACCTATTATATTACTAATAATTAGCCAAATGTTAACTTCCACGTAGCAATTTTGTTAGTAGTATTGACTTGGAAGAGATACATAGGGGTTTAACATTCCAAAGTTTTAGTATTTTAACAAAAAAAAGTTATCAAATTATTAACAACAACGTAAAAAGGACTAATATTTTGATGTATTAAAAAAAAATTGACTAATTTTTAATATTTTGGTAGGTTTGAATAATAAAAAGAAACTAAACAAATTTAGTTGATAAATACTCATTACCCTTTCAAAAAAATTTGCCTAGAAAAAGATGCACATGATATTTTGGCCCGAGCCAGAGATTCTTCTTGGGCCTAGCTCATAAATCTGGGCTTTTTTCAAGTAATCCGCGGTTCCGCGTCGAGAAATTGAAGAAGAAAAAGAAACCACGCGAAAATCAAGAGATGGTAGGCTATTTACAGTTTAGTCCCTGAAAAAGCTATTATGAATACTTCAATCCCAATAGAATGTAAATACTAAATACAGAACTTTGTGGGGGCCAGCATAAGACAAAGTGACAAACTGCCAAAAAAAATATTTTTCGGAGTTGGCGCCATTTTAGTTTCCCGCTCCCCATGACACCGAGGATTCCTCCCCTATCTTCATTCACCATTAGGAAAACCCTAAAAAAATTTACTCTCATCTTCCTTCCATTAGCCATCAATCAGCCTCCTAATTAAATTCTCCGGCGCCATACTTCCCGGCGGCGGCTAGATGTTCTACTCGCAGACGTTTCTGGCCCGGAAGGGCCCGCTGGGGACGGTCTGGTGCGCCGCTCATCTTCAGCACAGGCTCAAGAAATCTCATTATACTTCCACCGATATCATAGCCGTCGTCGGTAATATCATCTCTCTTCCCTCTTGAAATTCCCTCGTTTGTTTTTTTTTCCCTTCTTCGTCGGTGAATAAAGCTCACTACTTTCAGTACTTTGCCTTTTGTTATCTTGATTTCCCCTGTGTTAGGAGGGGGAAAGAATCTTGCTTTGCTTGATTCTAGTAGTTTGGGGTTTTTTTCTTTTGTGGATTGCAGAGCGCATAATGTACCCAGAAGTGCCGATTGCGCTTCGGATGTCAGGCCACCTTTTGCTAGGGGTTGCGAGGATCTACTCCAAGAAAGTTGATTATCTATTTCAGGACTGTAATTTAATGAGGGTTAGCTTGAGAAATGCCTTCACCATCACAGTAGACATCAATCTGCCAGAGAATGCCAAAACAGCCAAGCCGGATTCAGTCACTTTGACCCAAACATTTGACCTCGATTCATTGAAGATGGACGATGACATCTACAATATTGATGGGTAAATGATTGAATTTTTAACAAGATGGAAACTTCTTCCTTTTCCCCTTGTCTTGGTTTTGCTTCTTGATTGTTTTTTCTTTAATAGGTCTCCTGATAGCCATTGGAAAACTCGAGAGGAAATCACGCTGGATGATCAAATTCCTACGGGGAGAGAGCCGTTTGTTGCTGTAACTTTCGACGAGGTTAGTTGTTGTTCCTCTGGAAAACTGTTGGCGTTGGATTACACTTAGAATTGCTCGAGTGTTGATGAACAATTGATGCTTCTGCACAGGACATCACAATGGATGATACTTCACAACAAGACCTGGCTCGTGATTTGGGAGTTAGACCAGTAGTGGAAGAGTATACTCCTAATTATATTTGGAACTCATTTCGTTTTTCTAATGATTGGTTAGTCAATCTGATGCCTGTTTTTTCTCAATTCTCAGCGCCGATCGTGATGAAAACAACCACAACCATGAAGGAGGTGGTCCGAGCAATGACACAGAAATGCTTACTGAACCTGCAGAATTGGGGGATGTCGGTCCAAGCAATGATACAGAAATGCTTACTGAACCTGCAGGGTTTGGAGATGGCGGTCCAAGCAATCAAACCGAAGTGCTCACTCAAGCAACAGGATTGCAGGATCCTGGGCCGAGCAATCAGACAGAAGTGCTCACCGGATCAGCAGTATTATCACAGGGCACTGGCATAAGGGATCGTACTATGATAGATGATGTACTTACTGAGAATGTGGAACCTAGTCCAGTTGAAAAAATTCGTGATGCTCATGATTTTAGTCCAAGAAGAGCACCACTTGTGTCTCCAAATGTGGAAAATGATGATGGTGCTGATCGAAACCGGCTTCCAGAAAAAGATGTGCTTGAGAGTGGGATAAATATTCGGATTCCAGAAGAACCTTCCTCTTCTGGGGTACATTCTTTTCGACTTAGGCCACACTCAGAACCTCCTACCTCTGCTGTCTCTGGAGGATCGGGACTAATCTTTGATGAAAATATGTCTCCTGGTGAGTGTCTGTTTCCTAAATGAATTGTTTCACGTGGGAGATATATTCTACTGTGGGAATGATCAATCAGCTCATTTTTTGGCCGTTTCAGGCCAAGCAACACCTGGACTTGCTGTCGTTGCACCTTCACCTGTTCAGCAGCCACAGCGGAGGGCCAGAAAGAGAAATAATATATTCGATCATGCCACAGTATTGACGAACAAGTACCTTTTTTACTCTCATCCTCGTCCTTCTCTCCCCCATGCTTCTATTCCTTACTGGTTTTGCTTACTCATAAGAAAGATGAACTTTGTAGGTTTGTGAAGAAGGCCTTGAATGATTGTACTGATTTGTTGCGCAAAAAGAGGGCTCCACCTTCTGCTTTGAGCATCTGGAAGCTGACCAAGAAATCAAGGAATGATCAAGTTTTCCAGGAGCCACTAATAACAGGTCAAACACGGTTTCCATTAGTAAGTTGGCTTTTTGTGTAATTTGAAGCTTGTGGAAATTTATTCTACTTACACCATTGGTGCTTTATATTGTTATTCAGGCTTGTCCCCTGATATAAGTACCTACTTTGCCATGGACCATAGCTTTGCTATTCGTCATCCAATTCCTCAGCTGGAAGATATTGCTGAACCTACTGGTCCTTCATCTCCTATTCAATCAACTGCTGTAGATGTCAATCCAGAGCCTACAGTTCCAAATTCTCCTCCTGTGATTCAACCCATCTCGCCCAGAAATGACCCTTCTGAATCTCAAGCTCCCACAGTTGATCCCACTACTACTGTGGAGCCCACTAATAGGAACTCATCAAACCCAGAGCCTAATGATACTGATATGGGCATGGATATGGATATGGATGATATTGACTTTGAGCGTATTCGGGATGATGGAGGAGGCCATCATAGCAACGATGATGTTCTAAAAGAAATTTCGATGAGTTCTCCTGTTCAATATGGGCCTTTTCCTAGACAAGATGCATCGACTCCCAGTCCTAGGCATGTGCATTCAACCACAGTGCGTGATGGGATAGGAAACACTGGTGCAAGTGACATGCTGCACACTGCAGCAGACTTTGGTGCCTCTACTAGTACATTCAGTTCTGGGTTGAGGACTCCAAGAATGTTTGGAGAGGACACTCAGCTCTCCAATATCCTTGAAGTGATGGATAGCCCAGAATCAGAAGTAAGCATCAAGCAGCATCAAACTGGGTTTTCAGCTTTCAGTGGCATTTATAATTATAACCTTTTTATTCCTTTTGCAGGTCCGTTATTCTGGTGGGGGAGATAGCACACCTGCTGGTGAGCTACTTGTTCCAGATTCCATATGCATTACCTTCCATGGATGGTGTTTGTTTTGTTGTGTTTTTACATTGCAAATGTTGATAACAGGGTTTTATAGGGTAGGGAATCAAGGAGTTCATCGATTGTCTGGTAGAACAAGGTACCACATAAAGTTATCCCTTTTGTTTATGGGTTATTTTTATTGCATCTTCTAGAGCAGAATTTCTTATAGTCTCTGGGTTTTGGACTTTTAGGGCTGTGGCTCAGTATTTGGAAAGACAATCTCCTATTGCTCCAACCTTGGGAGTAGATCAAACCAGAGATATCAGTCTCAACAAGCTCTTAGAAGGGAAGACCAGGAGGGTGTGCGCCCGAATGTTCTTCGAGACTCTGGTAAGCCTCTTAAAAACTGTTTCTTTCAAGCTTAAGTTCTGGTAAAGCAATGAACGTTACCTCATTGACAACGGGTGGTTCTTCTATGCAGGTTTTGAAGAGCCATGGAGTCGTTGATGTGGAACGAGAGAAAGGACAGGGCCAAGCTCGTCTGAAGTTTGATGTGGAACAAGAGGAGACCTATGGTGACATTCGTTTGAAGCTGACTCGTTTGGCGACGGAACATTATCAGTATTTGTGAATATAGAAGGTATTAATTAGGTAATGAACCTTCCAGCTTTGTGATTATGAAGTATGATGTTAGGTTTCCGGTAGTAGTAGGACTAGTTAGTTGAGTTATATAGAGGTAGTGTCACAGGTAGAAGGATGAGCAGAGTCCATCCATACGGTTGCTTGTATACAAAGATAGTTGATTAGTAAAAACTAAACTAGCTGTTGGTCGTTGTTTATGAATAAGAGGTGAGATTATGTGATTTGTTGTTGTCGTACCGGGGTGCTCAATTAGTATAATATTGTTCGCTTTGGGCCAAGCCCGCACGATTTTACTTTTGGATGCGCTCCTTAAAAGGCCTCGTACTAATTGGGCTAGGTGGACACTAATATACAAGAGTCTCTTTCCCTTGTATTTCTTTGTATTTCTATGTGGTATTTGGATTGTTCCGTTGTCTTCTCAACTTATTGTTTTTCACCATTGTATAGTTTTAAGCCATCCACTTCATACTAAATTTTCGTCAAATCACCGTTTATTTTATTTTATTTTTTACCCCGCACATCCCGTCCGTCCTTCAGCATTCTTACGCCAGCGCTAGCAGACTACCGGGCGACCGGCGGCGTCGAGCTCAGAACCCATGGATATTTCCTCGGCTGTTGAACTTCCGCTCCCGTTTTGGAGACTGCCGGCGAATCCCTCTGTTGGAAATTCTTCGAGTCCGTTGTTTGGCGTCTTGATTTCGTCGACACATCCTCCGCCGTCCGGTTGGTCTGCGTTTGTCCGCTTCCGCCGGGACTCGAGGTTGCGGCTTCCACGTGATCAACGGCGATGGTTTGCAGTAGGAGAAATTCAACGGCGATGGTTTGCAGGATTCCACGTGATCAGGGAATTTAATATTCGGTAACATTCTTCGTCGTCGTCGTCTCCCACTAAGCATTTCTCAGTCTTTTTTGAATTCAATCAACTTGTTTGCAGTCACATGATGATTAGGGTAATGTAGTGTAAATTAGAGATAGATAATCCCCACTTGTGGCGTTGACTATTTGCATCAGATGGGTTCAAGATTCATATTGTCATGCTATTCCATTTGCAGCCTGGCATCATTGATGTGTTCATCCTGTTTGATCCTGCTAAAGCTCGAATTGCTCTTTACCCACTTTGATTTGGCTCTTACTCATTAGCTCCCCTGTGTTTTGTTTTTATTGGCTTCCCTGAAGATGGCTGCTGAAGCCATTCTGATCCCAGTTGCAAAATCAATCCTCGGCAAGGCAGCCGACTTGGCTGCGGAGCAGATTGGGCTCCTATGGAATTTCAAACGCGAGCTCAAGAAACTCAAGGACACTGTCACTATCATCCAGGCCGTGCTTCGTGATGCAGAAGAGAAGCAGTTCCACAATCATCAAGTCAAAGACTGGCTCGAGAAGCTCTCGGATGTAATGTACGATGCTGATGATCTGCTCGACGATGTCTCTACCGAGACTCGTCGGAAGGCCATGACAGCGGAAGCAAATGGTGGCAGGAGAAGGACGATGGCGACGACGACGACTTGTTGGAGTGTGGTATGCTTTCTGTTCTCCTCGCTTTGTGAACAATTGGCATACGATCTTAAGATGGCTCATGCCATCAGGGCTATTAGGGAGAAGCTCGATGATATATCGAAAGACAAGGATGGTTTACATCTAGAGGTTTTATCTAAGGAAGATGCTCTTCCTTTGAGGGAGACCGACTCTTGTCCACCCACAATTGTTGTTGGGAGGGAAGATGACAAGAAGAACATCATTCAGCTACTGCTCCATTCTAACCGTGAAGCCAATATCTCTGTCGTCCCCATTGTTGGAATGGGTGGGTTGGGGAAGACTACCCTTGCTCAGCTTGTATATGATGACGACCGAGTTGAAGCTTACTTCGATACCAAGGTTTGGGTATATGTTTCACAGAGCTTTGATATCAAAGTAATACTTGGAAAGATGCTACAATCTATAAATCCTCAGAGTCAAGTGGGCTCCTCGCTAGACAATTTGCAAGCTGAACTCCGAAAAAGCATCAAGGGGAAGAGGTTTTTGTTTGCATTAGATGATGTTTGGGAGGAGAATGTTGAAAGTTGGGAACTTTTGACCAAGTATTTGATAGTTGGCGCACCTGGCAGCAAAGTGTTGGTGACTACTCGATCCACGAAAGTTGGGGAAGTCGGTGGCAGGACTTTGAAGTCGGAAACAAGTACCAGCATAGTGGCACCCTATCTCTTAGAAGGCTTGTCACTAGAAGAGTCTTGGGATTTGATGGTGAAAAAGGCCCTTCCCAGAAAGATCACAGTAGACCCATATGTAAAAGAAATTGGGCAAGATATATTGCGTAAATGTGGTGGAGTTCCACTTGCTGTGAGCTCAATAGCCGGTATGCTAATAAGTTCAAAACATCCCAAAATAGAGTGGCCGTCGTTTTTACACAAGGGATTTTTGAGCATATCTAAAGACGGGAATCGTACTATGGCAGCCCTCCAGCTAAGTTTCAGTCATCTTCCTTCCCATATGAAACATTGTTTTGCTTACTGTAAGCTGTTTGCAAAAGGTTTTCTGTTCGATGTTCAAATGCTGGTTCAATTCTGGATAGCACAAGGGTACATTGAGTCAGAGGATGAAGGCATGGATTGCTTCAAAATGTTATGGTGGAGGTCATTCTTTCAAGAGGTGAAGACAGATGAATTTGGGAATATTTCAAGTTGTAGAATGCATGATTTGATGCATGACTTATCTGACTCAATAACTAGGGATAAAATCCGCAGAATTTCCAGCTCAACTGCTGCTCTAACAAATTTTACTTCAAGCTCTCGTCATTTGTCTTTGTTTGAAGAAGGCGATGATAGTATTTCGCTAGAAGAAGCTGACAACAGCATCGTCGATGATGAGTTGAAAAATGCAAGCAAGGTGCGAAGTTTTCTATGTTGGAAAGATCTATCAACAGAAAATTGGGAAGGAGTCCTTCTCAAGTTCAACCGCTTGCGAGTGTTGATAATGGTTGCGAAAGTATCAAAAATATCCACCGCTTCAAAACAACTGTCTTGTGTTAGTAAGCTGAAGCATTTAAGAGTTCTCAGTTTCTTCTGCCAAGGGATGAAAAGGGTTCCAGATTCCATTACCAACTTGCTCAATCTGCAAGTGCTTATGGTGACTTCCAGTTCATTAAACGAACTTCCAAGAGGTCTTAGGAAGCTGGTTAATTTGAAGCATTTAATCCTTCACCCAGATTGTTTGAAAAATTTCACCTATATGCCAAAAGGGATTGGGGAGTTGAAGCATCTTCGGACTTTATCCTTTTTTGTGATGGGCAATAAGAACTACGTAAATGACAAGACCATTGGGGAATTGGATGAGTTGAAAGGTCTGAATGCCTTGTGTGGAGAGTTGATCATTACAAACTTGGCAAATGCTGAGACTCTTGGCACATGTGTTCATGTTTTGAAGAACAAGCTACTTCTTCATTCTCTGGTTCTCAATTGGAGTCGGTACGATGTTACTCCACAGTCTATCAGTGATGAAGAGATCCTGGAAATGCTCTGTCCCCACCCTAATCTTATGAAATTGAAGATATGTGGCGGGTACGGAGGTGTGAAACTCCCTAACTGGCTGTCTACCATCAGAAATCTGGTGGAAATCTCGCTGGAAAACTGCACGCATTGCAAGAACCTCCCACCATTGCATCACATTTCGGGTTTGAAGAAACTTAACATTGAAAATTGTCCACAATTGAAGAGAATCAATAAAAATGCAGGTGGTGGTGGTGGTTATCATTGTGATTCCTCTCCAAATGACTCAACACCAACCAAGAAAGAGGATAAGGAGTGGCCCCAGTTTCCATGTCTAGCCTCCCTGCGCATCAAAGATTGCCCAAATCTAACTCAGGCGCCCACTTTCCCAACTGTTGCAGGTGAGTTGGTGTTGGACGGAGCGAGCTTACAACTATTAGCTAGAACGATGGAGATGGTGAGGGCTGACTATTTAGATGAATTCATCACCGTGATTGAATACGGAGATACAAACCCTCCTTTTCTTCCTTATCCTCCTTCATCGACCTTCGTCTCCCCACTCTCCAAGCTGAGAAAGTTGAGGTTAGATGGAATTGATGATGATCTTGAATCTCTACCAAATAATGGTGATTTCAACAATTGTCTTGTCTCTCTTCAAGAGTTAAAGGTTCGAGATATTCGATGGGGAGCGAAGCTACCTAGCTCGTTGTGCTCCAGTACAAATTTAACAGTGATACATTTACAACATTGTGAGAGGGTAAAGTACTTGCCACCCCTACATAAACTCCCATCTTTGGCAGAGCTATTAATTGGGAATTGTCCGAGGCTAAAGGGTTGTTGGTCGAAGAAGAAGAAGAAGAAGAAGAAGGGGGAGGAGTGGCCTCATTTCCCTTGTCTTTCCACCTTGCAAATTAGAGGTTGCCCAAACTTGACTCGGATGCCCTTGTTTCCAACAATTGAAGGCAATTTGACTTTGTGGATGACCAGCTCACGGGCACTGGTCGAAACAATGAAGATGAAAGTGACAGCTCATGACTACAATTTTCCACAGTATTCTACTACTACAACAACGGAAACAGGTCCTTCTCCTACTTTGCCGAGGACTGTGCTTGTTAGCCCACTCTCTAAGTTGACAAGCCTGTCGCTCTGTGGAATGGATGACCTAGAATCTCTACCAGAAAAAGGTCTTGGCAACCTCACTTCTCTCCAGGAGTTGGTGATTGAAAAGTGTCCCAGACTAGCAACTCTGCCTCCCGCAATGCAACAACTCACCTCTTTACAAACGTTGGATATTTGGAGGTGTCCTAGGTTGGCAGAGCGATGCAGAAAGGAAGATGGTAAAGATTGGCACAACATTTCCCACATTCCATTCATAGAAGTGGACGGAAAGACGCTCCAAAACTCAGGTTGAGGTTCCTTGTGATCAAGTTTCACATCCCTAGCTAAAACTGGATGATGATCTCATTTCACCTCTCCCACCTGTTGTCAGCTTTTATCTTGTAAAATGCTGTAAAGCGACTATGATTAGTCTCTTTCATTCCAACTCCTAATTAATTGTGTTTTTTTTTTTTTTTCATGTGTTGGTGTTAGGCTGCCAAAGATGAAGGGACAATTGGTAGCCAGTCGACTCATCAACTCAAAAACTACTGCCACAAGGAACTAAATCTTTAGCATTACTAAGTTATTTGTAATTTTGTATCTTGTTCTCTGCCACATTAGAAAACTGCTCATACCTGACTGAGATGCATCTGTTTCCAGCTGAGGAGCCGTCTCGTGCCTTGAGTTTTGCGTCGTATGGTTTCTTATTTGCCTGTGTCAAGGGATTGTATATATAGTTCACCATCTCTTGTTTTGCCCTTACTCTGTACCTTCCTTTTCAAAGTAGAGGGCCAATCATATTGCAATCTTTTTGCGCAATGATGCTTCAAAACCAGTTTGCTATGCCTTGTGATATCTGATCATGGAATAGTTTTTAATGCGCTGTAAGGTTAATGAAGAAGAAGCATAGGGAGTTTGGGAGGGATATTAAAATGGAGAATTTTTTATTAAGAAGGTTGATATCAGCTGGAGATGTAATAGTTGGTTCCATGGGAGACTTACTGTTTGTCTAGTAAAAGCTTTGATGGGAGCAGAATTTACCAAGTTCAATGTGTCCTGTATTATTATTTCTCCTTACTATTTTAGCTTTGTTCTTTCATATAAATAACCGAAATGTTACATCCGTTTTCTTCGTAGCAGGTGCACGAACGAGTTGATCTGTCTCGAGCCATGTTCGGAACAAAATTATCCCTTGACCTCAGCTGAGCGTGAAGCCGGTATAAGTATCGAGGTACCTCCCCATAGTCATGCCTATCCTAAGATATAGTAGTATTGATGACTCAATACCCATATTTATGCACATTGAAACTCCAGACTTTTGAAAATGTTGGACTTCAATAAATAAATAAATAAATAACCAAGTTGTGGTGGATTATATTAAACCAAATTTCTTTCTATCCAAAGCTTATAACTTTCAATGACAATACCGTTCCTGGAAATCGTGCGAAGAAACTCGACTTGAAGGAGTTTTATACCAACTTCTTGCAATAAAACATGGATGCTTATCTGTGCATCGATTCTGGACTCTAATTGTTGAGTTTCCCTTGGATTATTACCGACATTACACACCATCTCCATCGAGATTGTTCTTAACCTTAAATTTGCGAAGTTTCAGAGACGGTTGCAGCAGCAAGAAGCAGAAAGGTTCAACAGACGGTGCAGAGAAGGTATTGATGAGAGATAAGGTTAATCAATTCCTGCAAAGCTTAATGCCAGCTAAAACCGAAAATAATTATAACTAATTAATCATGCTTTGGTGTATTTGCTTGCTCAACTCTAACTATTCCATTTCCAGGTCGTCATCACTGCCAGTGCATTAAGCTGTCACAAAGTTCTGTTTATAGTGCATCCAACACCTCCATGTGGGGAAACTATATGATATAGGTACGATGTATCGTTGGACTTGGATACATCAGACATTTTCAGTTGGGTTATATCAAGAAATATTTCACATTCCTCCAAAGCTCCAGTTTTTCTCTACTCTCCTGATTTGCTCTTTGCTCCCCTGTTTTTTCCTGACTCCCTCACTCTTGATTTGCTCTTGCTTGTCCGCTCCTGCACTTCATTGTTGGGATGAGTGGATTGGGGAAGACGATAAACGCTAGCTAATTTATTGGCCTTTCTTCGACTCGTCTCATTTCTTTCTCTGCTCCTCGGATTCACTGTCAGAATACTTGACCGTGGCGACGATGTGAATGCACTTTGTGATCTTTTCCTCATTTCTTCATTAAGAATTCCGCTTTTGACAGCCTCCAGGTTGACAACGCCATCTTCTGCGGTATTGGTAAGTGAAACCTTCAACGTCTCCAACGATTCTGGAAGGGAAGCAAGAACCAGGAGAGCAATCACTTCATCTTCCATCTTTATGTCCATGTCGGACAATTGATTTACGATCCCTTGAATTTCGTTCAAGTGATCCACCAAGAGATGTGTCGTCTTTGTATTTCATCTGCACTAACTTGGTAAGATAAAATAGTTTGTTGTTGCCGTTCTTCGTGGCATAAAGTCCCTCCAGCTTGCTCCACAAAGCTTTTGCATCATTCTCATCACAAATGTGATTGTACACATTATCATCTACAAACTGTCGAATGTAGCTGCACACTTGTTGATGCTCGAACTTCCAATCTTCGTCAGATTTGCCTTTAGGCTTACTCGAGCTAAACACTGGCAAATGCAACTTAGTCACGAGCAAGAAATCCTTCATCCTATTTCTCCATATGTGATAGTTTGAGCCATTCAAACGGACCATCTTGCTTGTTCTTACCTCTATCGAACTTAACTCTGAACCGCCAAGTTGACCCCCCAAGGACTTGTTGTCCTTATACTCCATCTGCTCCAACTTGGTCGGAGAAAATAGTTTGTTGTTGTCTGTTTTCGATGCATAAAGTCCCTCAAGCTTGCTCCACATAAATTTTGCATCATTCTCACCACAAATGTGATTGTACACATTATCATCAACAAATTGTCGAACATAGTTGCACACTTGTTGATGCTCAAACTCCCAATCCTCGTCAGTTTTGCCTTCAGGCTTAGCCGAGCTAAACACCGGCAAATGCAACTTCGTCACAAACAGGAGATCTTTCATCTTGTTTCTCCATATTCGATAGTTTGAGTCATTCAAACTTAGCATCTTGCTTGCTCTTGCCTCCATGCTCAAATACAACTTGCTAAGTTCAACATGCAACAATAAAAAAAGTAAGTATATTGCACTAAAAAAGTTGAAACCAGTGGCACACCCTCTAGAGCATAAAACCACTATACACGAGCAATTATATAAAATCACCTCAAAACCAAAATGGCAATAATAAACGAACTTACCTAACCAATCTACTTGGACAATATTAAGCATAGACAACAAATAAATGATATGATGATTTATCGTGATATACTCTTGATTTAGGGCCGATCCACCAGAATAGCTCTCTGTAGTATTTCTTCTCAAACTCACTATTTCTCACTCGCAAGAAAAGAACGAGAGTCGAAGCAGAGCAAGCAAATGAGAGAGGAAAGAAAGGAAGAATGAGGCGATGAGTTGAGAATGGAACCTCTATTGGGTTCCTTTTATAGCCCAACGGAGAGAGCAGAGTAATTGCATTTGAGTGGGCAAACTGCGGCCAGCTTTACACCTCCACCTACCGTCTGCTTTTCATTACTCCCATCAGCTTTCAGTGGTCTCTTTTCTCTTTTATTTCTTTCCTTATTCATCAATTATCACATTTGCAGGCGGACCCGAGCCACCGACATTTCTTTATGTTCCAGTACGAGCATAAACAGAGACGGGTTCACGATGCCACTCTTAACAGTTAACATGAACTCCCATCTTTGAAGAAGAGGAATCAAGGGGAATGGTAGTCGCAACAATGGTGGTGATGAGGGAGGTGGAGGAGTGGCCACAATTCCCTTGCCTCTCACTTTTGATATTGCTCTGTTTCTTGCTCCCCTGTTTTTACCTTGCTCCCTGTTTCTTGCTCCACCTCCCTTGTTTTCCGGTTTCTTTTTAATTCCTCTACAATGGCGGAAATCATTCTGATTCCTTTACAAAGGAAAGTCGACTTGGTAGCTCAAGAGTCTGCGTGATGAATTACCAAGTTCTAATTGAGAAAGAGCATGTAATTATATATTGGGAGCCCGACTCCTCGTTGCAAGAAATCCAGACGGGATTGAAGGAGAATCTGTGCTACAATCTTGATTTTGGGTGTACGTTCTATAACTTGATTCTAATCATCAATATTTAACTTTAAATCTATTACAAAAAAATTTAGAACTAATAAATACAATATATTAGTCAGAACTATTAAGTAACGGGGAATTATACACACAACTATCGAAATACAAATTATTAGCCATAATTATTATTGCGGGTCAAGATATGGCTACCAGCACGTTACAATTACTAAATTTTTAACGGGGACTGTCACGTCAGCATCCATATTAGCGTCCAAGTCAGAAAATATTAAAAGGCAAAATACACTTGTATAGCCAAAAATTCACACTCTGTGACAATAATAGCCAAATTTTAAAAAATATACATTATAGCCATACTTTTTAAACTTGCTTGAGTAATTTAGCCATTTCCATCAAATACTTTAAGAACGTTAATAACTCCGTATGTGAATTGAATATTATGCTGATCTGGTTGCCACCTGACCGCCACATCATATCCACCCAAACTCCCCATTTCCACAATGGAATTCATCATTTATTAAATGTTAATTACATAAAAACAAAGACAAAAGGGGAATGAGAAATTTGTCTCTCCATCTTCCTTTCTTCATTTTCTCCTGCCTTCGTTTCTGCTCGTCCTCGCCGAAAAATCAGAACTTAGAGCTCTGCCCCTTCAATGGTGGTTCCCAAACCCTAGAATCTGTCAATCCCCAAACCAAGAAATTCTCCCTCTTTCTCCCCTCGCCAGCGCCGCCAACGAAAAGAATCTCCCCAGCCATAAAATCCCTAATTAGCCAAAGTGGGATTTTACTTCCATTCTTCCTTCCCTCAATCCTCAATCTCTTCGTCCTTCAATCTCTCTGTTTGTCCTTTCTTTTGGGAAACCCACTCGCAGAACCTCCATTATTGGGAGAGCATGGCGATGGAGATGATGAAGCACCCCAACATCGTCGAGCTCCACGAAGTGATGGCGAGCAAGTGAAAGATCAAAATCGCCATGAAGCTCGTCCGCGGCGGCGAGATTTTCTCCAAGATCGAGAGAGGCTGGTTGAGAGATGACGTTACTAGAGTGTACTTCCAGCAACTTATCTCCACCATCGATTCTGCCACAGTCGCGACGTCTACCATCGAGAGCTGAAATCCAGAGTCCCGTCCTGGTTCTCCTCCGAGTCTCGCCGCCTCGTCTTCCACGATCTTGGTTATGGATTGGGATTTGGAATCACAATATGGGTTGTCGATAAACGATGGCAATGAAGGGGTTCGGCGGCGCATAAGACGGCACCAGATAGGTTGGTCAGCATCTCAGCGAGGTGAAAGAGGCTGGCCGGCGGGTAGGATTGTTCGGGGAGATGTGGATTCACTCTGGAGGTGAAGAAGGATTTTGAGGCCGCGACCGTAACTGCAGATTCACTCTCAACTCATCAGACGATTCGATCGATGCGGCCTTCCTGCAAACAATAATAATAAGGCTAAATTACACATTTGGTCACTCAAATTACATAAAATTTTCACGTTTGCCACCTGAATTACTTTTCTTTCTTATTCGCCACTAACTTTATGAATCGTTTCATCGTTAGTCACTGACCGTTAGTCTCCGTTAGATTTCGTTAACTCCCTCAATTTTTTGATGATGTGGCAAACATAATTGCTGACGGGAGCGTTAACTTAATGTCATGTAAAAAAACAATAATGAATTGACTTGTCGTGAGTCAGTTTTTGCCCTGGGTAGAGGTAGGGATGGCAATTTCGACCTGACCCGTTTTACCCGACCTATTTGACCTGTTTTGGGGCGGGTCCGACCCGCTCTGTAGGCGGAGCGGGGCGGGCATGGGTAGTCTCATCGACCCGACCTACCCTGACCCGCCCCATTCTCGACCAATTCTTGTCTAAATCACGTGTAATCTTAGTCAAATTACTGAGAATTTTCCTTTTATTGCATCATATTTTAGCTATAATAAAGTTGTAAATTAGTAAAAATCTCAATTTCTCCAATAATTTAACTACAATTGTCATAATATTGTTTGTTTTCTTAGTTTTATAATAAAAATAACGAATATTTCTAATGTTTTTCATATAAATTGCATACCCATTGGGTCGACCTGCCCCGACCCGCGACCCGTGATCAATTACCTTACCTGGACCCGACCTACCACGGGGCGGGTCTGGGTACCAAGAAACCCGCCCCGGACCTGCACCATTGCCATTCCTAGGTAGAGGAGGATAATAAACCAAGGGAATTTATGGATCTCGCCGCCGAAGCTGAAGAAGGTTGTCAATCGGTGGACGACGAACTTCTGGATCTCGCCGCCAATGTACCAGGGAATTTTTTCGTGGGAGTGAGGAGAGGAGGCCACGGAGTTGCCAGAAGCCGAGGAGTCAAGGTTGCCGACTCCGACAATCTCTCTTCCAGCCATTTTGTATCCCTCAAAGTTGTAATCGATGCCTTCGTTCAACCTATGTTTCCCTGCTAAAACCACCGTCGAAGGATAGATCATTGCAAGATCTACACGAAAACATCGGCCACACGCCTTGGCTGATCGACATGGAGACGAGATCTGAATTAAATAAGTTAACTTTCGACATGGAGTCGTCCTGTCCGGTCTCATCGTCGGGAGCTCACCACAAACGCGGAAAGCGCCATAGCGCAGATCATCAAAAAAAGTCATCGAGAAATACTACAACCTGTCCTTCCCTGTCGGGGATGCAAAGAATCGAGGCAGCTGAATCAGGTGCTAGCAGGCCTGCTACGAAGAGCAGAGAATCAGAGGCTTCTCCATCTCCATCGTCGGAGATATAGTCAAAGGCATCGATTAATTTGGGGACGGTGAGCCGGTGATGGACAAGGTTTTTGGGAAATTCAAGGGCACGGTTTTACTGTTTTCAAGAGGAAAAGTGCAGCTTGGAAGGTGCTTAGGGAATCGCAATCTACAAATATATTATAGCCGAGTTGGAGGCAGTTTTTCAGCATTTCAAATTTCGTGCAATGAGAGCGAAAGTAGGAAGGATAATTGTGTCTTCACAATCATTATTTATTTTTTATTCATAAAAAAAAATTACATCAATATCGGGATTCGAAACATGCTCTTTCCAAACTAAGATAGCAACCATTATCAATTACGCTAAAGAAATCTTTTATATCTTTTCAAGTAAAAAATCTAAAAACCTGAAATCTAAAAATCATACGACTTTTCCACTACTGTTAGCTAGCCCACTAACTTTCCCGTAAGTACTTTCTTTGTTATTTGATATTTGAATTATCATATTTTGATTATTTTAATTTGATTTTACTAATAAATCTAATTTATGTCTATCTTATAAATGGAGGGTAATTTTGAAATTGAAACCCAAATATCATTGATTCAAATATTACATATTGAATGTGTAGATGTGATGTAGAATTCTTAACTTGGTATTAATTTTTAGAACTATTAAAGCAACGATATTGTTATGCAAACTGTAAGTGACCAGTTTTTTTAAAATTTTAGTTTGGTTTACTGTTAAATCTTCACTCTCGTGATAATATGACATGATTGGTCAAATAGGTGAGTTTAAAAGAACACAATTTATGAATACCAATTTTTCTAGATGATTTCAATTATTTAAATATTTATCTTATATGATAATTCACCATATGTATTATTTATAGTTAATTAATTTAAAATAAAATAACCACAATACAAGACAAATCATGAAAGTCGAGCCGGAGTTTTCATGGATGCATTGATGTGGTCATGTGCGCTAGGAAGGTAGGTACCACAAGATAGGTTTAATTTTTTTTTTTAGTGAATAAGATTGTACTTCAACTAAATTTAGAGTATGTTGGTTGATAAATAATTTTTTCATTGCATAGAGTATGGATGGAAAATGTTATTTTCCTACTAATTAATTTTGTTATTGTATTGTGCAGAATACTTTAAGGTTTATATACTATTATATATGTATTGTTTCTCAAGCATAAGAAATAAATATTGATTAAAGGTTATGAACTTATGATCATGAGTTTCCTATTTATGCTATGCTTTTTTAGACAAATTCTTTTTTTGTTATGTCAATTTTCTCTTCAGAGTGACCACATCATTAAATTGACAAGTTATGAATGGTTATTCACGAGTGTTATAACCAAGGTTGTTACACCTCTACCGGGTGGCTGATTGGACTAGGTCCGACCAAAGTCGTGTTCCAAAACCGGCTCTACAAAGCCAAGTGTCTGATCGTTAGAGAGAGAGAAGAGGGAAGGGGGAAGGGGGAGGGGGGGAGAGAGAGGCAAGAGGATGGTGGATGAATCTTGAAATAAGTATGTTTTCTTATGGAATTTGAATTTTTAATCAGTTGATGGTTAATCGGTTGGACCGAAAACCATGGTTATCAATCTAACCGAAAATCAATATATTTGCCTCGGTGTCGGCGTCGGTGGGCTGATTTTGTGCTTTAAGCTAACCGTCAGTTGTCGGTTTCTAACCGAGATCAAACTCGGTGCACCGCTGCAACCGACAAACCTTCTCATCTCCCTCTCCTCACCCCGCATCGACGGCACTCTGTCCCTCTCCATCTCCAGCCTCCACCAGGCCACCACCACCGCCCTCCACACCCCCAATTGCCCCGCCCGACTTCGCCGAACCTTCTCTCCGAACACTCCCTCCTCTGTTGTCGATTCCCACTCCTCCTTCCATTTTGAGTTTCGAATCTTTGCCCAGCAAATCCCAATTGACAGAGCGGAGTTGGGGGTTTGAGTTGGGGTGACGAGCGGACGACTGACAGAGGGAGTAGGGACGAGGACGACGCTGGAGAGTGGGAGAGCTGTCGACGGCGCCCGACGGGTGACAGACGCGACGACGCGAGGGGAGATCTAGCGGCGGCGCCTGGCAAAATAGGTTTAGGAGTCTTCTCTTCTTTTGCCTGGAGAAATCGAAATCTAATGGGAGAGGAGGACCGGAAGAACCCTAAATCCCAAAAAATACACCCGCTACGGCGCTACCACACCATCTCCGCATCTACGATTTCTTCCAGAGTTCGAACCTTCCCCGCCCGCGCCGCAGCCGTCGTCATCGATGGTGGGATCTTCCTCTTGTCGTGGTGGGATCTTCCTCCAGTTTCCTTCTCCGGCAGAAGAACATACTAGTGGTCAGTCCTTCTCGATGGTAGGGAAGAGGATAAGGAGAAGAAGATAGGCCCTGCGGTCTCGGCAAACCGCATCCAAAAACCGAAATCGCCGGTTGCGGTTGGCGCTTAACCGAAGACCCCATCAGTCTCGACTTCGGTTGGCGCTGATGGGTGATTCTCGGTCTCCGCTAACCGATGGTGCGGTTCGGTTAAACCGAAACTGCACCGACTAACAGCCCTAGTTATTACATTCCATTTTAGTCACTAAATTTCTATCTTATATGTAAATATATTTAGAAAAGGTGTAAAACGGCTCAAACAGGTTGGACCTCAATCAAACCATTAAACTTCAAACTACTTGCTTGACCCGGCTCAACAACTTGAACCAGATGGACAACTTTGGTTATAACAACAATTAAGCTTACAATGTTCATCATTGATTAAAAGTTATAAGAATTTCGAAAATGGAAAAATAATTTTGATCTCACCTAAATGCCATGCGAAATTCAGCATTTCAAGTAATTTAAAATTTTTAAATACACATCATACATATATTGTATTCAATGACATTCCGACCAACGGGTCGGACAACAAGCTAGTAAAAGAGTAAAGCAGGGTTTTTTCTATTTTTTATTTTTTAAAATTAACATGTCATTAAGTTAACAGTCTAGTCAGCAGGTTCGTTTGTCACGTCATCAAAAAGTTAACGGAGACTAACGGTGAAACGATTCGTAAAATTAATGGCGAATAAGAAAGAAAAGTAATTTGGGTGGCAAACGTGAAATATTTACGTAATTTGAGTGACCAAACGTGTAATTTAGACATAATAATAATTTATTTAAGTAATTATTATTATTATTTTAGAAAAAAAGAAATATAAAATCTCCTCCGACACACGTTTTCTTCCTCCTCCCTCCCAACGCTCTTCTTCCTCTACTGCACCACTCTGCTGCCATCGTAATTGCTCTGGTTGCCCACAATGGGAAGAACTCCCCACACCAACGGCGCACCCCACGAAGAGATGTGGAAGACCCGCCGCATTACGCCCCAACCACATTATTCCTTGTTGTCGAGGAACAACCTTAAATTCCGTCCCCCGCTGCGCCGCCGCCGCTAACTCTAATCGAGAAATTGATGATTCTAATCGATAAATTGATGATTCCGCCACACTCAATCAATTCTGTCAATCAAAACCTAATTGAACTACACGAGGGAAGAAGCAGCCGGTTGACAGAAGCACCACTCGAGGCAAGAAGAATTCTCCAAGAGATCGTCCCTTCGACTTCGAGAACATCTGATTCTCTAAGAGATCATTCGTAATACTGATATCGTATTAAAATATTTTGCAAACGGAATTGATATATCGAATTTATTTGGGGATCGGAATTGAGATTGGTTCTAGAACACTATGCAATATTAGATACCGAGATGCTAATACCGTACAGATTTCCACATCTAACTCACAGGTCAACCGGCCGATTACCCATGCATTACTCGATAATTTGACCCGGCTGAACCCGTACCAAGGCTTAACTAGAATAGCCGGACCGGTCGCGCGGTTTTGCGGTCCCGGGTTGAAGAATCCTAATACCCTTCGGAAAATGATTAAACAAAAAGGAAAAGTAAAATTCCGTCAGCAGATTGTGTTGTTGGTGTTGGAGACTAGAGAGAGCCGCCCTGGATGATTCAACGACATCCCCCATGTCTTTGACCTTTCTTCTTCTTCGCATATATATATTATCATGTTTAATTTTTTGGTTTCCATTTTTTTCTACCCAATGGTCTAATTTAGCAGCTTCTCCATGTCTACGATTCTCTTTTGGCTCACAGCTTTCGACTTTTCTCTGATGGGTTCTTGACGGCCGCCAAAGGGAAAAAAAAATAGAAGAAGAATAAGCTCACCAATCCACCAAGAACAAGCAGCCAATCAACCAAAAAAAAAGGAAAAGCTTTGGTTTTGATCATGCAAGAAGAAGAAACAGCTGATTCCTGGCCTCCTGTCATACTGTTCTTACTGCTCTCAATCATCTTCCTCCATGGTAAACCCCCCTCTCCTTCCTCCTCTTCACTTTAATTCTCTGTTTGATTGATTGGTGATTCTGAATGAAGGGTTTAGAGCATTTATATGAGGAATTCATGGGGGTCCTTTACAGAATTCAGTTTCAGGGTTTTCAGAATTCTCACCTGGTTTGCTTCTATCTCTCTGTGCAGTAACTCTGGTCGCCGGAGATTCTCTGGAGGCCGACAGAGACGCGCTACTCAGCTTCAAATCCTACTTGATAAGCAATAACAGAGTGAACCCAGGGAGGTACTTGCAATGGAATCAAGAAGGAGGAGGCGGCGCCGCCACCACCAACCCCTGCAACTGGGCCGGAATCTCCTGCTCGTCGGACCGTTCCAGAGTCACCGGAATCGACCTCGCCGACAACAACATCTCCGGCGAGCTCTACAACAATTTCTCATCCTTAACAGCTCTGGAGTCCCTTGACCTCTCCAGAAACTCGCTCCTCGGCTTCCTTCCTTCTTCTGATCTCGGCAACTGCCGCAGCCTTGCTTACCTCAATCTCTCGCACAACATCCTCAAGGGGGAAGTGAACTTCACCGGGCTGACGAACTTGCGGGTGCTCGACTTGGCTAAGAACAGGTTTACAGGAGGAGTTCGGTTCGGTCGACCTGGAATGTGCAACGACTTGGTGGTGGCCAATCTGTCGGAGAATTATTTCAGTGGGAGGATCGATCAGAGCTTCGTCGGGTGCTCGAATTTGGAGTACCTTGATTTGAGCTCCAATCAGTTCACCGGCGGGTTGTGGAGCGGATTTTCCAAGCTCAAGGAGTTCTCTGCCTCGGAGAATGGATTGAATGAGCTCTCTGGCTCTGTGTTTGCCCAGGATTGCAGCCTGCTGTCCTTGGACATATCCGAGAACAATTTCACTGGCGAATTGCCTGGAAATGTTTCGAACTGCAGGAATCTCACGAGCTTGAATGCTGCAGGGAACGGTTTCAGTGGCCCCATTCCATCAGAAATCGGCAGGATCGGGAGCCTGGAAACTCTACTGCTCGGCAACAATAGCTTTTCTCCGGCTATACCGGAATCTCTATTGAGCTTGAACAACCTGACCCTTCTGGATTTAAGCAGAAACAAATTCGGAGGCGAAGTGCAGCCCATCTTTGGCAAGCTCACACAAGCTAAGTATCTGGTGCTGAGCGGGAATTCATATACCGGTGGGTTGTACGGTTCAGGACTTCTCAACCTAACACATCTCCTTGGACTAGACTTGAGCTACAACAATTTCTCAACTCCATTACCGATCGAACTCTCCCAAATGCGCGGTCTCAAGTTCCTAATCGTGGCACATAATCAGTTCAACGGCAGCATACCTCATGAATACGGGAACCTGACAGACATTCAGGCGCTCGATCTCTCCTTCAACAGGCTCACAGGTAGCATACCATCCTCCATTGGTGATCTCAACTCACTCCTATGGTTGATGCTTGCAAACAACACCTTAACCGGCGGAATACCTCCCGAATTGGGCAGATGCAACAGCTTGCTGTGGCTGAACCTAGCAAACAACAACCTCTCAGGGGAAATCCCATCTGAACTAATGAACATAGGCAGCAATCCGGGACCTACATTTCAACAAAACCGCGAGTACGGGAGGGCTTATGCTGGCGTTGGAGAGTGCTTGGGAATGAAGAGATGGATACCAGCTGATTACAATCCGTTCAGCTTCGTCTACTCGATACTCAACACACGGAGCTGCAGAAGCTTGTGGGATAGATTGTTCAGAGGAAATGGACTCTTCCCGGTGTGTGCTCCGGGGTCCACCGTCAGAACGTTTGCGATCTCGGGTTATCTCCAGCTCAGCGGGAACATGCTGTCAGGACAGGTCCCTAGAGAAATCGGCAAGATGCAGAATTTCAGCATGCTGCATTTGGGATTCAATGATTTTACAGGGGATTTACCTCCAGAGGTCCAGCAAATGCCCCTCGTGGTTCTGAACCTGACCCGAAACTCGTTTCGGGGAAGCATCCCCAGCGAAATCGGCAACATCAAGTGCTTACAGAACCTGGATTTCTCATACAACAACTTCTCAGGAACGTTTCCAACTAGCTTTAACAACTTGACAGAGCTCAGCAAGTTCAACATATCCTACAATCCATTCATCTCCGGCGTCATTCCAACCACCGGCCAGTTAGCAACATTCGAGAGGGATTCCTTTCTAGGAAACCCCCTCCTGAGTCTGCCCCAGTTCATCAGCAATCCACCCGATTCCCGTGCAACAAAGGATCCGAATTCTGCAAATGACAAGAAAGTAATTCGCACGAAATGGGGAGCATTCTTGATCTTCTCCGCCCTCGTCTTGGCAATCTTGATCTGCGGAGCACTGTCGTTCGTCATCCATCTACTGGGTAAACCCCAATCATCATCATCACCTGGGTATCTACTGCAACACAACAAATCCAGGCACGACGTCTCGACGACCTCCGGCAGCTCGTCGCCGGTATGGTCGTCGGACACCGTGAAGGTAATCCGCCTGGACAAGACGGCGTTCACCCACGCCGACATTTTGTCCGCGACGGAGAACTTCTCGGAGGGGAGAATCGTGGGGAGAGGAGGGTTCGGCACAGTTTACCGAGGGGTGTTACCTGACGGAAGAGAAGTCGCGGTGAAGAAGCTGCAGAGAGAAGGGATCGAAGGGGAAAAGGAATTCCGAGCGGAGATGGAAGTCCTGACCGGCAACGGCAGCGGATCTGGATCTGGCTGCCCGCATTTGGTGACGCTCTACGGGTGGTGCCTCGACAGATCGGAGAGGATCCTTGTGTACGAATTCATGGAAGGAGGGACGCTGGAGGATGTGATGGCGGATCGGCTGACGTGGCGGCGGCGCGTGGAGATCGCGGTCGACGTAGCGCGGGCGCTGGTGTTCCTCCACCACGAGTGCTTCCCGGCGGTGGTACACAGGGACGTGAAGGCGAGCAATGTTTTGCTGGATAAAGAAGGGAGGGCTAGGGTTACGGATTTCGGGCTGGCGAGGTTTGTGGACGTCGGGGGGAGCCACGTCAGCACGATGGTGGCCGGGACGGTGGGGTACGTGGCGCCGGAGTACGGGCAGACGTGGCAGGCGACGACGAAAGGGGATGTTTACAGCTACGGGGTGTTGTTGATGGAGCTGGCGACGGGGAGGAGGGCGGTGGACGGAGGGGAGGAGTGTTTGGTGGAGTGGGCGAAGAGGGTGATGGTGGGCGGCGGCGGAGGAGGAAGGGGGCGGGCTGCGGCGGTGGTGGTGGGGCCGGGAGCGGCGGAGATGGTGGAGCTCTTGAGGATTGCGGTGAGGTGCACGGCGGAGGCGCCGCAGGGGAGACCCAATATGAAGGAGGTGCTGGGGATGTTGGTGAAGATACCCGGAAGCAGTAAGAGAGGAGGAAACTTGTTCGCCGGCGGCGACGTCGACGACCTAGCTCCGGCGTGGTAAAAAATAGCAAATTAAGGAAAATGAAAGAAAGAAAATACATGTATGTAAAATATAGTAGTGTAGCCAGTAGCCAGCAGCCAGCAAGGAAGAACATATTTCTCCATTTTTTTTCCTTTTCTCTGATTCTTATTGTAAAAAAGAATAATGAATAGTGCAAAACCCATTTCATTTCCCAGGAGAAAGAACAGAATAAATGAATAGTTCTCCAGAAAGATACTTCTCATTGATCTGAAGCGTCTGCTATCTATGCATCTTTAGGTACACAGAAAAGGGCATGCAATACGCGTATTAAGCGGAGTATTTACTAACTATGGTACAAGGGTAGAAAGAATCCAGAACCTACTTAACAACCTGCAGCAAAAACTCTCATACAAACAGTCTACTCTCAATACTCAGAAGTTCCAGCGATCCAGCTGCCGCCTTGCTTCACCCATGTCTTTCTGTGCTTTCTTCCGCCGGTAGAATATAGGGCAATCTCGACTGCTCCCCCAATTATGGAACAAAGATCAACCATCATTCAAGAGGGTGGAAAATGCATGACAGGACATTGTTTAATAGGGGAGAAAGCAGTTCTTACCTAGAGCATAGCACATCTTGATGAAGAGAGCCTTGACATTCCTGGCACTGTGTCCACAGCCTCCCAAAAAGGGATTCTAGATCAGCCACTGCATCCAAAAAGAACAATCTCTCTGTGAGAAAGTACGCAGAAAAGGGTATGTTCTCGTGTTAGATAGATAAACAAGCAAGATGTGATAAAGATGCAGTAACTACCTTGAGAAACACTCTTGCAGTACAGCTCGGCTTCTCTTCCTTGGCAATGAGTGCAAAGAGTTCGCTCCGAATCCCTGGTTCAACAAAGTAAATTGGAGAAGCTCGGGTTAGATTACAACTATTCTGAAAATACACAACCAAAAAGAACGCAGAGTATGAAAGGCATTTACTTTATTACTGCTTTGCAGCCAAGGCAGGTGAGTTGTTTCTTTGCAAATCTCATAATGCCCCCACTTGATGGAATGGGTTTCGATATATTTCGGGTGTGATCCCCGCTGAGTAGTTCATCTTTGGCGTTCTTCAAAATCGGCTCAAAGATACGTAGAAGTGGCTGCATTGCCAAAAGGCTTCATATTAGAGCCGTTCAGAAGATTGCAACCAAGCTGCGTACAAAAACTCGTTATTACTCTGACCTTCTGTAGCTGATTTGTGAGGTAATATTTACTGTCAATTGGAATGTTATTCTCTAGCACATATATGGGATCCTCAGACTTCTCATAGGCCTGTCCATAATAGCATAACATAGTTGGTTTAGATTAAGAAAATTTATTTCAAATAAGAACACTGACACTCTAATCATCACTAATGGACCATAATCTGGGTTCTTCTCCACACAAACCGGAATATGGAGACCCTACCTTTGCTCCTTTTGCAGCTTCTATTATGACATAAGCAACTCGGTCCCCAACGTTGGGGGCAGTGGCAGCATCTCTCTGTGAATCAGAAAAGAAACGAGATTGGAAAGCCTGAACATATATAAATGTCATTCAAAACAAATGAATCCTTCCTGAAGCACAGATCCAGTTGAAGTGTTACGAGACCATAGTGTACTATTAATTACAATCATAAGTCTTTGTTAGAGCAAAGCAAAGTTTACACCAAGCCAGTGACCCTAGCTTTCTAGTAGTCCATAAGGCTTACAAATAAAAAATACTCATCCCACAAACACAGGAAGTATGCTCAATTCATCGAGACCAGCAATCATATAACCAAGTTTGATAAATACTTCCTAATCAAAATATTTTAGTACCAGAAATTAAAAATAATAGAACTAAGCTTGGACAAAAAGCAAAAATGAGAAAAGAAGAATTCAATGAATTTATTATTTGAGAGTAAGTAGGAAAATTTGAATAACCTTGCGCATTCGTTCAGCAAGCTCAACATGAGCAGACTTCACTTCATAGTCATCTCCAGTCTTGGTCAAACCCTTATGATACCAAACACATCAAACCAGATAATAAGACATTAGTCTACAATATTTCAAATAATTCAGTTTAAAGTGAGCATGCAAAAAATAAAATAAAAATTGCCACCTTAGTAATAACAAGGAGTGACAGGTCCAGACGATTCATGAGAAGATCTGAAATAGTATTCTTTACATATTGAACTGCGCCAGGTACATCTCTGTCCATTAGTATCTTATGCAGACATTCAGTTATCAGGTTTTTAACCAAAAGGCAGTTGTCTCTTCGGACTGTCTCAATTCCTGTCCATGATTGACATTAAAGTTAGAAAGACAACATTTTGCAGTAGACAACTTGCTATTCAGCTTCATACTTTTACCTTTAGCATCCATTTTATCATATTTGGCTGGAGTCGTCCAGTACAAGCCAGCATATCTCTTCTTGTTTATCAGTAGATATGGAAAGTAAACCTTCTCAAACTCTAGCTTGATCGGCTTCAGAACACAAATATGAAAATAAAAATACACCAATTTCAAGGCCCTTAGTGAAATACAACAGAAAGCCAGATATGAACTTGGTGGGGTGGGGTGGAAAGACATGTAAAACAGCTTGTATTTTTGGCTGCTCTAACTTACTTTGGTGAAAGTTCCACTAATATGCTCAGCAGCCTCTCTTCCTAATTTCATTGCTTCTTCTACAGTAGCCACCCCAAATTGTACCATAACAGAATCTGTGTCCCCATATATAACCTGAAATGGAATTCAGAGTGGGTAAAATACACAAATACACTCTATTCAGATAATTATAAACATCAATATAGGTTCGACTTTAAATAACTGATATACATTAATCATGATTAAATATCTCAATAGTGGTTCAAGTGACTAGTTTGGGTTAGGTTGGATACCTCAGCATTGTGCTCATAGCCTCCCATCATGGTAAATTTATCCTCCACAAGTCTTCTGGTGTGCTCAATCATTTGGCGACCTTTCCATTGGAAAAAAAGTGTGTTAATCACATGAATCAAGTCGAAAGAAAACAACTATAGTTTGCTGCATTCATTGGCTCGAACAGAGACAGCAATGAATAAAAGGAGAAAAGGAAGAGGTGCCATTAGTGATGAGTTCACTGGCACCTACTTGATTCTCGGAAAGTTTAGAAGTGACGGTCTTAGTTAGAATACCATAGCTCGTGACACTTGAGGATATCTCTAGGCATGGCAATTGGCCAATTGTTGCTCCTGTAAAGCCATACACAGAATTCGCACTAATCTGAAAAGTACAAGAAACAAAGCACGCAAAGGAAAAACTAAGTCAGTTTAATTGATAAAAAACTGAACCCTGACTCCTATATTAACAATAATTTTACCTTGAGGGCTAGTTGGCGGCCATCTAAAACAGCCTTCTCAAATGGATCCTTAGCCTCCTATTATTAGACAACACCATAACGAGGAAATCAAAGTAAGATAGGGATTGGAAAACAAAGGGAAATATAGGAACCAACAAATGTCGAACATTAAACCAAACGAACCTTTAAATCTGCTTTTGCTCTTTTACGTGCAGCAATTAGTTCTTCAAGAATTTCAGGAAGAATTCCCTGAAATGGATAATGAAACACTTCATGAGTGACAATTTTGGTATTTATGGGAGAGTTCTTCAGGTGTTGAATGCCAAATGTCAAAACCAACAAATCCATTTCACTATGTTTGACCTTTTGCAAGCTCGGTTTGACAAATGTTTCACCCGATGGAGTTTTATTGACACATTCTGGAGGCAGATTGAGCTTCTTAATATCTTCAGGAGTCACCTTCAACAGCAAAAAGAACAAACTTTAGAACAGCTTTATTGTGTCAAAACAAAAGAACTAAGGCTATGTGGGGTGGGTGGAGAATCAATGTGGTCATAGAAGTTAAAAAATAATAAGCAAATAAGGACCAGAGAGCTCATAATTGATCATTTGACTAATTACCAGAGTGCAGTAGCACAAGTTATATGCCATCATTATCGATGGATATAAAGAAGCAAAATCCAATGTTGCAATTGGCTTCTCATAGAATCCCACTTTAGCATCCAAAACCTGAATTGTGTAAAACATCCGATAGAATAGATCAATGGACATGAGGAAAAACAACAAGCAATCGGACAAGCTTCATCAGAATTACTTAGAACCACGGAAAAAAAAAAGCTTCATCCAAAAACAACAGAGGAAAACCGAGTATGCGTAAATCAGAAAATAAAGACGGAGAAAGAGAGGAGACAGAAAAATAGCATGGATGAAGCTTGGGGAAGGCAAATAAGAATTTATGGTTGAATCACCGACAATAGAAAAATCAGGGAACTAACTGTAATGGTGCATTCTAAATATTTTTTCTATTATTATATCTTACCTGATCAAAAGAAAAATAATGACTTGATAACTATTACAATTCAGGCAATTAGAAAATATGTAGGCCATGGAGTTGCGACACTTACAGTTGCACCTTCATATGTTGATCCTGGATCTGATCCTGCCTGTTTAACATTTGGAAGAACAAGACCCTTTTCCTTAGACTTCCTCAGAAGTTGAGAAAGTACCTGACAGCAAGCAAAACCAATTAAGAATTCAGATATCAAGCTCAATCACTGCATCAATTGCCACTCATTCACATGTCAAAATACCTTAATACTCTGTCCCCTTGAAAGAAGAAAAGATATAGGAACACCAGTAACACGAGCCATTTCTACATAATTGTATATATACATTAGTTTGTCCAAAAGGCGCTGTGGGAGGTAAGCATCCTGCAATTCCATTGACAAAAGTACAAGTCCATCACTGTCTATCAGATATATAGTCTGTTAACCCTTACAGATAATAGCTAAGCTGCTAAATAAAAAATAACAGAACGTAGCAGATTCCTAAATCCTATAACGTATCAAAGGAGGTTAATGTTAAGTTACAGGGCAAATCAAAATATGCAACCAAGATTTGACAAATCCTGAATGTTGCTCACAAGATAATATCAGGAGCACTAATCCAAAACTAAGATTTGAAGCTCGTTTTATATTTGATTTCAGATCTGAGAGACAAAAAGACTAATCATCCGGGAAGAATATTCAGAAAAATGGCTAGCAAATTGAAGATGAAAAGACGAGATAGAAAGTGCTGTCGTAAAGGTGCTTATGCTAACCAGCACCTTCAAACAATAAACCGCAAGCCGCCTCCTTGTTTCTGAGTTTCCGTTTTGAAGGTCAGATATTATTGAATGGTGAACATCCTCTTTCTGCAAGAGAAATCAACAGTGACATTAGTGCAGTCATCCAAGTTGAATTTCTGCAATCAAGTCCCGTTCATCTCAAAGACGATTTCAATCATTACCTGCTCAGAAAGAAAGTGTGCTGAGACATTGTTTAATGAATAAGAACTCAGTTTATGATCCCTTTGCATAGCCTGAAAGCAATATACAGAATCTAGTCAAGGACACCCTAACTGTTGTTGATTAGAACTAACCACGTAACAAAGAGACAGGACCTGAAGCAAATCAAACTGAACCCTGCCTACTAAAGCAACTTCTTTGCTTTCTCGCGTTCCATACTGCCTGTAATCAAAGATTATTTTAATTAAGGAAGCAGATGTTTACATATATGCATATAGGGTACAAGCATATGTAAATGCAAAAAGGTCACTGACCAATATGCATATGATATACTCTGCATTCTCTACAAACCAAGAAATACAGTATTTACAATGAAAAGGACATGTTCGAAGCAAAAAAAAAGGGAAGCAACTACTAGCCTAAGCCGTGTTAAATAGCTTTCAGGAAATGTGACTGACCTTTAACACACACAAAAAACTGCATTTCAATGCATAAAGAGCGGAAGCAATCTCACTACTGCTCGACTAGCAACAGTTAACTTTCTATCATACCCTACCTTGATGAAAAAGTCGCATCTTTGACTGTAACCCTGCTGTTTCGAATGCGTCCCAATACTGGAAATTCTGATATGCCCAAGCTTTGAGCTCTCTACAGTACAAAAGAATTTACTAACTGATCATAAACCGAACCTAGGGCAACGACTGGCTTACCATAGTGCATGGTCACCAAAATAGGAAAAGTTTGCAGCAAGAATAAATCAGACAAACATTTTTACCTCAATAAGATATGGCAAATCAAAATTACAGATATTATATCCAATAATAATATCTGGATCCACTTCAAGGACAAAATCCTGCAAGAAACAAGTCATTATCCTGAGATTTCAGTGTGAAACCAATAGCTCAAATTAGATTAATATATTATCTCATGTATCCAAGAGCAGTTTCAAGATGCCTCATACCCTCCAAGCTAGCAGCACTTCTTTTTCGGTATCAAAAGACATCACATCCGCACCAACTATAGGTGAGCATGATTTTAGTGTCATAACATTACGCACAAATGGTTGGCTCTCCCCCTGCAGGGTTACTAGGTTGGCCACCTATAACAAGACAAAATTTTACTTCAGACATGAATAATGATATAAAGAGCACTCATAAAAATAATTCCACTGAACATGGCAGATAGGAGGACCAGCAACAAACCTGAATAACAGGATCATGAGTAGGCTCTGGAAAATGACCTTTACGTCCAGCACACTCAATATCGAAACTCAATATCCGGAAAGGAGCCATTTTTGAGAACTCTCCTTCTGGGGCATGGCTAACCAATGCTGAATATCTAGAAGTCGTGTTAAGAAAAAACTTGCATCTAAAAGGACTGAAAATAAAAGAAACTAGAATAGACATTCCCACATACAAGGCAATTGACACCGGCAAGGATACAAGCAATCCACCTCCAATTGACAATAGGAGAAGCTCTTGACTGTCTTCTTATAGTTTCCAGCAGGCACTTCTATCCAATTTCCACCAACAATCCCACAATCAACCATGAAACGGAGAGCAAAAACAACATTGCTTTCATATGTCATAAAGCTCTTCATGCCCACGCCGTCTATCTGTATTCCTTTGTCAAGAATACCTACATGTTGACACCCGAAATCCAAATGCAGCTATCAAAGATCATTCTGATCGCAAACCTACTAAAAAATGGGCGGAATATACTTAAAACAACAATACAATAAGCAAAATGCAAAGGAGAATAACTTAGACAATTCTCTCTGTACAGTGGAAGTCTTTACCACGACAACCGGCAACCATTGCTGGCAAAGCAACAACAATCTTAAGAAAGGGATTGGAGTCCTGTTGTTGGTAGAACATGATGCTCTTCTTTTGTACCATCTCGATTCTCCTAATGAGTTTTGACACATTACTATTCCGGTTGAGCTCCCTCATTCTCCCCTGAAACGGATAGGCCCTCAGTATAGATTAAGTGATTCAGAGACACCGAAATTACATTCAACATTGGCAAATCTCCATACCTCAAGGACCTGATGAAACCGAGATATGTCATCAGGGCCCATTCCAGGAGGGCAACTGATGTAGAAATAGGGTTCAAATCCATGAATATTGCAGCACACACTGTGACCTAACGAACATCGCAAATGATCAAGTTACGGCCACAGTCTGACAGACAGGAAAATCTACTAAAAATGACAAGGAACTCAATGATAGCAGCTTTTAGTTCTTAGTTCTTACTAACCTTCTGCTGTAACCCCAAAGATTCTAATAACTGGGGCAGGACCCGACCAATTACCCACCAATTCCTTAGGGCTCTCTCCAACTATATAATCCAGCTCCAGCTGCTGAAACGCTACTCGCATCACCAAAAGAACAAACATTTCAGCTATCAAAGCTTCTGAAAATTCCTCTAACATCAGCTGGGGAACAACAATGCAGAGAAATGAGGGAGAAAACTTCTACTACTACTACTCACTGATGCTTTTGGACTGGGAAACGTAGTCGGGTGAGAGCGCAGGGCGCTTCCACTTTGCAAGGTGAGTGGCGAGCGACTCCTTACCCCACTCGCGGTTGATGTTCACTTCGTCTTCTGCTATTAGGGTTTCCTCGAGGAACACGTCCTCGTCGACGAAATCGTCCTCCGGTCCTATCGCCTGCACCTTCGCCGCGGGTGGCGGCTGCGCAGGCTTCGCCGGCGGTGGTCGCTTCTTGGCATTTCCGGCGCGGTTCATGATTTCAGTGAAGTGGTCAGTAGAAAATGTAGGAAACTATAACTTCTTCTTCCCCGATATCGATGATGTAAAAACTAAAAAGGAAGAAGAGAGCGGGAGAGGGATGACTTCCCGCCTTTTTTTCTGGCTCTTTCTGGTTTAGGGCTTTTGATTTGCTTGATTCGGGGGATTGAATTGGGGCGAATGATCACGTGCATCGCATGTGCGGAACCTTTTTCCCTTTTTATCCTGAAAAGGTACATGTTTTACCTTAATGGCCACTAAACTATATAATTTGTACAAAATAGCGTCATTGATGATTGAACTATTGACAAAACGCCAATGTTGTTAATTTACAAAAAAAAAAAAAAACAGTGACTATATCACATTTTTTTTCAATCTTTCGGCATTATCGAACTAAGAGAATATGGCATATAAGCTCATAGAATCATAATAATCGTTTGAATAACATTCCATGCACTGACTGGTGAGCCTATTTTACATGTTGAACCAAACACTAAATGCATCACTAGATGAAATGTAGTTTAATTTGAACGAAGTGATTGTTCTGTTACAAATTAATCCATCAAATAATTTGTCTAACTAATATTTTGTGAGAACAATTAGTTTAATGAGTACTATAACAGAAATTGTAATAATATAGTGATCATTTGAAATATTTATCCTAAAGACATAACGAAGATTCGCCTCTGCAACAAACGTTGAGAGTATGAAGCTCGTAAGTAAAATCATAACAATCGCTTGAATAGCATTTCATGCATCATCCCAGCGAGCATTTTAGCATGTTGAACCAAACACAAAATACAACATTAAACATTTAAAAAAAATAGAGTCCAGTATGATTTATATGAACGAAGCGATTGTTTTGTTACGAATTCCTTGGTCTAAAATAAGATAATTGTCTAAAGTGACGTTTTTGTGAGAACAGGTATTTTAATATACAACTTAATAATACAGTGACCATTTTTAAGTATTTACCCTGAAGACATAACGTAGAGACGAGAGTCGAAGACCGCCTCTGCATTCTGCAACGAACGTTGAGAGTATGAAGAAGCATCAGGTTAATGGGCATCTTCACGAACCCATCGTCTCCTTCCTTTACCAGAGCTCTGCACATCAAGGACCGCTTTCTTCAAAGCTTCGATTCCCTCAAGCAGCTCAAGCATGTCCACTCCCAACTCATCCGCATCGGCCTCGACCAGGAGAACTATCTCCTCAACCTGCTACTCCGCTCTAGCTTCGACTTCAAAGACACCCGCTACACCCGCCTCGTGTTCCACCAGACCCACCAACCCAACGTCTTCCTATGGAACACCATGGTTCGTGGGTTGGTCTCCATCGATTGCTTCAAGGACGCCATCGCCTCGTACGCTTCGATGAGAAGGGAAGGGTTCTCTCCCACGGGATTCACTTTCCCCTTCGTTCTCAAGGCCTGCGCCAGGCTTTTGGATTTCCGGTTGGGGTTGAAGTTGCATTCCCAGGTTGTGAAATTGGGCTTCTGTTGTGACGTCTTCGTCAACACCAGCCTGGTGAGTTTGTACGCAAAGTGCGGGTACATTGAGGATGCCCTCAAGGTGTTCGACGATATTCCGAACAAAAATGTTGTGTCTTGCACTGCTATAATAACTGGGTTGATTGGGGTTGGTAAATGCAGGGAGGCAATTGACATGTTTCGGAAGTTGTTGGAGATGGATTTGGTCCCCGATAGTTTTACTCTTGTACGGGTGCTTTCTGCTTGTGCTGTAATTGGTGATCTCAAGAATGGTGAGTGGATAGATAGGTACATATCCGAGAGCGGAATGTCGAGGAACGTGTTCGTAACCACTTCGTTGGTGGATTTCCATGCTAAGTGCGGGAACATGGAGAGAGCACGGTTATTGTTCGATGAAATGGGTGAGAAGGATATAGTTTCATGGAGCACCATGATTCAGGGCTATGCTTCAAATGGGCTGCCCAAACAGGCACTGGAGCTTTTCCACAACATGTTGGACCATGACTTGAAACCAGATTGCTTCGCCATGGTTGGAGCTCTCAGCGCTTGCGCCAGGTTAGGAGCCTTAGAACTAGGTGAATGGGCCAGCAGTCTGATGAACATAGACGAGTTCTCCATCAATCCTGTTCTGGGCACTGCGCTAATCGACATGTATGCTAAATGCGGGAGCATGACTAAAGCCTATGACGTCTTCAAAGGAATCCGAGCCAAAGACAGAGTAGTTTGGAATGCTGAAATATCGGGTCTCGCCTTGAATGGCCATATCCCTGCCGCATTTGCTGTATTCGGGCAGATGCAGAAGTATGGGATTCCACCTGACGGCAACACCTTCGTCGGCTTGCTTTGTGGCTGCACTCATGCTGGCCTAGTCAACGAAGGTCGTCAGTATTTCAACATCATGGTTAGAATTCTCTCCCTGGCTCCTACAATCGAGCACTACGGATGCATGGTGGATCTTCTGAGCCGTGCAGGGTTACTCGACGAAGCCCACCAGCTCATAAAAAGCATGCCAATGGAGGCAAATGCTGTCGTATGGGGATCCTTATTGGGCGGTTGCAGGCTGCACCGTGACACCCAATTGGCGGAGCATGTCCTGAAGAAGCTCGTGGAACTAGAGCCTTGGAATGCTGGGAACTACGTCCAGTTGTCGAACATATATTCTGCAAGTCACAAGTGGGACGATGCCGAAAACGTGAGGTCGTTGATGGGCGAGAGAGGGATGACGAAACTGCGAGGGTGCAGTTGGATCGAAGTGAGCGGTATCGTTCACGAGTTTCTCGTGGGTGACACATCACATCCTTTATCGGAAGGCATCTACTCCAAGCTTTCCGAACTGGACAAGGATTTGAGAGCAGCGGGGTATGTTCCTACGACGGAGTATGTGCTTTTTGATATTGAAGACGAGGAGAAGGAGCATTTCCTCGGATGCCATAGTGAGAAGCTTGCTGTAGCTTTTGGGCTGATAAGCACTGGTCCAGCGGAGGTGATTCGAGTGGTGAAGAACCTGAGGGTATGTGGTGATTGCCATGAGGCTATTAAGCTGATTTCTAAGATTACTGGTAGGGAGATTATAGTTAGGGATACAAATCGGTTCCACTGCTTTTCCGGGGGGGCCTGTTCTTGTAAAGATTACTGGTGAATTATAAGATAGGATATCTTATGTTACCATCTCATGAGACATTTGTTAATCGGAGAAACCACTCACAGGTAATTAATTCTAGCTTAACTTGTACCTAGCTGGTGTGTGAACAAGACCAATGGCCGTCTGCAGATTTTTCATAATTGGGGGGGGGGGGGGGGGGGGGGGGGGGGTTGTTCGTTCTGGCCTTAATCTTCTGTGGACTTGCCCCAACTTGGAAAATGGGAAGCTATACAATTGTGGCGACAGCTTACCTCAATCACAGCTTTCCCTTATACTCATTTTCCATTCCTTAATAAGTATTCTATGCGTCCCAAATTGTTGTTTCAGCCTTTGGGTTGTCCATTTTAGATGTATGATACTGGTTGCTTTTTTCGTTTATGATCTTTAATATGATGCACAGGCTTAGAACTGAAACGTTTTGTTTGTGGAATGACATAGCTTGTTGATCCCCCTTTTATTCGTGGTCGTGGGTTAAAATTTTGGGAGTGCACAACTCATCAATTCTATCGATCAATAGTTGACAGTTCATTAGGTAAGCTAAGGTCGCTCCTTCATTCTGGTCCTGCTGTTTAGTAGTCGTTGTTTGTTTCTTGTTTTCTTCTGCGATGGACTTTAGTTAGGTTAGTTTATTGATGTATCAATGCTGATTAAGATAGTTTTTGTTCTAGCTTGATTAGTTTGAAAATTCTTCAAGACTTGGCCGTTTTTGTTTCGTATTGATCTGCTCCTCCTAAGCTACTTTATGGCTGTTAGTTACCTTTATTTATTCTTCTTAGCCACCTTTATATCGATTCATGGCTAAATGCATAGTCTACAGAGAGAAGGATGGATTCTTCAATAGAGATCAGCTTTCTTTCATCCAATGCTATTTTTGCAGGGCGCTCTCCAATGACTTCGTCTCTCCGTCACAAATCTAGAGCCCTGACAGACCAAATAGCCCCGGCATCTTTGTGGAGAATTGACTTCTATGCATTACTGTGATGCTGAATGACCAGGGCACGCAGAACTCTCTTCATTATGGTTCTCCTGTTGCTTTGCAGGGCTCGGTTCACTGATATCGTCCTTCTACGAGTAGAAGACAAGGGTTTTTTTTTTTTTTTTCTCTCATGTCATTCGGGGGTGTTTTCCTTATAGTCGATGTATCATCTTGTTTGCTAGTTTTGCAGGGGTCGCTTCACTGATGATGTCTTCCCATGAGAAAAGTTTTGTGATGCAATGGCTTTCCCTGGAAACATCATGAAAATAGTTCATAAGGGTTGCTTTAGGGTATTCCCCTTGGTTTCCATGTAGCTTCTTCTTGTGTAGCTTTGCCGGGCTTGGAATGGAATTTGGATGATTCCCTCACTTGTATAGGAGAAATGGATTTTTGGTTCTATGATATCTTGATTCTTGCTGTACAGTAGTTACTTAGAGCATAGAATGCTGAATCATTGTACTGATGAGAGCTCTTGAAGTGTTCAGTGTTGTATAGCAAGTAATTGGAATGAGAAAGTACTCTTCACTGAAGTTCTTAGCTTTCTAGAAACGAAGTTCATGGCGATCTCGACGACTCAGCCATTGTAATGGCGTTCTTGACCCAAAAGGATGAAACTTTCGCCTTATATATATATACCTGATGTGCCCTTGATGTCAACCCTAACTTCTACCAACTTTTGTATCACCTTCTACTTGCACATAAAAGTGTTTGTTGGGTGTTTTTCTGTGGATGAATAGTCAAGAGGAGGCCTTTGCAAGTTGGAAGCTGTTGAAGGAGGCAATGCAATCCTTGTTATGGCCACTTACGCCTTCAGAAGATTACATCTTATAGCTGAAATTTTTATGAAGTTTACACGAAAGGGGAAATAAATGTAAGCCACACCCACAAGTTGGACAGATGCTGTCCCAACCACCAATCCTCTGACTTCCCTTTATCCACAACCTCTGGCAATCCAACTCCAACCAATGCAATCAAATTAAAGGTGGGGAAATCGAAAGGAGAAAAAGAGAAGTGAAATTTGAGGACAGAATCTAAAAGATCTCTTGGCATATGGCAAAAATAAAAAGACACAGTGGATTAATATATAATATTCCAGAGCAGCATTATAGCATCAGAGTCAGCCACTCATTAACAAATAAGCAAAGACAAAATCATTTATAGGGTTCTTTGCTTTCTTATTCTTCTTCTTCTTCTTCTTGGCTGAAATGGCTACTTTGGTGAAGCTTGTTCAGCCACCATGTCCAATGGCTTTCACCCACCAGCCATGGCAGCAGCAGCAGGCCAAGTTTGGTGAGTTGCAGAGGTTCAGGCTGATAAACCCTATGAAAGCTGCAGCACAAAGCTCATCTCCTTCATCTGTGGAAGTTTCACAAATCAAGGAGAATCTTTATCAAGCACTCCAGGGTATGTAGTAATCTCCACCTTATCCTTTCAATCTTTTTTTCCGCCATTTTCTGTCCTTCATTTCAAAATGACTCAAATATGTGAATGTGGAAACAATCCCAATAAGGGATTAACAGAGGGATATTTGGGACAACATCTGGGAAGAAGTCTGAGATTCAGGAGCTGTTGGAGCAGCTGGAATCCCAGAACCCAACCCCAGATCCCACTCTCAATCTTCACAAGGTAAATACAATTATACTATGGATCAATGGCTTTTTAGTCCCTATACTATACTGTTTTACCAAATATGTCCTTTTATTGTGAACTTGACAAATAAGTCCCTGGAACATAGAAAATTATTGAGTGCCATAGCTTCAAATGATGATTTGAAGGGATTCTGAATATTTTTGGAAAGGTGGATGGATGTTGGAAGCTTATATACAGCACAATCAGCATAATGGGTGCAAAGAGAACAAAGCTAGGGTTGAGAGATTTCATCACCTTGGGTGACCTCTTCCAAATCATAGACGTCGCCGAGGTAGATACCTTGAACACTAGTTCTTGACGTGATATCGGATTAGATCAGCACCGCCAAGTCAAAGAGCTGATTTCTTTTCTGTGTGTTTCAACTGTGATTGGAGAGCAAAGCAGTGAATGTGATGAAGTTCAATGTGAAGGGACTGAACCTGTTGAATGGTCAGCTGGCAATTGTAGCCTCCTTCAACATTGATTCCAAATCAGTTATGATCCCCCTCCTCCACTCTCTTTGCATCACTTCTTCTTCCTCTGAAGGACAACATTCTGATATGATCCTCTCTTTTCTTTGTGCTGGCAGAGAGTTACAATTACATACAGAGAATCAACCATAACACCTGACCAGCTGATGAATGTGTTCCAGAAGAACTATGAGCTACTTCTCAGCATCTTCAACCCCGAGGGCTGGCTCGAGCTAACGTATCCTTAATTTTCCTGAACATGGGAAGCCAAAAAAGTTCACTTCTTTTCTGACAGTTATAAAGTGTTTTACTGTGATACTGTAGCTTGTTCTGTGTTTGGTTGATTCAGTGAACTTCTGGGTTTACCTTAATCTTTTGGGAACAGATATGTTGATGATGAGATGAGGATAGGAAGGGATCAGAAGGGCAACATCTTTGTCTTGGAGAGATCTGAAGAACGAACTGATTTGTAACACTGGTTTTGCTTAGCAAGTTGGATCTCCATTCATGGCTAATTTTCAGAAGGTTATACATTACAATAGACACATATATCACATTGATGTTCACTCATTTGTATAGAACATTTTGTTACATTCAACGGAATGGAAGCTATTGTGCTGAGCTCTTACTGCATTGATGTTTGGAAAGATTTGTCTATTCATTATGTGAAAGAACTCCTTCGAGAAACTTAGTATTTGAGGAGCTTAGGTGTGAAAAGCTTTCAGTCCAAGGGTTCATTTTGTAAGGTTATAGAATTTTTAAAGACCAAAATGTTTGGAAAGACTTGTCGCATTTTCAAATATGTTGATGACCAAAACTAATCTTGTCATGAGTGATTATACGAAGTGCACGTAACGGTACACAAAATGAGTTTTAGCCTCGTCAGATCGAACCCTAATCTCATAATCAATTTGAATGATGATCAATTATCACGTCACCTCTATTCACCTTTTAATCACGATTGATTGATCGAAATGCACATAACAATTCACAAAATGATTTAGTTTCACCAGCTAAAATCAAACCCTAATCTCATAATCAATGTAGATAGTTCATAATCAATTTAGATCGTTGATCAACGATCATGTCTATTCACCTTTCAATCACGTATTACGATTCATAATCAATTTAGATCGTTGATCAACGATCATGCGTATTCGCTTGGAATGTCTTTTTTTTTTGTCAATTACGTAATTTTTCACGTTTAAGTAGGACGATAAAAGTAAAATTAGAGCCACGTTTAGCCGTTCAGAATTTAAATGGATTGCAATTTGCAAAGCTACGGGTCGGTTGACAGAGCCCGGCCCTAACCCGAGCTTGTTACCCACCCGACTCGATGATCCGCTTTGCTGAAATTCGGATCCTTTTCTAACCCGGGTCCCGGAGGCGGAAAACCAAGTGCGAGATGCAGCTGAGATCCATTCCCCCGCTCGAAACTGTAAAACCTCAGTAAACCCTTCCCATCGTTCCGCCCTCCAAAAAGTCTCCGGCCACCGCGTCGCCGATTCAAACAATGATCACCAGAAGCCGGCGACTGCTATCTTCTCTCCTCTCATCGACATCCCTTCTCGCCAACGCGAAACCCACTTCGAGTCCAATCCCATTCCCGCCATTTCAATCCTTTCAACGCCCCTCCTTCCATGGCGCTAATGGGGCATCTGGGTTTCTGGGTTCCCATCGAAATTACAGCTTGTTGAGCTTGAATGACTTGAGGGACAACATACCCAGGAAGCAGAAGACCAGAAAGGGGCGCGGGATTGGGTCAGGGAAGGGGAAGACTGCTGGGAGAGGTCACAAGGGACAGAAAGCTAGAGGGACTCATAAGTTTGGATTCGAAGGTGGGCAGACGCCGATGCGCCGCCGTCTCCCCAAGAGAGGGTTTAAAAATCCATTTAGCCTCACTTTCCAGGTATTCCTTTGATTGATTGGTCAGTTTATTTCTCCAGCTGCCCAATTTCATTTGCAACCTTTAATCGCGGCAAATTCTAGGATACAGAATGCTGGGTGGAACAACGAAGTTTAAGGCTTGCTCTAGACTTCAAATGCATGTTTTTGCTTCTTCTTTAAAGGAAAGAGGGATTGGAAAGCTCACATTTTTAATCCCAATATGATTTATATTTTGGAATGCTGCAATTTTTAGAGGTTATCAGCTCCATTGGGTTTGGTGTTGGCTGTGAATATGCCCATCTGTGATGTTGTGAGTTATATAGAAGGCTGCAGTTGGTAGGGTTTATCAGTTCCATTGGGTTTGGTTTTGGCTTGTGAAGTTTCCTCCATTAATGGGTTTATATTGTGGCCACATAAAGTTCTGGTTTTCGGCATTGATGAAATGTGAATCTTCTTCCATGTCAATTGCTATATCCGATTCTTATTCAACTTTAAGTTTTGCTCTTCCAGTTACCAATTCTGTTCATATTTTATCAAATACAAAGTGCCCCTTCATCTCTGTTGGCATCTTAGCAGCTGAATTTCCATCTGTCGAATTGGAGAGGAACGCATCACATGTGGTAGTTACCCTTTGAATGAAGCCTAGAACGATACCAAATATCAACTCCAGAGCTATCCAACTTTTAACCCTCATTGCCCTCCTAAAGCCTTTTGTCAATCATACTACTTTCCAGAATATACAATGTCCCTCGTGTTGGTACCTTGTATCTTTGGAGGAAGCTTGATTGCATTCCACGTCACTCTTATTAGTTGAGAGGAATGGTTATTTCTCCTACTCATTACCGTTGCTAGTTCAAAGTGGAGATATAATCATTTTTCTAGCTAGATGGAGAAAATTGGCCAAGTTGTTTCTTTCTTTGCATCACTGAATTGTCTCCAATCAGAAAGAAGTACTATAACTTATTGACATCACCAATTGTGAGACCTAGAATTCTTACTTGTAATTTTGGTACAGTCTTCCTACTCCTTTCTCCCAATTCAATTGTCTATCGTTTGATTTCTATCTATTTTATTTGGCAGCCATGTGGCCTGGGAAAGATTGCAAGACTTATAAATGCTGGGAAGATAGATTCTCATGAACTGATCACAATGAAGACGCTCAAGGTAGTTGCAAAGCTGTGCCTAACTCCCACTTTTCTCTACATGCATAAACTGTGGTGGCATTTGTGTTGATGGTTTGTAATGGTTATAATAGGATACTGGAGCCATAGGAAAGCAGATAGAAGATGGAGTAAGACTCATGGGACGTGGCTGTGAGCACATTGTATGGCCGATCCATATAGAGGTAAATCTCATTACAATGTTTTTTGTTTGTTTGTATATGTACATTTAGGATGAACTGCTAGGTAGTTAAAATTGGTAAAACTGCTCAAGGGTTAAGGTGAATCGCAGGTTGCATTTGTTTGCAAACATCATGATGAATTTTACAGTAAGGAAGTAACAGGCATATGGAATGTGTTCATAGGCTTGCTTCTGTTAGACTTGATCCTGAATTTCCTGGTTAGATAACTTGACTAGCTGCCAAGCTCAGAATATCTTGCAGTCAGTTTGGAATGACTAACACGATTGTTGACCTTAATTGCTGACATGGATGACCCGTTTTAACTCATGTCGGATCGAAATCAAACCCATTGCTCAACCCGATTTCAAGCCTCGTTGCCCAAAATCACCATAGTCATTTCCCGCCTTGCCCGACAGCTCATTAGAGAGTCTCAGTGACCTATTAATTTCTAACTTGGATGAGGTGACACACTGATCTATAAAATTTGGCAAAAAGCTTGACAGAAATGGAGATGACTGTCATAGTTGTTTGACATGTATTCGAGAACTATCAGTGGTTATCATTGTAACTGTTATAGTCACTGTATATGTATTCATTGACCTAATTCCTTGAGTACGTGGGTCATCACCTTCATTGTTATAGATGCCATACAGTGTGGAAGTGAACTTGACTGCCGCCAACCTATGTTTGCAGGTGTCAAGGACGACTGTTAGAGCCAAGGAAGCAGTCGAAGCAGCTGGAGGATCGGTCCGACGGGTGCACTACAACAAGTTGGGGTTGCGAGCACTGCTGAAACCAGAGTGGTTCGAGAAGAAGGGGAGGCTTCTGCCCAGGCCAGCTAGACCTCCTCCAAAGTTGAAGCACAAAGTTGATAGCATTGGCCGATTGCCCGCGCCAACCAAACCAATCCCATTTTACATCGTGGAAAATGAAGGCGACGAGAAGGTGGTGGGGGCAGAAGAATCTCCCCAGCTCACTGATTGATCAATCATCTTTTGGTTTTCACTTCTTTTTCTCCCCATTTTTTGGTTAGGAGAGCTGTTGCTGGAAATAATAGCCATCGTTCACAAAAGCTGCACTTTTTGATTACTGTGTGTGCCCCTTGGTGATAACTGATAATCATCCTGGATGTTTTAGAGAAAAAGGACACTCCAAAGCGTTCGTTTTGCTTCTCAACCATCCTTTCAGTTTTTCCACTCCAATGCTTCATCCTGTTCTTTGGTTGTGCTTTTCCTGATTGTTTTCAGTCGGTGTAGGTGGTCACATCGATTTGTTGATCAAGATAGATGGTGTCTTGTTGCGAGTTAGATCATTGAGTCTAACTAGTTAATGTTGAACAAGTCGTCAAAATTTACAAGTTTGAGATTTTTATTAATTAACAAAAACTACTACGAGAGGTTAATAAATAAGGTGACAAACAGTTGTTTGAGGCGCATAATACTGAGTGGTCGGATCAAGACGAATAGCAGGTTACTAATGATCGGGAACATCAAGAGTTATAGGGTCAAGTTGTTAGTGGTTGTAACTTCTAAAACATAAATTTTGCACAAAAAAACATTAAAAGTAACCAAATAATAATTGAGTAAATTTAGGGATGATTTGTAAGTTGCGGATTGTTAAACAGATGTATTGTTATGAATGTATATAGAATATTATACATGTATTATCGAATTTGATGCATTGTAGAATATAACATTTGGTATGTGTGATTGTATATGTCACATTAGCTAAAGGTTGAGACAAAACTATCTTAACAAAAGGTTGAGATATAACAATCACTCCTTTTGAGTGATAGTTTATGTCACATCACAGAAACAATCCATTTATTATTTCTGCTAAAAAACAAAAATAAAAATGATGCATTCTAAACAATACATGTATAGTAACAATCTCAACAAAACAATCGTAACTTCCAAACGACCTCTTAATCAATATTTATATGACATACTAAAATTGTAAGTAAACTAATCAAGATTTCAATGCAATTAAATCATTGTTGTCAAAACCAGTAAGATATCGGTCGGGACAATCAGATACAACTGGTATTTGAAAAAATTTAGTTGGAAAACCCACGGGTATGAAAAAGGTAGTCAAAACAAAAAACAAAATTGTCAAAATCGAGAAAACAAGTGGTACGAAGTAATAAACCGACATATGATTTTCCTCTTTACTCACATAGTTTGTAAAAACTGAATAAATCGATAGTTAAACTTGTCGTACCCTGATCAGATCATGTCACTTGTGAAACCGACATAATAGTTTAACCAGTTTGCCTACCTCAAATTAAAGAGTGTCTTTTAGTTGAGCCGAGCGAACCAAAGAAGATATATTTGTAACCCACTTGAGCGAAATCGAAGAGAAACCCGACCCATTTATCACTCTCTTCATTCTTCAATCTTCAACCTATCGACCTTCGTCTTCTTAAAAAAAAAAAAAAAAACCTATCCACCTTCGTGCTTGATAAAGAAAAACTACAAATCGATCCAAAAACAAAAGCAAGACTACAAGGAAAGCAACACCTCAGAAACTGGACTGTTTAGAGCAAATACCAAACATGGCGGCGGCGGCGGCGACGACGACGGATGAGAGATCACCGGAGCAGCAACCGGAAGAGAACCCACCACCTCCGCAATCTGCCGAGAATCCGCCTTTTCCCCAACCCTCTGAAACCCTAAGTCTAAATGATGTCCCCGACTCGCAAGACAACGAAGATTCAAATCAAGAAGATTTAACAGGCGCAGCGCCCGCGATTTCGTTCTCGCCGACATCAGCCACCTCTGCCCGCCGCGGGGGCGGTGGCGGCGGTTCAAAGCGGAACAAGAGCAAGCGACTAATTGCGTCCAGGTTGAAGAAAATTCAGAAGAAGCTCGAGGCTCTCAACGAAAACCTCAAACTCATTCCCTTCAAGCCGGCGAAAGATCTCGACTTCGATTCTCACGAGGGGCTTCTCAAGCGGCTGGGCCTGTGGGATTTCGTGAAGCTCCAGTTCGACGCCAACATACGCACCGATCTCGTGGCGCAGTTGATCGCCAGTTACGATCCGCAGCAGCGCGGTAGCTACGTCAACGAGGTCCGGGTCAAGGTCAACCGCGCCGATTTGGCTCGCGCGCTCAAGCTGCCGACCAAGAAGGAGAAGGTTTCATCCTCGTCGGAGAGTTCTGCGGCGGCAGGGGAGGTGAAGGAGGGCGAAGAAGCTATTGCGTTCGTTGACGAGCTGGTCTCGACTTGGATGCTGCTGCACGACGACGATACGTGGTTGATGCCGGTGGAGATTCACAATATGATCAGGACGATTAAAGATGGCAACTTTGAGAGAATGGATTGGGCTGGGTTGATTTGGTATATGGTTGAGAAGGAGCTGTCGGCTGCTCCCAATCTAGGTAACTGTTACTACGCCTCGCACTTGCAATGTTTGATAAAAAGCCAGAAAGAAAATATGTTGAAGGAAGACGATGCTTGTTATAGAAAGGAGCTTGATTTTAAGGAAGATATGATACAAGAGGAAGAAGAGGAAGAGGAGGAGGCATCGGTGAAACCAAGCGAGGAAGTGCAGCATGTGGTGGTGGTGGCGAAGTCAGAAGAGGACAGCATTCAATTGAGCTTGGGAGGTTTGGATAATGCTGCTGCTGGGGAAGATGGTGAAGCTAAAGCTGAAAAGGCCGGCAATGAGGATGTTGTGCCGCAACAACAAGAACAGGTGGGAATGGTTTTTGAGGAGAGTAAAGTGGTAGTTGAAGAAGAACAGGCGGCAGTGGTTTTTGAGGAGAGTAAAGTGGTAGTTGAAGAAGACCAGGGGCAGTGGTTGAATAGCAGTGTGAATGAGAATTTTCTGCAGCATTGCAGCAGTTTGAAAGCCGATGATGGCTTGGAATGTGAAGTGGAGAGGAAGCAAGAAATGGAAGTAGATGATGATGCAATGAAAGAACCAGAGCAAGGAGAAGAGGTTGATGTTGAGGAGCCAGTTGAAGAAATGGATTTCGACTGCACATCCCAAGAGCATGATGCAATGGGCGGTTTAGCTTCTGAGAATCTTCTCGGATCTATGGAATTAGCACAAGATCCCCTCACTTCAGATATGCAGCAGCTTCATGCTGACCTCTCTTCGGGGGAATTTCTTGCAGCATCTAGGATTCACATAGAGCCTAACCCTGGCAATTCCTCACATTTTGGTTCTGGGAATGATCTTAAGAGGGACATTGCCCATCTTGATGATGAAGATGATGATGATGACGACGATAATGATATCCCTCATCATGCATTTGATAAGAGAATGAGGACTGATGATGCGCCATGGGAGGGGAAAACTTCCTCGGAAACTGGCATGTTGATTGGACAAATGCAGCATTGTTTGGAAAAGCTGAGGGTTGCCCAAATGGAAAAAGACCAGTTGTATCAGGAGCAGAGTTTAAACCAGCAGATGTTACTTAATGAGTTGCAAAGTCGTGATGACACGATCCAGCACCTTCATAAGTTGAGGTATGAGGAGCAACAGAAGAGCCAGATTGAAGTTTACAAGCTCGAGCGTGAATTGTGTATGATGGGCAATCTCTTGGAAGGGTATAGAAGGGCTTTGAAGGAGACGCATAAATCATTTTCTGAATACAGAGCGAAATTCCCATCACACGAAGAACCACTCTACAAGGATGCTGGCCCTGGTGGTCTTGTTCTGACTGCTGCAGAATTGAAAAAGCAAAGATTGAGGGAAGAGGAAGAAGAAAGGTTGGCACGTTTGTTTATTGAGAAGAAGCTTAAAGAATTTGAGGAGGAATGGGTTGGGAAGTTTGAAGGATACAAAGAAGGGATTGAACTGTTGGGAGATAAGTTGTTGGGTGGCGAGAAGAATGTCAAGCTTTTGATGGAAATGCATTTGAAGAAGCAGAAGCCCCCTCAGATTTCTGAATCTACTCCTACGGAGTAGCTAATTGTCACATCTGTCGGATGGTTCGTTTGATTTCACTCTCTATGTAGGGTGTGGTTGTGTCAATGGTTCTAACTAGGAAAGATGCTAATTGGTGTTTTATCGTACCGTGGTCGTAGCAGTTGATTTGTTACAATGGAGTGTTTATATATGCAGGGGTAGAAAGGTGTATGAATCTCTTCTAGCCAGTCTTTTTGACGTTCGACTCTCTTTCTTGTTCCCACTACTTGGTATGTCGAATGTTGCAAGAGCATGTTTACTGATCTTATAGTTGATCTGGTGTGCTTTCTGGAGTGCTTCTTTCATATCCTTATTGAACGATGCAAAATCTTGTTATTCGCATGGTTCAGGCTACAGCTTTTGTAGGCGGACCAGATAGCATCCTAATTTTTTGTATTTCCAGTTTGGTCATCTCAGTCTCCAGTCTGTTCTTGTTAACACCTTATGTCTGCAGATCCCAAGTACTGGTCTTTGATTGGAGGCTTTCCTCACTCTGCTCATGTATCATGGTCGAATTATTTTTCATGTCGGCGCGGTTCTTTGGAACTTCGAAGCTGTGAAGATTCACAGCTTCAGTCAGATTGTTGTATGAATTTATGTCTGGCTTCGCATCACTTCGATTAAATTGGTACAGTAAGATAAGAGCTCTTGCAGTGTTCTACTTGAGCTACTTTTGATTCCGAGCTGATCACTGATAAGAAAGTTAGTTCCCATTATAGTGAATCTGTCTTGGGAACTTTTGCGCTGCAGATGTCAATCTTCATGCTCTTCTTTGCCTTGCCTTGCTTGCTTGATGATTGCTTGATAGCACTGAGTGACTGCCCGAATATGAAGTCGATGAAAAGGCAGAAGGCAGTGGCTGGTGGGGGCTGAAGAATCTCCCCAGCTCATTGCTTGATCATCTTAGCCTACTTTTTTTTGGCCAATCTTTTCTGGTTAGGAGGGTTGTCCCAAGAGAGAAAAGCCACCATTCACAAAAGCTGCTTTCTTTGATCGCTGTTTGTGCCCTTTAGTGGTGATCTCATTCAGGAACTTTACAGCAAGTACCATCCAAAAAGCTTTTTTCTTTCCCACCTATGTTGCATTGCATCCTATGCCTATGCATGTGCTTCAGTTTGGGTCAAGTCAGTTTGTTGCCGAAGATAGTCTGGGTGGGATGCTAGTCAAAGTCGTTAAGGTATGCGAGTTATGATTCGATCAGTACGAAGCATTCAAAAATTTATGAAAATCGCTCATGTTAGTTTGAGTCGAGTCCTATAGCGTTGTAGATCAAGCTAGCCATTGGTCAAAGAGTGTCGACTCACTAACAATTGCACATCATAGATAGTTTTGCTGAAGAAAACAGCACACGAGTTCACCGGTGCTGGTACAACTACGTCTTGGACAGGTAATCACCATACACAATGTTGATAGTCAACACGAGTCGAGAATCACACGAGTCGAGAATCATCGCAAAATGGATTGTTACTATTTGCTGTTACAGAAGAACCCGAGTAGTTACGATTATCTCAACGAAACAAATGAACATTTGGCATCTAAGGAACTAGCATTACAATGTGAAATTAAGCAAAAACTGATAAGAGGGTAGTTGGTTTTGGCATGACTTTCACCTTCTACTTTCAAAGATGACTTACCGATGTATAGCTCACGCTTTTGATTACAGAAGAACAGAGAATCCAGATGGCAAAACTCAATCTCAATCATAAATATGGTTCCATACTGTTTAATGACCGCAACCTGCTAGTTATAATAAAAATCTTCGCTCATACAAATAACTATTAACATTGATCTTCCCCCAAAAGGTGAAAACCAAGAAAAGATGACCAAAAAACCCTTCAAATGTCTCAAAGCAACCAAACCTCAATAGAGAACCAGGGGGAAAAACCCGACACATCACAAACCTCACTCTCATCAACCTATCGACACCCCTACACGAGATAGAAAAGACTACAAAGCGCAGCAACTTCAGAAACTAGGGACTGTTTTGAGCAACGAAAATCGAGCTGAAGTAGCTGCTGCGAAGCAAATACACCAAACCTGACTCGAGTTCACACCGACATTCGATAAAAAGCAAAAGCCAAATGTAGTAACAAGGACTCATCAACCCACTTCTGAGGAGCTTAGAAGCACTTCCTGTGGACAATGGACGGGCCAGATTCGTCGTACTCGGATTTCGAAATCCACATCTGCAATCAGTAAACAAAACAAGTCAGCATTGTGTCAAATGCCGCGCCATTCTGGAAGTGTATGGGAAAGTATAATGCAAAGTGTGGGGAGAAGGTTTTTACCTGCTGGAAGGTGCTGAGAGATGCGAGGATGGACCCTCCGATCCAGACACTGTATTTCCTCTCAGGCGGTGCCACAACCTTGATCTTCATGCTGCTGGGAGCAAGAGCAGTGATCTCTTTGCTCATACGGTCAGCAATGCCAGGGAACATGGTAGACCCACCACTGAGCACGATGTTACCATAGAGATCCTTCCTGATATCCACGTCACACTTCATGATGGAGTTGTAAGTAGTCTCGTGGATACCAGCAGCTTCCATTCCGATGAGGGATGGCTGGAAGAGAACCTCTGGGCAACGGAATCTCTCAGCTCCGATGGTGATGACCTGGCCATCAGGAAGCTCGTAGTTCTTCTCGACTGACGAGCTGCTCTTTGCTGTCTCAAGTTCTTGCTCATAGTCAAGGGCCACATAGGCGAGCTTCTCCTTCATGTCACGGACAATTTCCCGTTCGGCAGTGGTGGTGAACATGTAACCTCTTTCTGTGAGGATCTTCATCAGTGAATCGGTGAGATCACGACCTGCAAGATCCAAACGGAGAATGGCATGTGGCAGAGCATAACCCTCGTAGATTGGCACAGTGTGACTCACACCATCACCAGAATCCAACACGATACCTGTTCAACCACCAAAAATACCCAACATACATTCTTAGTTGCTTATAATTATCATATCAATGGATTAACAGCAAATGATTCAACACCTTGAACTCTAATCTGTTACTAACCGGTAGTACGACCACTGGCGTAGAGGGAGAGGACGGCCTGGATGGCAACATACATGGCAGGGACATTGAATGTCTCGAACATGATCTGGGTCATCTTCTCTCTGTTGGCCTTTGGGTTAAGAGGGGCCTCCGTCAAAAGTACCGGGTGCTCCTCGGGGGCAACACGAAGCTCATTGTAGAAGGTGTGATGCCAAATCTTTTCCATGTCATCCCAGTTGCTGACAATACCGTGCTCGATTGGGTACTTCAAGGTCAAGATACCTCTTTTGGATTGAGCCTCATCACCAACATAAGCATCCTTCTGACCCATCCCAACCATAACTCCAGTGTGCCTAGGTCTGCCAACAATACTGGGGAAGACTGCCCTTGGTGCATCATCACCAGCAAATCCAGCCTGCAAGTAGCATGATTTAGAATGTGAATTCAATCAACAGGCTCTCAAACAGAAACAACAACAAAAAAACAAAATACCATCATAGTTTTGAGGGAAGAAACCAATGACTAACCTTCACCATTCCGGTTCCATTGTCACAGACAAGGGGCTGAATTTCCTCACCGTCGGCCATCTTTTATAGTACTGCAAGAGAAATGAGATCGTAAGTTATCGTGAGGCACACATTCATACTCTCGTCAAGGCCACCACATCCCAACAAAGTAATCCACAAACAAAAAACTTTGATCTACATTTCAAATCCACAACTCCAATGATAAGGTACCAAGACCTAAAATTTATACTGGAAATGAAGAGATCGAAAGGAAGTGATCACCAGATCAAAGCATTGAAAGCAAACTAACAAGGATCTTAACAACCACCCACCAACTTAAGATCTCACATTCAACCAAAGATCAAATACTAACAAATCTGAGCATCCGTATATATTACATTACAATCCATAAGAAGCAACAACTTCAATCCAGTAGTAGCTGGATGTGACACCAGAACTTCCATAGCTCGTATGTCAACACAAAGCCAATTCAACTAAATTGCAGCAACTCATATCAAACAATAAGCGTGTTATATAAGTTGACTCCTAAAGGCCATCACAGAACAACTCGAATCAGCCACCAGCAAAGCTCAAAACGAGATCGGAGGCTCCGAAAGCAAACAGAAGCAAGATTCGGCAACTCAAGCTATCATTTTCACTGTCTGCTTGTCGTATCCTTTCAACATCCATCTACTCCCGATCGAGACAACACAGCAGCAGCTCAAAATCACAAGATCGAGCTCGAAAAATCTCCACGAAACTCAGATCGAATCGCTACTCAGACAAGAACCGGATCTACATAGGGAACTCGGAACGAAGAGGATCCATACCTTGGAGAAGAGAAGCGAAGATAAAGAGCTCCGGAGGGAAGTCGTGCCGCCTGATTCGGTTGTCGTCTAGATGTTTCTCAGGCGATCTATCGTTCTCCAGATGTGCGCAGCTCGAAGCGATATGAGAGAGAGAGGAGTGGAGACGAAGGGGAAGGAGGCTTATAAAGGGGGGAAGGTTTTCCCGAAATGCAAATGAAATTGCGTCGAAATTTTGTTTAAATTTGAAGAAAAAAAAAAATTTAGTGGGGTGGTGGTAGTCTCGTTGGAAAGGGGAAAGGGGCGAGCTGACCTGGCAGCTGACAGCGCTTTCTTGGTTGGATTTTTTTTTTTCGCTTTGCTTTGCTGCCCGCCTGCCCTGACCCAGATTCATAGAAATTCATTCCCTTTTCCCATTAGGCCCGTTGGGTCCTTTTCATACCGTAGTGTCGCTCGACTTCAACTAGTTGTGTAATCGTGTTATCATATGATTATTTTAGTAACATTTATCTTCAAACGTTTCGATTTTTCCGGTCAATTGCATAGTCATAGTCTTGTTATGCGTCCTTTTATCTATACTGAAATCTACATCCCGGAATACAAATCTCTATATACCGTTTATCATATCTCCCCACCTCAAACAATTGTTGTATATGTCTTGCAAATTTAATGAAATCATAGTAGATTGTCCTAACTGTACTCAGTCCAAAAGATTTCGAAGTCCAGTTACTCGTTACCTCGTCGGTTAAGCACATTTTGGAAGAATACTATTTGCAGCAACGTGAACCGAAACAATTATACCGATCATTGTGAATGGAATTTTTCTGTATTAAGTAAAGTTAAAATCATAAAACCCTCCATACAAGAGTATAAAAATATTCGATGAGTATAATTTTTCCGAAAAATAGGCTTATAAACTGTTAATCAAATATAGAATATGTTATAAAAATAAATATCCCGAATAAAATACGTTACAAAGGGAATCTCGTCGCATTTTTGAGTTTTTGACAAGCCGGCGTTGGCTGCTGCTGAGTTTCCGGGCTTGTATGGGCGGGTCGGGCGGAGTATTCGGACTTCGGTAATTGGGCTTGATGGGGCGGGGGGCAGATCGGGTCGGGTCGGTCAACGCAAGGGTCAAGGGAATGTCTCAATCTCTCCAGTGTCGTTTTGCATTTGTTTATTAGTCACGGAAAGGACTCGGGTTTGTTGTCGGAAAGAGTCAGCAACTCAGTAATCGGCAGCCGGGTCGGTAGTGGGCTGGGCCACACCTCGGTTTGGGCGGCCTGCCAATTTAAGATTCAAAATTTTCTCCATCATAAATAATTCAATTTTTGTGTGTGTGGAAGTTTGAATCTATGAAGTTCCAAAGTATATGAAAGTCCTAAATTTATACAATAGTGTTCATAATCAACATTACAAAATTCAAAGTAGTAACACAGGTTGAGCAAATAGTATGGCAGCCGATCTTAGTTGAATCAAATTAATCATGGAATTCAAACTATTGATTCAATGATGATCTTTCCCCGTCCAGAAATATCAAGTTAATACGATTATCAAACAAAGAAAGAAAAAAAACAATTACTTCTATATACACAATCTACGACGTAACTTCTTTCGCATGTAACTAGTGATCGGAAATCAAAGCACTCACCTGCTCCAATGGCAGCTCAAGAATTTTATATCAAGGGCTTTCAACAATAAAACAAAATCATCGAGCATTGCCAAATAATCTTGATTACAAATACTACCAACACTAAAATAAAATTTTACCATGAAATTATGTCCGTTAATCATATCAAAGTTTGTCAATTGACAAGCCTTCAGCCAACCTAGGTCCGCCCCCGACCCCATGACAGCCATTTGGGATGATGGCTAAGCCACATCCTCCTGCAGACTTACCAAGACCAAAATTAATACTGCACCGAAATACTGAACATCACATGGTAAATCAACGAGCAGAAATCGAGCTTGGCTAGAAGATGTGTTGCATGTTTAGATTAGAAACGACCCCTACATAGTGCTTTAATTTAATGTGAAGAGGTGTTGTATGGTAGGAACTAAGGAAGCTTGCAAGGAAGCCATAGCCTAGGTGGATGGAAATTGGAATGGAATGCACGTAAAATCAAGCCGTCCAAAAAGCAAATTAGTTAGCACTTAGCACCACCTTGAACACCAACCGCCAATCGCCGCCCAAGTCACCATCTTTTTCTTTTCCAACTTGGCACAATTACAGCTTCGAGAAAAGAAAACAAAATACCACGTGTGTGTAGCCCGCAATTGTCAATACAGTATTGAGGTTGGAGAACATTTTCATATATGATAGTTACGGATTGCGACAATCAGAAATTTGAATGAGAGGGCTCATACAATGTGTTGAATTGATTCGTGATGTTATATAAATTGATTTGGTGGTTGTTACGTTGTTACTTTCGATATCTCGTGACACTGTTCTTGGTGCAATACTCTTCCGACTATTTAAATTTGTAAAAAATCAAGTATCACTTTATTTCTAACAAGAGAATAACATGACTAATGAAGTCAAAGTAAATGAAAGCTAGAGATGTACACACATAGTTGTATCAACATTGGAGATACAATATCTAGGTGAATGGTTTGAACTCTTTACACATATTCCTTAACATGTTAAATCATTAAAGCCTCGTATGGCAAAAATGTTATATAGAATTAGAATATATGGATTTCAAGAATTCATGTATTTTGCAGGTGGAAATGTAAGACCTCTTGTAATGTCGCCAAAATATAGTGTTTGGTTTGCAAAAACACAATTTTTTGTTTGTTTCCGACTAAGCAGAAAAGTCTCACATAATTGGATGAATTCCATCTTGGTTTTTGTTAGAATATGACTTGAATTTGATTTGGGTTTGTTTTGTGTTTTGGGCCTATTTTGTTTGGGTTTGTGTTTGGGCTTTGTTTGGCCTTTTCCTTGTATGTTTGGGAAAAGGTGTTCGGTTTTCTGTTTGGGATTAGGAGAAGAGTTCTATAAATACTCTTCATCACCCTAGTCTGTAGTAAGGTCAGTTATGTTAGTTTGTTTGGTTTGTCTGTTTGGAATTTGGTTTGTAACATGTACTCTTCTCAAATTAGTGAAATTTGTCCCCCCTGCCCGTGGATTAGCTAGCACACATTGTGTTAGTGAACCACATTAAATTTGTGTTCGTTCGTGTTGGTTTGGATTATCGATTGCCACGCTTCTGTTCTGACAAGTGGTATCAGAGCCTTTGGTTGCGGTTTTGGGAATTTGGCGCTGGACTGAAGTTTTGCTTTGTGGAGTTTGGTTGGAGTTTGTTTGATAGTAAGAATGGCTGCTATCAGTATGAAGATTGAGAAGTTTACCGGAAGAAACAGTTTCAGTTTGTGGCAGATCAAGATGCAAGCGCTGTTGAAACAACAAGGTTTGTGGGCTCCATTGTCTGGAAAATCGAAGAAGGAAAGTATAGATGAAGAAGAGTAGATTACTTTGGAGGAGAAAGCTCACTCTACAATCTTGCTTTGTTTAGCTGATGACATCATCACTGAGGTTGCTGCTGAGAAGACTGTCGCGGGTTTGTGGTTGAAGCTTGAAAGTCTATACATGACAAAGTCTTTAACCAACAAGTTGCATATGAAGCAACGTTTGTTCAGTTTGCGTATGGAGAAAGGTACATCTCTCAGGAATCATCTAGATCAACTCAAACTCAATACTATCTTGCTAGATCTGCGGAATATTGATGTTAAAATAGATGATGAGGATGCTGCCTTAATTCTGTTAGTATCTTTGCCACAGTCATATGAGAATTTTGTGGATTCTTTTGTTGCTGGGAAAGATAGTTTGTCTTTGAAAGATGTCAGATCAGCTCTACATACTAGAGAGATTCGACATAAGGCATCTGGTTCAGGTTCGGAAAATCAGGCATCTGGGTTGGCTGCTACTAGTAGTATGAGACAACAATCTTGTAATAGGAAGGCGAATACAAATTCGAATTCTGCTGGTCAGAAAGATGATATCTGTCATTACTGCAAGGAGAAAGGACATTGGAAATTTGATTGTCCTAAACTGAAGAAATATCAGGAGAAGAAGGAATCATCTGCTGCTGTGGCGGAAGAAACTAACTCTGATTCTGAAGATGGTTTAGCCTTAGCACTTAGCAGTGAATGAAAAGGTACATCATCAAGATGTGTGGTATTTAGATACTGCAACTGATTATCATATGTGTCCAAGCAGGGAGTGTTTTTCAACTTATGAGCAGATAGATGGAGGACATGTTTCTATGGCCAATGGTGCTATCTGTAAGATTGTTGGAAGAGGCTCCGTCAGGATGAGGACACATGATGGTTCTGTTCGCACCTTGAACAATGTTAGGCATATTCCAGAGATGACTAAGAATCTGATATCTTTGAGTCTACTCGACAGAAAGGGTTTCAGCTTCAAAGGTGAAGGTGGAGTGTTGTCTGTCTACAAGGGTTCTAAGTTGATTTGGAAAGGTATCAAGCGGGATGCCTTGTATAATCTACAAGGTTCTGTTTTGACATGTTCTGTTGGTGATAAGTGCAGCAAGTTGATTCTGAATGGCAAGTCTCAATATGGATTGGACTTTGCCGAATGGTTTGAGTTGTTGACTGCCCTTATGGGCATTTGGAGGCAGGGGAGATTCTAGTATAGCTGATTTGGAGGAGTTACTACATTTGCAATTTTCTGATTGCGTCTGAGTTTGGCGATTTGCATCGCGTTTGAGTTTGGCGATATGGATCGCGTCTGGGTACATCTGGCAACTTTGGTTGTGTCTGGTACATTTGATATTTGAGAGAGAATTCAAGTCAAGGTGGAGATAGTTAGAATATGACTTGAATTTGATTTGGGTTTGTTTTGTGTTTTGGGCCTATTTTGTTTGGGTTTGTGTTTGTGCTTTGTTTGACCTTTTCCTTGTATGTTTGGAAAAAGGTGTTTGGTTTTCTTTTTGGGGTTAGGAGAATAGTTCTATAAATACTCTTCATCACCCTAGTCTGTAGTAAGGTCAGTCAGGTTAGTTTGTTTGGTTTGTCTGTTTGGAATTTGGTTTGTAACCTGTACTCTCCTCAAATTAGTGAAATTTGGCCCCCCTGCCCGTGGATTAGCTAGCACACATTGTGTTAGTGAAACACGTTAAATTTGTGTTCGTTCGTGTTGGTTTGGATTATCGATTGCCAAGCTTCTGTTCTGACAGTTTTCATGTGGTTAATTTTTGTGGCGACTGTCAATCTCTTATTCGACTGGTGGCGGCACAAGAGGCAGAGCATGTACTGGGCAATGCTCTTTTGGAGGAAGTTCAACATCTTTCTTTGTCTTTTGGTCATTTTGCTTGTACTTTTACTCTACGTCGGTTTAATAGGCCAACCCATTTAGTGGCAAACCACGATCTCTCATCGACAGTTCAGGTATTTGTCAACTGCCGTGTCGCGTTACGCAGTGTGCTTTAAGCTGCCTTGTATCACTTATACACTATCTATGGGGGAAAAAAATACATGCATGCATGCATTACGAGAGTACATGAAATGCTAAATACATGATATAATAATTCTCTTTAAAAAATGTAATAATTCTCTTCAAAAATATCATAATTCGATAGTGTGATATGCAGTATTCAACCTCAAATACCATATTCACAAATACTCCACCGAACAACTTCCAACAACAGTTGTTGTCAAAAAAAAAAAACATCTAACAACAGTTGAAGCCATGGTCGTTATCGTCAGAAGTGAGTCGGGCCCAATGAAGATGCGGTCAATTGAACCAAGATCGAGATTCTTACAAAGGGCCAAAGGCCCACGAAATTGTTTCGTCAAAGCAAAGCGAATAAGGAGAAACTAGCACTTCCACAACGGTCCAACACAGTATAAGCTAGCTTGCTCGGCCCAAAGCCCATATCAAAAGCACACAGAACTGGACAGTTCGTCAAACATACACTAATGACTAGTCTACTGGCTGCACAAGTGTTTGATTTGGGATTTGAATGAGATTGTGATGGGTTAAAATTTATTTATCGTTATTTGCGGCCCTAGTATTTACTATTTGTTGCCCATAATTTTATAACATATAACAATTTTACCCTTCTTCCAACTTAAAATCCTAAATCTATCTAACCCATCGTCTCACAAGAACCCTCCTCCCTCCCATCACCAAACCACCGCCGGCCTCTTCTCCCCAAACCACCTCCCCTACTGCCGCCGACCACCTCCCCAGTTCCCAACAAGTCGCTGCCAACCACTTCCCTTCCTCTCACTAGTGCCAACTGCTCCCCACCGTCGACTACCTCCCTTCATCCCCACCGCCGCGACTGCCTGTCCCTCCCTCCTCTCACAAGTCTGTCGCCGACCTGACTGCTCCCTCACAAGCCGCCTCCGACCTCCTCACTCCTACCCCTCACAAGCAATCTCAAAGCCGTCGTTGCTGGAGAAGTCGCGAAGAAGAGCTCTCTGTCATGCTGTCGACGCCGGCCAGCGGACGACATCCGACACCTGCGAGCGGACGGGGGACTCATAGACGAAAAATGATGCATACAGTGTCGTCGTCGTTCGACGATGTGATTTGACGACGGAGGTGGTCCGTTCGCCGACAATTTCTATGGCCGACGATGGTGGTTCTCTTGCGTTGGGTTGGGTGGTGGTGTGAGGGTATGAGTGTTTTAATTGGTTAAAAAAAAACCTCCAATGGAATAGAATAAAGAAAATGTAGAGGGAAAATTTGTAATTCCAATTTAATACACGGCGCGACTAATAGTAAAGACCCGAGAGGCAAATAACAACCCTCTAAAATTTTACATTCGAAGAATTTGAACTGACGAGAGGAGCTAATGTCTTATCATGATTCATCTCTTATATTTGGCCAATTATTACAAAATTTACATGTAACACAAGAGTTGAGTAGGGGCTATAGCCTGTAACCTCCCATTGCTCTCGTCTTTCCTTGTTGCTCATGAAACCCCTGATCCAATTTCTCTAGGTAGCCTGATTCGTGCTCGTACTGCGCAGGATTGCCGCTGGGTTCCGCCGCCTGAGGGTGTTTTCAAGTTGAATACTGATGCGGGGTTTTTCAAAGATTGAGGGATTGGTTTGGGCTGTATCATCCGTGATAGTCGAGGTGCTTTTGTTGGGGCGATGGCGAAGAAGGAAAGGGGTGTGTGTAGATCGATTGAAGCTGAGGCAAAAGCTCTGGTGATGGGTTTAAGGGAAGCTTATCGTAGAGCACTCAGCCCCCTGATTGTGGAATCAGATTGTCAGTTACTGGTGAATCAATTGAAGAAGGGAGACGAGCACTGCACTGAGTTGGGTTTATGGTGCGAAGATCTGAAGATGTTGGCGAAAGTAAATGAATCCCTTTCGGAAAGAGAAGTTAGGTGGGAGTTTAGACCGAGAAAAGCAAATTTTTTGTGGCCCACTAGTTGGCTCACATTGGGTTGGGGTGGGATCATCAATTGGTTTGGGTTGATAACCCTCCCTTATCCCTTTGTTGTATGATTGAAGCTGATTTGGGCCGTGGGGCCCTGATTTTCTTAATGAAATGGACCAGATTTTCTATCAAAAACCAAAATAACAGTGCCACTTTCCCCTAGTAGTTGAGGTCTACCTAGGGGTGGGCAAACAGTTCGGTAAACCCGAACCAAACCGAAACCGAATTAATGCTATTCGGAAGGAAAATATGGATAGTTCGGAAATCAGGGTTCTTTCAACCAAACCGAATTTCCAAATTTCCGACCGAAAAACCGAAATTCTATAATTGCAAGCTCCAAATGGTGGATTTTTATCTTTGTAGTTGTTTTTAGACTTAAATATTTGAAATGTTTTATGACTTATGTGTTGAAAAGTTTGGTTTTATCATTGATGATGCATAGAATTGATATTTATTGTTTATATTAGGGGTGAAAAATAATTTAAAAGTGAGAAAATACAAGTAGCTTCACAAATTCGGTTTTGTGTGAAAAACCGAACCGAATTATAGTTCGGTTTAAACCGACCAAACTGAATTATAATTCGGATCGAATTCGATTTGAAGTTTGGGAGAATTCGAGGACCCGGTATTCATAATTTCGGTTCGGTCGAAACCGAACCGACCGAATGCCCACCCCTAGGTCTACCGTAGTTTACATCCAGGCTAGACCACTTCAGAACATACAATAAAAGCGCAGATCGTAATCAAACCAAACCGAACCAAACCAAATCTTGATTATGATCTCAAAGTCTGAACCAATGTTGTCAGAACCGAACCGGAGCATGACCCGGTAATGCGAACGGCTCGCACTTTAGCAGTCCAACCGGGATTAGACCGTTTAAAAATCGTAAGAGAACCGGTATCTAATAAACGTTATCAGTATAAATAGTGGACATTTCTTAATCAGAGCTCATCTCTTTCCTTCGAAATTGTGAAATGGAAATAAGGATTCAATTTGAGAGCCCGACGTTTTTGGTTTATTTTAATTTTCAATTTTCTACAATTTTTTTAATTAAATTTAGTGGCTGAATGGCAAAAACTGGACGATCGGGTCGAACGGTTAACCGCCTCGGCCGCTCGCCAACCGCTACATAAAACAGGAGCGGCTTTTAGACTATTCCGAACCGGTTTTGTGACCGGGTGGTGGTTTTACCGGTCGAACCGAGCGGCTCGGCTTTAATAACACTGGTCTGAACCGATTTGGTCCGGATTCCGGGCCCCTACTTTCTATGAATGCCTCCATCGGAACTTGACCTTTCGAGCTCCATTCCGTCACCCAACTGAGCTCCGATGTCGTGTGCTAAAACGAAATCGGTCACGTTGCAGCAGTAGGTACGTGGCCTCACAACATTTTCCATCCATATCCAATTCCATTTCCGCCGTATACACTTTTCTTCTTCTTCTTCCTTTCATCCCCATCCCGTTTACAGCTCATCCTTCCCATCCCATCAGTGGGCACTCTAGTCATTTCTCACCTCTCCTCTGTCGTCACCTTCACTTAAAGACATTTTAATCATCAGCTTCCAAAAGGACTTGCAGGTCGCAGCTTTTTGCTCAGCCCACCGGCAAAAGAAAGGTTTCTTTCTGACCCAATATGTCGCCGGCGGCGGACGGGGTCAATGCTCCGCTACTTGGGGAGCAGGAGAAGGAAAGGAGGAGGCATGGCTCGGTTACCGGGGCGGTGTTCAATGTGTCCACCAGCATGATCGGAGCGGGGATCATGTCCATCCCGGCGACGCTGAAGGTGCTCGGGGTGGTGCCGGCGTTCCTGATGATCGTCGCCGTCGCCTGGCTGGCCGACGTCTCCGTCGAGTTTCTGGTGAGGTACACGCACTCCGGGGAGGCGACGACGTATGCAGGGGTTATGAGGGAGGGGTTTGGTGGGTTTGGGTCCGCGGCGGTGCAGATCTGCATCATTGTTACCAACTTTGGGTGCTTGATCATTTACTTGATCATCATCGGTGAGCTTGAATTTCTCGAATTAATTGATAGTTTCGTGCTTCTTGTGGTCTTTTATTCTAGTCAAGTTGAATTAATTGAAGTGAGCAAAAGAGGGGTTTGAACTTATGAGGAAGCATTGTACAAGTTTGATTGAAGCTTTTTGTGGGGGCGAAATTGTGGTTGTTTTCTTCAGGGGATGTTTTGTCAGGGACGGAGCAGCATTTAGGGGTGCTGCAAGAATGGTTTGGGGTTTCATGGTGGAATACTCGAGCTTTTGCACTCTTTATGGTTGTGATCTTTGTTATGCTTCCTCTGGTCCTGTTCAAGCGAGTTGGTGGGTTGTTCATCTTTGATTTCTTGCATTCATGGGGTTTTTTTCCGAAGATGTTGGTGGCTGAATCCTGAATATTTGGAGGGTGCTTTGTGTTTGTTTCTTGAATTCTGCTGCAGAGTCATTGAAGTGCAGTTCAGCCGTATCAGTTCTCTTGGCAGTGATTTTCGTGGGCATAAGCTCTGTGATGGCTGTCTATGCCCTCATACAAGGCAAAACCAACAACCCTAGACTGTTGCCTGAGCTAGACAGCAATTCCTCATTCTTTGAGCTCTTCACTGCTGTCCCTGTCATTGTCACAGCTTTCACATTCCACTTCAATGGCAAGTGAATCAAACCGCATAAAAACCCCCTTCTCAGATGAACACAAAGAAAGTTTTTTTTTTTCCCTTCTTCCATCTAACAAAATGGTTGGTAAAACGATTGCAGTACATCCCATTGGATTCGAGCTGGGGAACCCATCGATCATGCTCTCAGCAGTCAGAATCTCGATGGTCCTCTGTGCAGCCATCTACTTTGCAATCGGCATATTCGGTTATCTTCTCTTCGGGGACACCATCATGGCAGACATACTCGTCAACTTCGACAGGACTGCTGATACAGCAGCTGGTGCATTGCTCAACGACATTGTGAGGATGAGCTATGCTCTCCACCTGATGCTGGTTTTCCCCTTGTTGAACTTCTCGCTGAGGGCGAATCTCGACGAATTCCTCTTCCCCAAGAAACCCCTTCTGGCGAAAGACACCACCAGATTCTTGGCCATCACTTCCGCTCTGCTGGTACTGAGTTACTTGCTGGCGATTGCCATACCGAACATATGGTATTTCTTTCAGTTCATGGGATCGACCTCTGCAGTTTGCCTCGCCTTCATTTTCCCCGGCTCGATTGTACTGAGGTGACATTCCTACCCCCCCTCCTACAGAAATGCACAGCTTTGGCCTTTGTGCAGTTTCATCCTTTGGAATCTTGAATGTCTGATTGTGTTTTTGTTATGCCTTGGCAATGGCAGGGATGTTTATGGGATATCAACGAGGAGGGACAGATTGTTTGCAGCAGGAATGATAGTTCTGGCTGTGATAACAAGCGCCATTGCCATATCGAGCAATGTCTACACTCTGATTGGTGATAACCAGTAAGTGTTTGCTTCTGATGACCCTTCACACGTTTAGTTCAGAGGCTTTTCCCTGGTTGGGAGTTGCTTTTACATTTTTGTGTATTCTTCTTATGCGGTGGCGGTTTGTATTGCAAGTGGAGTTCTCTCTCAGAAGCCAAAGCAGGTTTTTGTAAGTGTACGTCTGCAAATCTCAAGCAAAATATATGGGTTTAAAGATTTGGGGGGTGGGAAGAAATTATGGATCAAACAGTAATTGCAAAGTTTAGATCGGAACCATAGATGGTTGAGCAGCATGGTTTGACTTAACTTACTTGTTCCGGTGGTATGATTTAATTTCTTGGTCTGGTCACGGTTTGGATCAGATTGTATATTTATTTTGTTTTTCAATTCGTGTTTGCAATTTCCAATGACATCCAATTTCCAACTCTTATTTTACAAATCTCACCCCCTCATTTTGTCTCAGATCATATTCGACTGTTTAAGTAAAAAAGTAGAAACTATCTCATCTTTATATGACATTATTATTATTATTACTAGCACCGGGCCCACCCCGTTGGACGGGTAACTTATGCATAATCGTATCATTTAATAAATTTTGAAATATAAACCCAATTGAAAATAATTAATATTTTTTTGATAATTTTTGTAATAAAATGGTGATTGTACAGAATGTTCGCCCAAAAAATGTGTCTATTAATACCTATGAAAGTTTTTATCTAAAATGGTTGTATGGAAGTGTTTATGAGAGAAGCCGAAATTAAACTTTTCATGCGGCTAGAGTCACTCAATATTTATTATGAAGATGAATTAAAAGAATTTATTTGTAATTTTACAAACAACAATAATAAGCAATAACATCACTAATGTATTGAAAAAATGTTATATGATATGAACGGAAAAAAAGTAATAGGAAATAAATACTTGGACCCCCTATCTAACAATCTGATTGATTTTCAGCCCATAGAAGAATGGGCCAATACTTGAACCACCAGATTGAATGACCAGGGAAGTGGGACCAAGGCCGAAGCGTGTACCTGTCATTCACGTACCAACAATCAATCAACTTCATTCTGGCTTCTAATCCTATCTTAGATTCTCAATAGTTCTACTTTATCTTCCCTGGGTTCTCCACCGATTCTTTCTAATCATATCAATTCATCCTCACCAATTTGAGAATCCATAGCAAAAAGACAACAAACTTGAGCTTCCCTTTGGCTTCATAACCCTTTTACTGCAAATCGCATAAAACAACGCCTATACCAACTTAACTTTAGCTCCTAGTTCGATCCCCTCTGTGCTTCAAGGTAGTAATACACTCAGCAAATTGAACATTCACGAATTTCATATTCCTGTAATTTCATATTATTTTGGGAATGCTTGTTTTTCTTTGTAGTGTTGCCCATAATTTTGCTTCTAGGTAATAGACAGAATCCAACTATTCCCATCACTTTGTCCCTTGGCCAGGATACTAAGATCTATTTATGAAAGAACTTATCATGCGGAAAGTTGAGAGGTTGGTTGTGAATGGTGAACTTGACCAACTAAATCTGTCGTAATAATGAATGAACGTGAGTTTTATAGTATGCGATAAAAGTTGTCTATCATAAGTGCATACAATTTCCTTCCCAAAAGTAAATAAAACTCCAAAATATAAACTCTAGTCATACCAAAGTTACACAAAAGACATAAATCTAGATAGCAAGGCTTTCCTATAATTGAAATAAATTTAGTAATGTAAAAAAAAATAGAGTAATTACTAATTAGCGAAAAAAACGTATGCAGTATGGACATGGTATGTTATTGATAAATGACCAGAAGTACTAATGAAGGTTGCATAAAGAAGCCTAAAGGCCTAGTTTGAGAATTTATTTTATTGCCAACGTACAGTACTTTTGGTGCAAACAATATGTCCAACTTAATTAGTGTATTGAGACAATTAGTGTATTATCATTTGATGTATTGAATCAATTGATGTATTAGGCAAATATCTTGTTTGGAGGTTTAGATTGTGTTTTTGTTCTAAAAGTAAAAAAGTTAGTTTTGAGTGATTGTGAAGAATCTCAACAAAAAGTAGAGATTGTAAATCCCTCAATATTGAGTGATTGTGGTGGGGCCTCCAAAAAGTAAATACATGTATTATAGTTCTATATAAGTCAAAAAAATGACTTAATCTCACAAATACATGAATTAGGTCAATACACCATTTGAAATCACAACTTCCAAACGACCCCTAAATTTTCAATTGCCAAATACACACACATTTTCAAAGAGATACTAAATCTCAATTTTTTCTTCACTTTACTTACTTCTAAAGTTATTGTGGACATTGTTTGTTATTACTGCAAACTATAGAAAAATACTTTTTAGCTATTAAGTTAATCAAGAATGATTTTATAAGTGAATGTTTAGTTGTATACATTGAAAAAGGTTTGAGTCTCAAAATAAACAATGAAAGCATTTTATAAACTTTTTAGAATGTGAGTAGTCACACGTTGATGTGAAAAGCTACTTATTAATTAAAATTTCTATATTATTTTAGAATATTTTATTTTATTTTTACCAAATGACACATTTCTCTATAAATATGAGTTCATAACTGTAGACCATATGGTGCTTGCAGTTGTGCGCGAGCCCATGAAGCATGCATGTTTATATGGGGTCGATCCACATATATTGTCTTCATGGTATGCGCTAACAGTGTCGTGCTAGACCATATACCTAGGTATAGTTATATGCATTCTAATAATTAAGTTTCTACTTATTCACAACACCAAGATAAAAATCAGTCATAAATGTATCCAATATTCGATTTTGACTACCTGATGAAATATTACATTTGAACCAACTACCACTGATGTCACAAGTAATAAGTATACCTATAATTCATACATAAAATACTTTGAGCATAAAAATATTAAGATTAAATTAATTATTATAAAAGAGTAAAAATTGTATAGTGAGGTTGATTATACCTCATTCATATGTTAATGTCCTATAAGTTAATCAACACATCCGAAATGGCGAAATGAACATCACATTATACCCCACAATTACTTGAACTTCCTCGTTGGGAGAGCGCGAAAAGATTGCAAATCTACTGATGTTTTTCTACTTCTGTTCTGGGGCCAATATCGTGTCATTATTGTAGGGTCCATTCATGCCAGATTAGTAAGAGGTTTAACGTTTAGCAGTTAATCATGTTAAAATTTTAGAGAATCATTCACCTATAGTTTGTACAAAATATTACTGTTTCGTAGTAGTTCTGAAAATTTATATTAATTTAAAGATTTCTACTTTGCTTTTTCATATTCAATAATGCATTCAATATGCAATATTTCAAGCAATGTAATTTGGGTTGCAATTTTAAAATGATCCGAAATTGTATAGGTTATAAAAATTTATAAATAACGTATTACAATTTGTTTTTCGGAAAATTTAATAGGCTAGCTAACTGTGATGGAAAAGTCCTCTGCTTTTTGAATCTTCTCTTGGTGAATGTTTAAAATTTAAGAAGATAAAACAAATTTGTTTAGTGTAATTGGTTGTGATTATTGTTTTTGTTTGAAAAGACCATGGTTCAAATCTTGATATTGATACTTTTTTATATGAAGTAGATAAATATTTGTGATGACAAACTTACTTTTTCTACTTTTACTCTCGATTTATGAAATATGAAATGAAAAATGTTAAAACGTTAAATGTATATTGTAGAAAGAGCTTCTTCAACCAAGTATGAATGATATTTTACCCGAAATTATTATATCTTATAGAAAGTGATTAATAGTGAAATCAAACCTCAAGTAATATTGATTCAAACATTAAATATAAAATTATATGTCGTGGTTCAGTTTAGTCAAAATACATATGTGTAACAAAAAAAAAAGGCCCGTTGTGACAAATATAGTAATTTTTGTGACAATCTACTTATAATACAAAGATAAATTGGGAGCAATGACGAAAAAGAGCTTCCCACTTTCAGACCATGAAATTTGAAATGAGACTCTCATTTTTCAATTTTATCATTATATTATGTGTATATTTATCACAAAAAATGAATATACCCGTCACAAAGGTCAAAGTTTCGGTTACACTTCTGTGTTTTTTGCCTAAACTAAACTACACATGCTATTTAATATTAATATTTGAATCAATGTTACTTGAGTTCCGATTTCAAAACTAATCTTTTTCTATAAAATAAAAAAAATTAAGATAAAATATAAATATAAAAGCATCATCACCAAACATATTTCTAGAGTTTAATAAAAATATAAAAATAAAATAATGTAGTCTAGTTGGTTATAATTCTCTTTCTTCATTTGAGTGACCAAGGTTCAAACCCTTATGATAACATTTTTAATATTTAAAGATGAACTGGGTGCAATGACAAAAATGACCTTCCTAAAATCACTCTCAGGCCTCGAAATTTGAAATGGGACAATTCCAACCCATGTTTTGCCATTATATATCTTGTAGATTAGAATAATCAAACTAAAAATATATTACGTAAATCTTGTAGATTAGAATAATCCAATCCATGTTTTGTCGTTATAATCGAAATTTACATAACATCGTTTTATAATAATTAAACTAAAAATATATTACGTAAATCTTACGGAAGGATAGTTATTTCTTATGTATAAATTGAACCAAACATATTATCTGAGACTTCTGTAATGATTAATATATTACGAAAACCTTACGGAGGGATAGTCACTTCTATGTATAAAATAAACGAAAAGATATTCCAAGTCTTTCGTGATATAATTTGCAACACAATTTTCTCTATTATTTATTAAATTGTCGACTGTATCATAAATTTGCATTACGCAAAGACTCAAAAAGTCAATTATTTTTAATGATTGTAATCAAATGTGATACCTTTTGTGACTTAATTCTTTCTGAGTCTTTCATTATATAATTTTGAACACAATTTTCTCTATTATTAACTAAAATATCGATGGTATCATAAATTTGCATTACGCAATCGCAAAGGCTCAGAAAGTCAATTGTTTTTAATGATATTTGTAACCAAATGTGATTTTAGGTAAGTTCACTTTTACACAATAGTTCAATCAATTGTGATTATATTTTGTAACTTGATTTTATTATTAGACAATAAATTACAAAAGATTTGCATAACACAGTTCTATAATTCCGTAAATTACAAGCACAATACATAACTATATGGAAAGATAGTTATTTCTTATGTATATACTAAACAAATATATTATTTAAAAGTTAATTTACCTAACAAAACATTTTCATATGCTTATATTTGGTCATTTTTATCAATTTTTAACCACATCTTGACTATTACATGAAAAAAAAAGAAATATTCTTTAAAATCATGAAATGGAGGCTCGCATTGGATTAGAAATAGAGGATCACAGTAAGTTACAACTACATTTTAGATCATGAAATGGATGCTCGCATTGGATCATAGAAATAGAGGATCACACTAAGTTATAACTATTTTTTATATCATGAATGAAGGCTCACATTAAGTTGTACAAATAGATGTTCGATGGATTTACACATTCATGGGGATCAAGCTAAAAAATTTGAAGAACTTGATTTGTAAACGGTAACTCGATGTTTCAAGAACTTGCGCTGAAAAATTGCTCGCCAAACGAAAGATAGCATAACCAAATAGAAAAACGAAAAATATGGCAAAAGATATGAAAATGCCAACAAACCAAAAACAAAATAATCACTCGCCACTATTCCTTAGTATAAGTTTGGAAGACATGTCATTTAATTATTAAATGAAACTGTTGATCATCTTATCAATTTGCATTACACAAAGGTTCTATAAAAGTCAGTTATTTTTTCGTGTCCATTTAATCAAAGTGATACTTTCCATAACTAAATAAATTTATTATTATCTATAATATTTACCATTTCATTAATTTGCATTATGCGAAGGTTCCTTAAGGCAAGTTAACTTTTACATTTAAATAAATGATATTTTTCATAGCTTGATTTTATTAGTAGTCCACACATTCTGAAAAGTTCACATAACACCGTTCTATAAAAATTAAACTAAAAGTATATTACGTAAATCTAATGGAATGACAGTTTATTTCTTATATATCAATTAAACTAAATGTATTATGTAAGTATTTTCTAATGATTAAGATCTTACGTAAAACTTATGGAGGGATAGTCACTTCTAATGTAGAAACTAAACAAATAGATAACATAGGTCTTCCATTATATAATTTTGAACAAAATTTTCTCTATTATTGACTAAACTGTTGATTATATCATAAATTTGAATTACGAAAAAGGCTCTGAAAGTCAATTATTTTTAATGATATTTTAATCTAAAGTGATACTTTTATAGTTTAATTATTCTATTATTAATTATATTTTGTAACTTGATTTTATTAGACAACACATTAGGGAATATTTACATAACATCGTTCTATAATAGTTATGTAAAATTTATTAAAACCGTACATAGAGGTGAGAGAGATATGTATCCTAAATTAAGGGAAGTTTTAAATATGCTTAGTTTATCACCACAGCGAAGCACGAGTCAAAAAAACTAGTGTTAATAAAGTAGAGACTATCTCATATTTATCACATAATTATGTTAATATTTATAATGTTTCCGGGGACAACAAAATCGACACAGAAAATAGCTCTGTCAAATTCATCTTCTTTTTTTCCTTCTGTAACTCATTCGCGGAATCGATTCTTATGCTGGCTTATTGTTATTGGGAGAATTCAAACGAAAGATAAGATGAAAGATTGGGGATTCCAGGGATCAGACACATGTGCTTTATGTGATGTATGTGTTGAAACTAGGGATCACCTCTTCTCCATGTGTTGCTACTTCAAGGAGGCCTTTGAACAACTATTTGGTTTGTATACCAACTTTAGGCCGAGGAACTGGAAGAAGGATTGAATTGGGCGATCAAGAGCTTTGGTCGGGAAGGTGAGGAGGCTGCTACTAGGAGACTTATGTGACAGTCCGTGTTGAGCCATACATGGCGTGAACGTTGTAATAGAGCTTTTGGAGTAGACAAGAAGGATGTAGAGACTTTGGTTTGGATTGTGAAGATGGAGGTTAAGTTGATGGGTTGGGAGATGTTCGCTCAGAAAATTTGGGTGAGGGGCTAAAATCTGTATCTGCTTTCTGTCTCGAGGTTTTACAGTTTTGTTTTTGCTTGTAGTTTGAGTGTTTGAGTCTGATGAGACTCCTTTTGCATTCCACCTAGCTGGCAGGGTAGTTGTCAGCACCCTTTTTGATGAAATGGAAGACCCGATTCATAAAAAAAAAAAAAACTCATGCGCGGAGCGCTCCTTCCAGAAAGGATCTCCATAGTCATAGTTGTAGCCGTAGTTGCGCAGCTCTCCACATGAATCTCCGTAGGAGTAGTCATGACGTATATTCCCAAAAACTTAAACACCCTGATTCGAATATTGTTTGGCTAGGTGAGAATCGTAGTAACGGTTGTCTTGGTTCGTCATCCTCAATTGTTCTCTTGACTAAAAGCCAAAGTTCACTCTGTTCACTCGCACTCTGAATAAAGCTCGCCATTAACACTGACAAATAATTTCACCACAAAACACTATCACACAAATTAATATCGCTTCTTATCATTAATTTGACGGAGGGTGTTGAAGTTCATGTATCACTTATCTAACACATGATTACTTACTAATTGATACGTGAATTTCCTGAAAACGTACTTTTGGTTCTTTTTTTGTGGTCTATTCGTCCATTTGATTTAGTTGTAAATGATATGATACATATATAGTTGGGCCGGGGTGCTATTCCATGACTTTCGCCTTGTAAACAATGGTGACTAATTAATCTAGTATCCAATTCTTACGAAAAAGGTATCACAAAACTGTTTATTGTCGTGACAAATCAAATTCTTTTATCGGCGATTTGATTACTTATCGTGATTATTTTCATTATCTTTTTTTTTTAACTCAGAAAAAACTTCATACTTTCTATCTGATTGTTCCATTTTGGAATATGCATGAAAATAATAATAATAATAATAATAATAATAATAATAATAATAATAATAATAATAATAATAATAATAATAATAATAATAATGTGGTGCTTTCATCAAATTTTTGCATGTGCAAAGGATACCACCTGCAGCTGGCCGTTCTATTTCTCCGTCGAAGTTTCGGCCATTCAACGGGTATACTTCGTTTTGTTTGATTCCTCAGTTTTTTTTGGAGGAGTATAGGATCTTTTCATGGCTAATACCCTAAAGATTACAAAACCATAAGTATTGGAGGTTATAATGAAAAATTCACTGATAGGTATTTCGTAATCAATTTTTTGGTTTAACGGTAATTTATCCGTTTCATATCGTTAAAATCGTCTATTGATTTGGGGTCTGTATATAATAATATTTTCAGTTCGAGCAACCAGTATGTAAGGAAGTGGTTAATTTAGTATCATACTCCCAACAACTCGAGTTATTGAGACCAATTTGCCTTACGACATGGTATATATTAGAGATGGTTTGTCATTGAGGTCGTGTGTTGAAATCCCCACGACCCGACCCCCAATATTAACCATTGTCTTAAAGCACATAGTATGGTTTGGACATGTGCAAAGTTCAAGCTCATAAGCTGACTCTCGTTTGAATGGGTGCTTGTAAGAAAGTTGCTAAGTACGATACATAGACCTCTCGCACAATCCGCGAGGTTAACTTATTTAGTCCTTAAAAGCAAGGATGACCAACTGAACCATAAAAAGGATATCCGACTTGACCCGGTTAAAATAGGTTATCATATACCAACTAATCCAGATAACTCAAACGGTCGAGATACGTCCATATACATTACTTAATCACTTCCTTACCCGATACTGACTATACCCTTATTAATCTTGCTTCTACATGTTCCCACAAGTCAACATCGCAAGGCCTAGAGGCCCAACCATATTATTGTAAACAGTGTACTGACATATATGATATATATACACGGCAGCATATGCGAAAAATCAACCCCTTAGCTATAAATATGGATGCCACTCGAACTCGACCATATATCTTCATAATAAAAAGTTCCATTCTGTGAGCCGATATCCAGCAATGGATTCCCTGGTATAATACAAGAGAAGAGATCAGAGATGTGTGGAGCAGTGCAAAGATGGTGGTGGTGCGACGGTAAGCGAGGGACGTTGATGAAGAAACTCAAGTCGTATCTGGTAATGGTGTTGCTTCAAGTTGGGTTCGCGGGGATGTACGTGCTCACCATCGTTTCGTTCAGACACGGGATGAGCAGTTACGTCTTCTCCGTCTACCGTCACGTCGTTGCCGCTCTCGTCATGGCTCCTTTCGCTCTTCTTCTCGAAAGGTATAAAATTTGTGTCGACTATGCTCGTGATTATAAGTATCACTGACACATGTCATAAACCAGTTGGTCCCAATAATTCGAGTTGTTGGGAGAAGGTTATGTTGGATCTTATATCATTCTCTAACATGCCCCATAAAAAAAGCCGACTCATGGGCTTGAAGTTTGCACAGGCCCACCGTACCATGTGCTTGAAAACAACTGTTAATATTTGGGGTCGTGGATCTTCGAACACACGACCACTTCGCCAAACCAGGCTCTGATACCATGTCATAAACCAGTTGATCCCAAAAACTCGAGTTGTTGGGAGAAAAATTATGCTGAATCTTATACCACTCTCTAACACACAGCACCAGTGTCAACAGAATTTGTGTCGGTTGTATCAACCAACACAAATGATACCAGATAATCTGAGACAAATTCACCCAAGTCCTCATTTTATAGAATTTTTTTTTTTTTTTTTGAGTTTGCAGGAAGACAAGGCCCAAGTTGACGTGGCGTGTGTTCTTGAGAATAGCCATGCTTGCTTTCTTAGAGTAATTAATATCTCCAAATTCTTTCACGGTTTTGCTATCAAATTAATTAATATAATGCATCATTAAAAAAAAAAACATTCCAAATCTTTCTGTTTTCATTCTAATAATAATCAGGCCGGTGCTGGACACGAATCTGTACAATCTGGGAATGAAATACACGACCGCAACGTTTGCATCTGCAACTCTCAACACCATACCTGCCATCACCTTCATTCTTGCTCTCGTTTTCAGGTAAATTCATTTCATTTCTTGCAGAAATTGGAGTTTATTGATTCGTCTCGTTTATAAACAAGTTTTTTTTCCCTTTCTTTCTTGGGTGTACATCTTTATGGTACGCTAAAAATCGTCGATGCAAAACTCATAAGGTCGGAATTTTGACAATCAAAGATTTTGACACATGAAAAGGATGTTTCATGTAATTCAAATCCATATTATATAATTCGATCATCGTATAAAATTATTATTATATATATAGAATATATCCAAGTATCTAACAATATATGCCACAAGGAAATGATATTAATTGTTTCAATAAAAATACAAGCTAATGATATCAATTGTTTCAATCAAATACAAGCTAATGATTTTTATTCCAATCAAGGAAGACCCTTTTGGACCGTCCGTCCACTAATATAATTGACTGAAAATACAAGTTAATGAGTGGACACAAAAAAAAAAAAGAAAAAAGAAAAATAATTATACTTATAATGGGATATTCCTAAAAACAATTGAAATAAAAGCAAAACGAACACATAGGTAGCTGCGGCAAATGATTAGCTAGTTGTTTTTGGCTTTTCATAATATCATCATTTTATTAATTTTCAGCTGATCCTGTCTTATATGTTTAAATTGTTCTGTTTTTTCACCAAAAAATTTAAATGAATTGTGGTTTGATGTATTTTGTAACAAAAAATAAAAAAAAATTCATGCTCAGGGCAAATCTTAAGGGTTGTTTGGAAGTTGTAATTGTTTTGTGAGGTTGTTACTATACTTGTATTGATTAGAGAATGCATAGTTTTTGTAATTTTTTTTAGTAGACACAATAGATGGATTGTTTCTGTGATGTGACAGAACCTATCACTCAAAATAAGTTATTGCTATATCTCAGCTTTTAGCCGAGATCATTGTTGCGATAGTTGAGTTGAGATTGTTTTATCTCGACTTTTAACAGATGTGGCATACACAATCACAATTCCCACATATCAAACGTTGTATTTTACAATATATATTCATCACAAGTAATTACAGCAGTACATCTATTTAACAATCACAACTTCCAAATGTCGCCGGATAACTTTGTAAAGCATTGTTATAGGTTGGAGAGTGCAAACCTAAGGAAGATTCACAGTGCAGCCAAGGTGATTGGGACCATAATCACATTCGTTGGAGCCATGGTCATGACATTCTACAAAGGCCAATTAGTTCTGGCCTTGAGCCATACTTCCACGTCACTGCCGTATGGATCATTCATGGTACCAAACGCCAGTAGTGCAGAAGAGAAACGACATTGGGTCGTCGGGACGGTTATGCTCTTCGCGAGCTGCCTCGCGTGGGCTGCTTTCTTCATCCTCCAGGTAAAATCGTCGTTGAGATCAACTGGTTCTTAATACGAAAACTTGAACATGCATGTATGCTTTCTGATTGCATGCCATGTATGTCGTCTTTTATTTGGAATTATACTAGGCAATGACGTTGAAGGAGTATCCGGCAGAGTTGTCTCTGACGGCATTGATATGTATGATGGGAGCTGGGGAAGGAGTGATCGCTACTCTTGTTATGGAGGCAGACTCGAGTGTGTGGAAGATTGGCTTCGATTCTAGGCTCCTTGCCGTTGCTTATTCCGTAAGTAACATTTCCTTCGGGATAGCCCGTACGGTTTAGGGTTTAGGATTTAGAGTTTAGGGTAACCAAATGGATAGTGGCGCTCGAAATTTAAAGTGTGCATGGATTAGAAATACGAAATTACAATAGTTTACGGGGATCGGGATCAGTCTATTAGGATTGGGCCCGATGACCACTATCATACCGCTTTCTAATGTTCATTCGATATATTAACACATTTATATCGACCCTAAATAAAATATATTAAAGCGGGAGCTTATACATAGACCGAGAGACTTTTTGTTTGAATTCTGGAGTCTTTCAATTTTGATTAACATGTTACCGATCATACAAAGGGACTGATAGAAAGATCGCCTATACAAATTTCGAACTCATGAGTTGAGTTAAGGACGTATAAAGAAATTGATTTAATTTTTTTTTTACAATTTCGACCTCTTTCAACAACTCGATCATTGCAGGATGAAGTTATATATATCGAGATAAACCGATTCTTGAAACATGATTTTGCTGCAATAGCCAATAGTACATATTAATCTTTCATGATCATCAGTATATGGTGATTTGCAGGGAGTGGTTTGCTCTGGGATTGCGTACTACGTGCAAGGAGTTGTAAGCAGAGAGCGAGGCCCGGTTTTCGTGTCTGCTTTCAGCCCACTCTGCATGATTGCCACGGCTTTTCTTGGTTCCATTTTCCTAGCTGAAACCTTGCACCTTGGAAGGTAATCAACTAAGGCACATTATTTTTCATCTCGAAACCTATACAATTTCGATATGATCAATTCTCCCCGACTTGTTTGACCTGTTTTCGAGAGGGTAATACTTGCCCCATAATTAGGGCAGGCTAATTGGTCCGGGTTTTTTGGTTTTATCCAAAACCGGACCGTATAACCCGGACCGAGATCGGACTGGGACCGAATAGTAAACAATCCAATCCAATCTTTGGACTTAGATTTGAGGTAAAAACCGTTCCGGACAGGATCGAAAACTGGAGACCGGATAAGAGAGCTCAACACCCAAAACTTAAGGGTAATTTGCATAAACGGTCACAAACCTTTGCACTTAGTACAAAACTTAACCAACTCCTCAACCTTTCAGGCCTTAGGCCACTCAAATCCCCACAAGCTCAATATAAAATCAAGACCGAATTGGGATCGGACCTGATCAAGCCCGGACTGTATCCAATCCAATCTTTGGTCCTTATATTAAAAAAAAAAAAGAACTAGACCGGATCAATTTGAGCTAATTTAATCGGACCGGACCGTATAGCCACTCCTATTAGGCGAGGTGGAATAAACCTAGATAATCTCTCCGACATGACTCACACCTCGAATCATTTACCCTGAATTGTATACAGTTTTACTCAAATTACTTAGAATATTACCTTTATTACGTCATATTTTTTAATTACGATTTATAGCCTAATATTTTAGCTATAAAAATTTGTAAACAAGAGAGAGAAACTCGAGTTTTTGAATAATCTAACTATATTTATCATGTCATAGTTTGTTTCTTGTTGATTTATTAGTGAAATAATCTATGTTTCACGTATTTTTTTCCTGTAAATTACACACCATATGGGTCTACCTAACCTTACCCACGCCCCAAGAAAAAATATTTGACATGGACCCGATCAAACACAAAAGAGATTATGAATATCGAGACACCTACGGACAAGGGTTTGGTCTAGTGCTAATAGCACTAGATTTGAACATGACATCTTCAGGTGCAAATCACTTATAAGTAATACCTAATCACAAAAACAAAATAAACATATATCACCCTTATTAAAAAAAAATATCGAGATACCTACCCTACCTGACCCGTTACCATTTCTACTATACATTGCTTGCTTGTTAATTTTGGATCTAACTTTACTAATTTTGGGTTTAATTTTGACTACAGTGTGATAGGGGCAATTCTGATAGTGTTTGGGCTTTACACCCTTGTGTGGGGAAAGAGCAAAGAATCGCTACTAATTACCACTCCAACAGCAGAAACCCCATTCGTAGAAGAGACTACCATCAACGTCCATGATACAAAAAGCTCCGGTGACCATAACGGTCGCCGGGAACCGCCATGTACCGGTACTGATCAGTTGAAGGCCGGCGCCGGAAATTGCCTGAAATAATTGGTTGATGTAATTAGTGAGATTGTATTGAATATAAAGATGGAGTACAACTTTTTCTTTGAATACACATTTCGAAATGCATCGCATGGAGAAAAGATATTGTCCTTGTACATCAACTGTGCAAATGTATATCCACAAACATGTGAAGATATTCAAGTGCAGCTCATTTGTGACGGTATTCTCAGAGGATATACTACATGGAGAAGTTTTATATTCACCTCAAGGTAGTGATGTTTCTACTTCTTCCTCTTTAAGGACAATTGCTTTGGCTATGGACATGGAGGGAGCTATCTACCCTATTCATCAATCAAACCCATCAATGAGAGTAAATTTGACGGGGCTATTTCGTGACGTCTTTCATCATGAAACGTATTGAACAACGAAGTACCTTGTGAATAGGATGGAAATGTCATGGAGGATAGTGATGAATAAAATGATGATGATGATGATGATGAAGTGAGCGATGATCCATTGTACGATATAGGTGAAATATAAGATTTGATAAAATATGCATATGAGGACCTTTATCCGGGGTGCAAGACATTTCATAATGGATGGACTGCAAAAATCCTTCATCATAATACTTGAGTGGTTACTGCAAGCATATCCGGAAGATATATCCTTACTCAAATCTCATTATGCCGCTAAGAGGAAAAAGCTTTACCACACGGCAAGAAGCAGGAGTATTGCAAGGATAAGAAAGCAATTTCGTAAAACTATAAATAATTCTTGAACTTGAATATGTTATCCGGTCCGGAGGTAATCTAACTTCTAATTTATTAATGCTTAAAGAAGGCGAAATTAGGCCGAGCTCTAATTAGAGAATTAGATTATTGGAGAATTTTGATCTCTGGTCAGAATTGAGTTATGTAAATATGAAAGAAATTAAATTACAAATTGTTTTGTTGGCGAAACTCGCGCGTTCAATGCGCTCTGATTTCAAGGAAACAAAAAACCCAAAGTCAGCAAAATCGTCAAATATCCGCCGCCGATATCGGCGTCGTTGATCGATTAAAGTAGAAACCAAGACGATCGTCAAATATCCGCCGCCGGTATCGGCGTCGTTGATTTGATCGATGCACCTTTGACCTCTAATCAAACAACCGTTACTCGGTTCACCACCTCTCCAAACTACGTTCGAACGAGGGTGTTCACGAGAAACGAGAAACCAAACCGGGAGTGTTCTAAGTTACGTTACCTCTACTCCTATGGAGGTTCCTCTGGAGAGCTCCGCAACTACGACTACAACTACTACGACTCTGCAAAGGAGGTCTTTGTCAGAGAAGTTCTACGAACTAGAGAGAAAAAGATAAATCTGCGTAGGTGCAGTTTGTGATTTGATTTTGCCGTCTCCAGTCTCTCTCTCTTCCCAATCTTTATACTTCGCGCTTCTCCCCGTCGTGGTAACTGCCTTGGCGCCTTTGTCTCCCACGTCTTCATTCCTGTCAACCGTGCAGGTAACTTACTCCTTGTTGCGTGATAATCACGTGCCCTCGAAACCGCTCTTGCTTTGCAGAAACTTGGCGAAACGACTTACCCCCTTGTCCATGTAACGATGACGTTTCACCAATACCACGGCATCGCCTTTCACCAACCGATGCCGTTTTATGATCCAACTCAACTGCCCCGGCCCGGTTTAACCAACGACATTGTTAGTCCATCAAACAATGTCATTATATACTCTTGCGAAGTCGTTAGGCTTGGCGGGCTGCCTTCGGCCGAACTCTTACCACTGCCGCGATGTCGTTTTACTTTTCCATGACATCGCTTCTCATTAAACGACACCGTCTTTAAATACCCATAAAATACTCAGCCCTCATTGTTAACTCGCCGTCAAACTCTCACCCCGGCGTCGTTCTTAATTAAACAACATCGTTTCCCTGTCCCGCGATGTCGTTGAGCTTCACAACACTGTTTTCATTTTAACACTGTCGTTTTAACTGCTGCGGCATCGTTTGGCCTACTTGCGGTATTGATTTATAATCCGCGGTGTCGTTTCTTTCCTCTTGCGGCATCGTTTTCAACTAAACGACACCGTCCTAAACAGCCATTAAAATATTAATTAATTAATCCGTCCATCACTAGCTATGGCCAACGACATCACTAGCATCACAACAACTCCGTTTGTTTTTCCCTTTTGCGACATTGTTTTTTATTTAAACACTGTCGTTTGCTAATCCGTGGTACCGTTGAGCTTCCTCGCGGTACCGTTTTGAATTAAACGACACCGCCGATATAGCCAAAAATATTAATCCATGGAACCGCCGCAGTCGGCGCTGGGCCGGGTGAATTTTGGTCACTTGCCCGATATGATTTTTTAATTAATCGGTACCGCTTACCAGGCTCTCGCGGCACCGTTTTTAAATCCGCGGTACCGCTTTAGCTTTCCGCGATACCGCTTATCTCCATGCGGTACCGATTTTCCCCTTCCAAAAAATAATAATTAATTAATCAAAACTCCTCCTCCAACCTTCATTAAACGCCGGTCCTTTTTTTATTTTCTGATGACCGGTGCCGCGGTACCGCTGAGCTTCCTTGCGGTACCGTTTTAATTCTCCATGCGGTACCGATTTTCCCCTTCCTACAAGGAATAAAGGAAATAATTAATTATAAGACTCCCTTCTCCAACCCAACTACACGCGCAGCCCCCCTTTTTTATATTAAGCGGTGTCGTTTCCCATGTCGCGGTACCGTCGAGCTTCCTTGCGGTATTGGTGAGCTTCCTTGCGGTACCGTTTTAATTCTCCATGCGGTACCGATTTTCCTCTTCCGACAAGGAATAATGGTAATAATTAATTATAAAACTCCCTTCTCCAACCCAACTACACGCGCGGCCCCTTTTGTTTTTCGGTATCATTTCCAGTGAGCTTCCTTGCGGTACCGTTTTTCTGCTTCGCGGTACCGTTTTAACTCTCCGCGATGCCGCTCAACTCCAAACGACACCGTTTTTTACCCACGGTATCGAATTAAATGCCGAGACTAATTAATGCGGCATTTAATTCAGGCCAAATTAATTTTAGGTGTCAACAAATGCCCCCCACAATTTGGTTTATAAGAATTATGAACCAAATTGTTGACAAAATCCACAATACCTAAAATAATTTTAATTTAAACCGCCAATCCACCAAAAATTGGCGGAAATCTTTTGGCCTATTTTTCCTGTTTATCATACCTGCATAGCCGCCTCGGCCACACATGTTTTTTACCTTTTTTTTATTATTTAAATTTTTTTTATATTAGAGCTGCTTGGCCGCACACTACTCCTTTTGTCGACAGAGCTGTTAGACTCCAACAACAGTCGCGACATTGCTTGGCCACAGCGCTGAGAGATATTTTATTTTATTATTTTCACTCTTATTAAACCAAACAATTTTGGCTTTAATTAAACTATTTTATACCGTTGCGGCCGCGCTTAGGACCTCCAGCAGCACTGTTCATCGTCCAAACAATCCTGTTTTTTTTCTTCTTCTTTTTCAATTCCTCATCAGCGCTGTTTTGGCCGACCTCTTTTTTTTATGGTATAACATCATAGTCCTTTTGCTTCCGCGACACCGTGCCCCCTAACAATGTTGTTGATATGAAAAGAAAAATAAAGCGGCACCACTGCTACGTGGCTTAGCCAAAAATGGCCATGTTTGGTCATTATTTCTTAATCAACCATTATCAAAGAAAATTAAAAGTAAAGTCATGTTTAATCTTGGTCGATATTGTGACTATCTCGACAACACAGTAATCGGCGGACCATATTTAACAACTCTGGCTTAAAGAAAACAAACCATTTAGCCAACACAACCATACACCAACAGCCTTGACTAGGTTAATGCAACGCCGATGGCATCTACGTAATTCAGTCATGCATGAATCTAAAATAAAAAGCGACAAACTGGCTATACAACATGATTACAACGTATCCATGTTATATTTCCAAACATTCATACGTAAAAAAATCTTTGAAGCCATTCAGAATCATAGTTAACTCGTACCTGTTAGAGTCATGCAAGCTGGCAATATGAATGTTGAATGTGGGTCATCCTTCCCGCCAAAGTTGATTTCTTCCACAATGTCGCAGACAGCGCCTCTGCTTCCTCTCCCAACTTGTTACTCGCATCCTCGCCGTTGATCGGCAACTCCTCTATCAAGGCCGTGATTTCGGCCTTCTCCACCCACTCTTGAGGTGGCTTACTCTGATTTTGGTGGACCACCTAATGCACGCATTGATGGTCTCACAATTTCAGACAAGTGGTTCAAGCAAGCCTTACTCCACACTCTCGCGCTTGAAACTATGACGTTGGACGTTTCCGACAAATAAGCTTCAGCCACGTTGGCCCCAACGGCAAATGGCTTTGTGTAAGCCTTGACCACTTCAACGACATCGTCTTCATTCCAGAGCATCAAACACTGATGCAGCGATGAAGGAACACACTTGTTGGCGTGGATCCAATCCCGACCAAGCAGTGCGTTGTAACTTATCATCCCATCCACCACGAAGAAGGCACTCATCCGCTTCTGTGACCCAACTCCCACGACAACTGGGAGGATTCCCCTGGCAGAAGTGGACCCGCCATTGAAACTTGTCACAAACACTTCTGTTGGGATCAGGTCATTAGTGCTCTTGCCCAACTTCTTCAGCATCCTTGTTGGCATCACATTTACTACGGCACCATTGTCAACCAAGACCCTCGACATTGGTACATCATCAAGTGTGGCCTTGATGTAGAGAGGTCTCAAATGACGCATCATCTTCGGCTCGGGCTCGTTGAAAACAACGACCCTGTTTGATTCCTCACCCGTGGTTCCCTCATCCACGGCTTTCCCTTTTGATTCTGCAGCTCGGAGAGGTTTCTCCAGCTCGTCGAAGTCGGAACCCCATGTGATGTTCTCCACTGGCACACTGGTTGACTCTTTCGGGCCTTGATATAACACGTAAAAAGGATATCTTCCTCCATCTTCGCCCAGTAGCCCAACAGCTTTGTGGCCAGCTTCGTACAGTTCTTTCAGGATTCGCTGCGAACTCTTGTTCTGTTTGGCTGACTCTACTGCCAAGTCAATTCGACCATTCGTGCGAGCCATCATTGCACTCCACGGCTCAGCCTCGATTGGCAGATCCGCAGACTCGCCAACTAGCTCTGCCGCCGCTGGCTCCTCATTCTCCTCCTCTAAAGTCAGTTGAGCGAAACCGCTCACTAGTTCAGCAACGTTGACCTCCTGAGCAGCTTCGTCCAATTCTTCAACCTCCATCACGACCTCGCCATCCTCTCCCTGATTTTCCAAATCAATGTGGAAGATCAATGGCAAGATGTAGTTGTTCACCACCACTGGTGGTAGGCTTCCAAACTGGATCGTCATGGGAGGACCTTGGTTGTCATCATCGTCATCCTTATTCTTTCGATCAAATTTCGACTTTGGCTCCTCCAATTCCAGCATCTCCTCTTCGATAAAGGAGTCATCCACTTCAGCATCGTACTCAACATCTCCCGGGACTCCTTGCTCGTTCCCGTCCCGCTTGTCCTCTACAACTTTTCCAGCACCGGCCACAGTCACTCTCAGACCCGTGGTAGAGTTATCCACGTTCACATTTGCTTGCAAGCTTGCAATCCTCCTTCCTTGAGCATTTTTGCGGAGGTACCTTCGATACTGCGTCCTTGTCATTTGGTCAACGGCGATAGGCTGCTGACGACGGACATCGTAGGTGTGCCAACCACCCTGTGGCACATTTGGCATCCTGAAAGTTCTCCTGACAGGTGGGGCACCTCTCACCGGTCGGGCAAGTCCAAAAGGCAGACTTTTGAAAGGTGGGGCACTTTGAGCAACCCACAGCCTACGTTGCCCTCTTCCCCATGCAGGTGCACGTACTCCCTCGACACTGCGTTCATATGAAGGGTACCTCGGTTTGAACTGTCGTGGTCCCAATCTCTGATGGACCGTCTGGCTCGGTCCTGCTCCCCCAATGTTCAGCTTTCCACGACACTGGGCACACAGTTTCTCTTCCTCAACTGGGTCCAAGCGTGGCCCCTCCTGCACTTGGGAGGATGAAGCTCCCTGGGCCACATCAGAACTACCACTCGGCGGTGGCGTTGTATCCACCACCAGCTTGAAGCGCGGCACGTTGAGCTTAGAGAAATCGGGGTTGACCATGTTGACACTGACCACGTTTGGGAAAGGGTCTGTGTCAACAATCATGGCCTCCTTCCTCGGCTCTGGGAACTTGAACCGACCTTTCTCAATTGCATCCTGCACCACATTGCGAAACACAACACACATGTTAGTTGAATGAGATGCACTGTTGTGCCATTTACAGTATCGTTTCCCTTTTAATTTTTCAGCTGACGGGATAGTATGCCCCCCAGTTAACTTAATTTGACCATCTTTGTAAAGTTGGTCGAAAATCAATTCTGATTTTGAAACATCAAAGGAATATTTCCTAGTTTGAATTGGAGCACGATTGGGCTTTCCACCTTGTGGTTCCCCATCGGCCTTGGCCAGAGAAGCACACACATATGGCTTCCCCTGCACGATCTCGGCCAAGTCAACTTCAACCTCATCAACATCGCTGCCGACGTTATTCACACCATAGTTTTCAAAATTAGGGAAATATTGTCCACGAGAACCACTTCTCTTATGTTCTTCTTCATGAAGAAGAGATTCATATCTAACAGCGCAGGACATCAATTGAAACAGATCGGAGAACTCCCTATCTTGAAACTTTTTACGAAGTTCAAAATTCAATCCACCCTGGGCAAGTTTAACAAACTCGCGTTCTGTCAAGTTCACAAAACAGCGATTTCTTGCATTTTTAAAATTAGTTAAGAAATGTTCCACCGTTTCTCCTGGCTGTTGGCGCATTCGTGCCAAGTCTGCCATTGTCACTTCTGGCTCAGAACGGTAGAACTGGGCATGGAACATTTGTTCCATTTGCTGCCAAGTTTGAACTGAGTTTGATGGCAAGTTGACGTACCACGCGAATGCAGGGCCGGTCAACGAGTTGCCAAACAAACGCAACTTCAAGAAATCACTCACATCACCACACTGAACCGTGAATCGTCCAACATGCTCGACAGTGGACTGATCCCCAGTCCCGCTGAAGGTGATGAAATCAGGCACGCGAAAACCACGTGGAAAGGGGTAATATCTATCAACCCAATCCGGATATGGTTTTCGATACACCGGCGGCATCGCTGGTCTAATCCCTAAACCAAACTGATCCGCCAGCATCTGTGCTACTTGATCTCGAATCGCATTAACGTCTTGCCCCCCGAGTTTCCCCCCTTGTGGCACGAATCCACCCGGATCCATGCCAAGCCCGTTTGGAGGAGGAGGCACGTTTTGTGGGTAGCCGCGTGGCGGAACATGATCATTGTTGATCGTTCCTCCACCACCAGCACCGCTCATCGGAGCCACGTAGGGTCTGGCCTCCGGAATATTTTGTGGACCCACATTGTGCACTGGTGGCGGCTCAACACGAGTGTTAGCCGCAGTACTGGTCTCGCCAAGATTTACTCTCGACGGACTTGCTGGGTTCACCACCGGTGTTGGCGAAACGCCCTGTCTCGGCTGAGTATCTCGGCCGCCATTGACCGGAAAGCTATTGGTGCCAGTGTCGTTGTGTAACGGATTCTCACCGCTTAACGGCAAAGCCCTTGTTTGCGGCACTGGCCTATTCAAAAACTCTCTAAAATCATTAAAATCACGTCTGTTACTTTCAAAATCCATTCTGTTTTTATCTACGACTTCAACCAGTTGGCTAACACGTCTATCAATCCGAGAACTAAGACCATCAAGACGTCCATCCAAAGAGGCTAAGTGAAGTTTTACTTGTTGGTTATCAGCCATGACTTGGCGAAGCATGCGTGTTATCTCACCCTGGTTGGCAGTTTGCGCCACTGCTGGCACTTCCCCTCCGGCGTCGCTGCTCGCACCGCCGTGTGAACCGCCACTCTGGTCAGTCTCTACATTGACCATTGGCTCTTCCTCCACTGAAGTTGGTGGAAGATCGCCCTCGTGATTCTTCCTTCGCGGAGCCATCCGAACACACGGGTCCCACCAGGTGTGCCAATTTGTTTCGTTGGTGAAACTCGCGCGTTCAATGCGCTCTGATTTCAAGGAAACAAAAAACCCAAAGTCAGCAAAATCGTCAAATATCCGCCGCCGATATCGGCGTCGTTGATTTGATCGATTAAAGTAGAAACCAAGACGATCGTCAAATATCCGCCGCCGGTATCGGCGTTGTTGATTTGATCGATGCACCTTTGACCTCTAATCAAACAACCGTTACTCGGTTCACCACCTCTCCAAACTACGTTCGAACGAGGGTGTTCACGAGAAACGAGAAACCAAACCGGGAGTGTTCTAAGTTACGTTACCTCTACTCCTATGGAGGTTCCTCTGGAGAGCTCCGCAACTACGACTACAACTACTACGACTCTGCAAAGGAGGTCTTTGTCAGAGAAGTTCTACGAACTAGAGAGAAAAAGATAAATCTGCGTAGGTGCAGTTTGTGATTTGATTTTGCCGTCTCCAGTCTCTCTCTCTTCCCAATCTTTATACTTCGCGCTTCTCCCCGTCGTGGTAACTGCCTTGGCGCCTTTGTCTCCCACGACCAGGTAACTTCCTCCTTGTTGCGTGATAATCACGTGCCCTCGAAACCGCTCTTGCTTTGCAGAAACTTGGCGAAACGACTTACCCCCTTGTCCATGTAACGATACATTTCACCAATACCACGGCATCACCTTTCACCAACCGATGCCGTTTTATGATCCAACTCAACTGCCCGGGCCCGGTTTAACCAACGACATTGTTAGTCCATCAAACAATGTCATTATATACTCTTGCGACGTCGTTAGGCTTGGCGGGCTGCCTTCGGCCGAACTCTTACCACTGCCGCGATGTCGTTTTACTTTTCCATGACATCGCTTCTCATTAAACGACACCGTCTTTAAATACCCATAAAATACTCAGCCCTCATTGTTAACTCGCCGTCAAACTCTCACCCCGACGTCGTTCTTAATTAAACAACATCGTTTCCCTGTCCCGCGATGTCGTTGAGCTTCACAACATTGTTTTCATTTTAACACTGTCGTTTTAACTGCTGCGGCATCGTTTGGCCTACTTGCGGTATTGATTTATAATCCGCGGTGTCGTTTCTTTCCTCTTGCGGCATCGTTTTCAACTAAACGACACCGTCCTAAACAGCCATTAAAATATTAATTAATTAATCCGTCCATCACTAGCTATGGCCAACGACATCACTAGCATCACAACAACTCCGTTTGTTTTTCCCTTTTGCGACATTGTTTTTTATTTAAACACTGTCGTTTGCAAATCCGCGGTACCGTTGAGCTTCCTCGCGGTACCGTTTTGAATTAAACGACACCGCCGATATAGCCAAAAATATTAATCCATGGAACCGCCGCAGTCGGCGCTGGGCCGGGTGAATTTTGGTCACTTGCCCGATATGATTTTTTAATTAATCGGTACCGCTTACCAGGCTCTCGCGGCACCGTTTTTAAATCCGCGGTACCGCTTTAGCTCTCCGCGATACCGCTTATCTCCATGCGGTACCGATTTTCCCCTTCCAAAAAATAATAATTAAATAATCAAAACTCCTCCTCCAACCTTCATTAAACGCACGGTCCTTTTTTTATTTTCTGATGACCGGTGCCGCGGTACCGCTGAGCTTCCTTGCGGTACCGTTTTAATTCTCCATGCAGTACCGATTTTCCCCTTCCTACAAGGAATAAAGGAAATAATTAATTATAAGACTCCCTTCTCCAACCCAACTACACGCGCAGCCCCCCTTTTTTATATTAAGCGGTGTCGTTTCCCATGTCGCGGTACCGTCGAGCTTCCTTGCGGTACTGGTGAGCTTCCTTGCGGTACCGTTTTAATTCTCCATGCGGTACCGATTTTCCTCTTCCGACAAGGAATAATGGTAATAATTAATTATAAAACTCCCTTCTCCAACCCAACTACACGCGCGGCCCCTTTTGTTTTTCGGTATCGTTTCCAGTGAGCTTCCTTGCGGTACCGTTTTTCTGCTTCGCGGTACCGTTTTAACTCTCCGCGATGCCGCTCAACTCCAAACGACACCGTTTTTTACCCACGGTATCGAATTAAATGCCGAGACTAATTAATGCGGCATTTAATTCAGGCCAAATTAATTTTAGGTGTCAACACAAATGATCTAAGGACTCAAAATGACTTAAGTCATTTGACTAAACACATCCTAGTCACCAGATTAACAATGTTATCTAACCACCTCATCCGGTCAACCCTTGAATCAAATCCAAAATCATTTATATTCATAAGTACTTCCTCCAAATTAAACTAAGCTAAAAATCAATAAATTTGCCTCCATCCACCCACAAAAATTCCTCCACCACCATCCATTCGCGTCCCATGGACCCCATCCTCCCTCACATCCCAATACTCGCTGTCCTTACTCGCGTCCCATGAATCGTACGACACGAAAGAGAGACGCCTATCTTCGACCGCGAGGTTGCACCAGAAAAGTGTCCCTGCCGTCGCCCCAAACTTCCAGCTGATCTCCTCGCCGAGGGGGATGGCACGAGCCCCGAGATCGTCGTCTTTCGAGTGGCAATGCGCTATCAGTATCTTGCTGCTCAGCTTGTTGGACACGTGAATCCTCTCCTCCTGGACCGCCGGCCGTGCCATCATGATGATTAGTACCATGGTGGCCAGAAGTACTACCGACGCCGCCGGCTGATTGATGATCATGGTGATGTATTTAGTTAGTAGTTTAGAGTAGGAGAGTCTAGGGTTTTCTTATAATGATGAATTAGTAAGATGAGAGTCCTAGCGGAGGTGGGATCGATAATCCGGTCCGGCCAGCATTTGCTCTGGCCGCGGGAGACGTACGTCTCTTGTGCCTTGGGATTTGGCCCTTTTTGCGTGTAAGTTAATTGTCATTTTGGCTCATCGCGATAGCCGAACGGAAAGGGATTAATGATAAAAGATTCGTTGTTAACGACATTTATGGTAATGAATTGACTCCTAATACGGAAAGGGATTTGTATCATGTTGATATGAAAGTGTAACATGGTGGCATGATATATATTATAGTGTAGATTGTAGAATAGTTGAATGCATAATATAATGTATATACTATTATATACTGAATGTAGATTGTAGAATAGATGAATGCATAATAGAATGTATATACTATTATATAGAATGTATATACACTGACTGTCATTTACCACCGCCTACCACCAGTCACCACACTATACCGGAGTGGCGGTATATTTGATCCTGAAATTTTGCCCTCAGAAAATTTTAGATTTAATAAATCACGATGAGCTCGTTTCTTATGGACAAAATTTTCAAATTTTAAGCGAAAAAACAAGTTGATATAAAGCGGTACCATGGTGTTACTGAATAGTATGGGTGGTAAAAAAAAACATTTTCTCAAAATATATTAAAACTAGATAACATTTTGTAGATCATAATGATCCACATTGTCAAATTTGTTTCGCGCACAATTTTTTCGTCAGATTAAATGTCAGTTTAGCAATTAATGCGACAAAAAAAAACAATTATATTTTGATAAACCCAGTACTTTTCACATCATACATTTTAATATTTAGTCATATTAAATGTTTGATCAACAATAACAGATTAATATTATGACAAAAAATATTTTTTGTAACAAAAATGTAACGGTATATAATGTGGAAATGTCATTATCACGGATATTTCACCATTTATAGTTTTCATCTTAATTCCCGCCAACAATACAAATGTTGATATCATATTAGTTTTGTGGGAATATATATTTGAGGTAAAATGGGCCCAAAATGGTGCGAAACGGGGCAGAACGGGTCGAAAGTAGATACCATATCCCGACCCACACTATTACAAGTCGGGTAATACCTATCCCATTACGGGTCAGGTCCGACAATACCCGTGGGACAGATTCCAATTGCCATCACTATATCCAACCGTTCAAGCCATGATGGGTAACCATTAGAATTTAGTCGGGCCTAATTAATGGAGCTGCGATTAACTGAACCAAGATCAAGATTCTTAGCAAGGGCCAAAGGTCCATGAAACTGTTTTGTGAAACAAAAGCAAAAAAGAGAAACTCCAGAACGGTCCAAAATGGTGAATGTAGCTGGCTCGTGTCAAACACAATTCTAAAAGAAGGATAATCACACGAATACCGAGATTTATGTGGTATCCTCAACGTGTATCGTTGATACTAATTCATGGAGAGGAACAACCTCTCAGAGTCAATTGTATTCACCGAAAATACTTAGGTTACAACGTGACTAGCATCACCTTTTTCTTTTTTTGATAATGGTAAAAATGATATTAGCAAAGAAAGAAAAATGTAGCATACAGAAGCACGAAAGGTGCAAGGTACCCAAGGGCAAACAGAGAACAGAACAAAAAGAAAAAGAGCAGGCCGTCCCAAACCCTATCTCCAGACAAATCCGAAAATATAACCCTTATAATCCAGATTAATGACAAATTACAATTAACTCATTAATACTTCTAACAGCTCGGTCCAAAGCCCATCTAAAAACAGTCAACATGGCGCCTATGATTGGTCGTATTCTCATTTGATCACTAGATTAAGGGTTCGATGTCCTGTTGTGGAAGTTGAATGTTTATCAATTGTGATGATAACACACACTTAATGAACTAGCTAGTAGATGCTTATGGTTATGACAACTAGCTTATAACCCGGCCCTTTGGCCGGAATGCTCATATTTGATTATTTGTATTTTTATGTTACTTTTACGTCTATTAACCCGTTTAATTTTATTGATAATTATTCGATCGAGATGATACATAAAGAAATCATATATAGGTCGAACATTCGGAGAAATATCATAATCATTTAAGAATATAAAATATAAAAATGTATCATTGAGCCCATTTCATAATGCTAATTAAGTCCCTGTTAAAATGCTATTGGTTAGTTTTCTTTGACAATCAAGAAATATAAAGTATAAAAGCTCACTGAAATTCTCACACAACCCATAGATAGTTTGAAACTAAACCTTCAACCTCACAATCCTATATAAAGGGTTCAATGCTCTCCTTTTAGAAACAATATGTAACTAATCAAAAAGAAATAGAGAGTTGTTGATTCAAGTCATCTATATACTAAAAACTCAGCTAAGAGGGGACCATCACAACTTGAAAGCAAACGAAAAAATCAGGGTTATCTCCAATATACGAATAGACTCGATCAAAGCAATAAGGCACAAAATTAGAAACTCCTTATCTATTAGTTCCAGTAGGTTGAATAAAGAATTCAAACAATCAATCAATGATTCCTCGTTTTAAGATAGAAATAGGTTATGACAGTTGCAAAAACCATAAACCTAAAGATCCAATAGCCACCACTCTCCGTTGTACAACCAAATTTCTATCTCAAGAGGCATATATTCAACCAAAAATTCAATTTCTAATCTTTCTTCTACAACTTCAGTTATTGATGAACTCCATTCTATTCGCCATGAATTGATATCGAAGTTGAAATCTTCTACTCGCCCAGCTTAAAATCCCCAACAATAAAACCGTAGTGCCAAGAGATACCTGAAGATTGATTTTCAATAAGAGTCTTGTACTGGGAAGTGAAAGGCGCAAACTATTGCACGATTCATGAAATTTCGGAGGAAGTTAGAAAGAGAAAAGAACAAAGATAAAAAAACACAAAATTTAAATTTAAATTGAAAAATGCGAGGATACAACAGTAGTTACATAATTAGTTTCTTCAATGTTGGCCAATTACCCATTTACCTTTAGCAAAAACTAAGGAGAGAGCGGGAATTTAAAATTGAGAAAATTACATGAACTCTACTATGAAAATAGAAGTATCAAGCTCGATAAAAATACATACGGTAGACTTAGTGAGCTTGCTAATTATGATCAAAAAGTCCTCTGATTTTCAGAGATTAACTTTGTCTATTTTTTTGTATAAAAAAGATGCAATAAATTTGTTTAGTGTAACTGGTTGTGCTTGTTATCTTTGTTTGAAGAGACCCGAGTTCAAATCTTGATATTGCTATTTTTTATATGATTTAAATAATAAATGTGTAAAGACAAAAATGACCTTCCTACTTTCACTCTCGTTGCAGGAAATTTGAAATGAAGAAAAATACACAAAACTCTACCATATATTAATGGAGGATAACCCAAATGATAGGAAAAGAGAGTATAAAATAATTAATCACTGTTGATCTTTATCAATATTGTAATTGAGTTGTGCGAAAACTTGACAGTAAGTTAAGTAGAGTTATTACAATTCAGCAATTAGATACATTTTCTCTATATATGAATTTGAAAAATACATTGTTTGGAGTTTGAATAATTTTGGTGAAAAATGAAGCAAAAAAAAAAAAAAAAGGGAAAGATTGACAATCTCAGTTTTTGGCGTATCCATAATGAATGATTCTGGCGGTCCCATCTTCGGCTCCAATACAAATTTTTTTAATAATAACCTAATCAATTTATTATGAGGCTTGAACCTCCTTATCCAAAACACTCAAAAGGATAATTGGGGGCCTGGAGTCCCAGACTTCTTCTGTTTCCCAGTTACACCGAACATGTGCCATAATGTGGGCCGATTCATTCCCTCCCCGTTTCACAAACTCCCATTTGATGGGCCCCAACCTCTGAGCTTCAGCCTGCATCTCACTAATTAGGTGGCCCGATTCCAATCTTGAGTGGCTCTTCTGCTGGAGAGCACTTGCAACCTGCTAACAGTCCATTTCCACCACCGCCTGGCGACCCCCACTCCTTTCCAGCTGCTTTAGGTCAAATTCCACCGCCTTAATCTCGGCGATTTCCGGTGGCCAGCATCTCCTCTCCCTTCGTACTGCTGCTCGCTGAAAAGCTCCATTTTCATCGCGCATAACCATCCCCAGTCCTGTCCCCTCCCCCTTCAACACCGCGGCATCTACATTCACCTTCACCCAACCCCTCGGCGGTCGCATCCAGGTAATCACCTCCGCCTCTCTCTCTCTATCTTTTCCTGTCTGTGATAGGAGCTGAACTCCTCCAAGTAGCTTAGGGCCTTCCCAATCACTTCCCATTCCTCTGCTTTCTTCCGGTTGAACATCTGATTATTAAAGCAAGAATGCTGAAATGGCCCGAGCAGCATTGACGAGGTATGAAGAGGGAACCTCGAAGATGCGGGATGAGCTGAACTATTGGAGGGATAAAGCAAAGGACAGGAGACAGATGATGAAGAATATGGTATCGCAAAGCCTATTCCCTATGCTCATTCCCCATCATCCATAGGATTGTTGCGAATTGTTCCATCAGCTCGTCATCTACTCGTTCCATAACCTCACAGATCCAACTTTTCGGCGACACCCCTGGCTCTAATTCAAATAGTGGTCTGAACAATGTTTGCCTCCACACCCTTATAGCCCACTGACATTCACAAAAAATGTGATTTTGGGTTTCTTCAGTATGGCAGAAGGGGCATTATGTCGCTGCTTCTTTCTTCCGGGCCTCGATGTTTTTCCTAGTCGGTAGGATATTGTGGATTAACCGCCATAGAAAGATGTTTACTTTGGCAGGTATAGTAAGTTGCCACATCCTTTTCCAGTTCATAGGATCATACACCTCCACTTCTGACTCCAACTCCTCCTCCCAATCTTCTACCTCCTGGACCTCCGGCTCTAGGATAGATTCGCTTTTCTGTAACGCCAACTTGTAAGTTGTCTTCACTGAATACACCCCTGATTTCTCATGGCTCCAGACTCGAGCATCTTCCGCCGGTTGTCTCGGTATAGGGATCCCTGAGATTCTCTCTCGATCAATAGGACTGAAGTAATGCTGCAACAAGTTCTGCCTCCAAGTTCTGTCTTCATGATCAATAAGGTCAGCCACCAATCGAACCTCATCAGTGTCTTCTTCAGGTGTGACAACCTTAAAGTCACTCTCCTCTGTCCCTGGGATCCATCTTTCCCCCCACACCTTAATAGTTAATACTAGTGTCATTTCCTACCCTCCAACACATACCACTTTTAACCAGCTCCTGAGCAGCCAATATGCTTCTCCATGTATAGCTCGGGTTGGCCCCTAACTTAGCTTGTAGGATATCCATATTTGGATAGTACTTTGCTTTCAACATTCTTGCCACTAGGGATCCTGGATTGGTTTGCAGGTTACAGATTTGTTTCCCTAGGAGCGCGATATTGAAAGCGTGTAGATCCCGAAATCCCATTCCACCCTCTTCTTTAGGCCTGCATACATCCTTCCACGCTTTCCATGGGATTCTGCGTTCTTCTTTCTGTTGCCCCCACCAAAAACTAGAGATTGCTTTCCTCACTTCTTGCAAAACACCATTTGGCACAAGGAACACAGACATCATGTACGTTATCTGGGATTGCACCACCGCCTTGATCAGTACTTCCTTCGCAGCAATGGATAGGGTGAGTCCCTTCCAATGCTTTATCTTTTTGCGCACCTTGTTAACCAAAACCTCAAAGATTGCCCTCTTCTCTCTCCCAATGACCGTTGGTAAACCAAGGTATTTGGCGTAGGTCTCCACCTGCTTCATGTTTAGGATTCTAGCCAAGTCAGCTTTCTTCTCTAAAGCTACATTCGGGCTGAAAATCAGCTCAGACTTCTGCATATTCACCATTTGACCGAATTCTACTTCATAAACTTGTAGGATTTCTTTTAACTGATGACACTCTTGTGGTGTGACTCTCAAGAAAAGATATTATCATCTGCAAACAGCAGATGAGAGATCTTAGGTCCTCGAGATGAGACTTTCATCCCATGCAGTTTTCCTTACTCCACTGCTTTTGAAGTTAAAGCAGACAACCCTTCAACACATAGCAGAAACATGTAGGGGGAGATTGGATCCTGGTGACCATTCACAAGAATAGAATAGGAAACCGTGGTGATGCATTGCATTATGAGTTGCACCCATCTGTCTGCAAATCCCATTTTCCTCATTATTGCCTCTAAGAAGTCCCACTCTACCCTATCGTAGGCTTTTGAGATATCCAGCTTTGCTGCCATTAATCCTTTTTTTGCTTTTCGCTTCTGTTTCATAGCATGAAAACACTCAAAGCCAATTAAGGCATTATCTGTTATGAAGCGCCCTGTTACAAAAGCACTCAGTTGCTCTCCAATGACTTGATCCAGGATCCCTTTAAGTTTGTTAGCCAGGACCTTAGACAAAATCTTATATAGGACCTTGCACAGACTAATCGGTCTAAAATCCACAGGCGTCACCGGGTTCTTGGTCTTTGGTATTAAGGCGATGAGGGTGTGGTTTAGTTGCTGTGGGAACTCACCTTGCTCCAAGTAGCCTCGTAACTCCTCCTTCACTGTCTGCCCTACCACTCCCCAATGCTTCTGGAAAAACCTGGCTGGCATCCCATCTGCACCAGGAGCCTTATTTGGACCCATTTGTTTCAACGCAGCCCATACCTCTTCATCGGTGAAAGGTTTTAGAAGTTCTTGGTTCATCTCCTCTGTAACTCTTGTTTGGACTATAGGTATAATTTCACTCCCAGCTGGCCTGATTCCCGCCTTGAACAATCTATTCATGTAGTCCAGTAAGGAGTTTGTCACCCCCTGCTGTCCCACAAAAACTCGGCCCCTTCATCTTGCAGCTTCTTGATGGTGTTTCGTCTTCTTCTTTCCGATGCTTTGTGGTGAAAGTATCCTGTATTCTGATCTCCCTCCTTGAGCCAGTCAGCTCTAGACCATTGTTTCCATTTTATCTCTTGTTGGAGGATGATCTCATTTAATTCCTGCTCGATAACTTTTCTTTGGAGCAGAACTGCTTTGGTTCTCTTTCTCTTTTTCAAGCCTCGCAATGCCTTTTCTGCCTTCTTTCTTCTTTCCTTTAGCGAGCCAAAAGCTTGGGTCCAAGCTTTCAGCTTTGATTCCACACTCTGTATGCGATCCATCAGAGTACCTCCTCCCGCTTCCATCCATCCTTCCTCTATTATTTTGCCACAATCTTCATGCCTCTCCCAGTAGGTTTCATACCTGAAACTCCACCCCCAGGTAATCTCTTCATCTTCAAGATCAAGCTTTATCTGAATTGGTATGTGATCAGAACCACAGCGCTCTAGGTGATATACCCGCATGTTTGGATATAGATTCCTCCACGCTTCATTACCCACTGCTCTATCTAACCTTTCCTCCGTGTAGTGCTCATCACTCTTATTATTTTCCCATGTAAAAGTGCGGCCATAATAGCCACAATCTTCAAGTTTACATCTATCTAGGAAGTCTCTAAACATGTCCATCTCTCGTTCATCGGGACTATGTTTACCGTTCTTCTCCAGATGATCTATCATTAGGTTGAAATCCCCTGCTACCAACCAAGGTAGATCAACCTATCTATGAAGCTTCTTTAATAACTCACACGTTTTATACTTATTCTGGGTTGTGGCCACCCATAAATGCCTGTGAATCTCCAAGCTTGTGTGCAACTAGGCATTTTAATCTGCACATCAATGAAGTGCATGTCACAATCCTTAACCTCCATCTGTACTTCCTCTTTCCACATCAATAGAATCCCTCCTGCCCTATTCTCCGCTGCTGCCACCCCTTGTCCAGAATGATACCCAAACTCTCTGATTTTCTTTTTCCATTCTTCCTCATATTGTCGTGTCTCCATAAGGAAAACGACATCAGGATTTGTTTGACGCATAAGTGTCTTTACTTTTTCAACTGCCGGGGTGTTCCCAAATCCCCGAAAGTTGTAGCTCGGCAGACTCATTGAGCTCGGCGGCCCTGCTCATCGACAGGGACCGCCTCTTCGCCAACCATATGTGTACTATGTCCAGCCTTCTCCTTTTCTATATTTCCACAAAATTCAGTGTCCTAGCTCGCTTTGACATCAGCTGTGCCTCCTTAGCTAAGCTTATAGGTTCACCATTCTCTTCCACGTGTCGCTTCTGGGGAGTTAATTGTGATGCTCCTCCCTCTCGTGGTTTCCCTTTTTCCTATCTCTTCCAGCCTTTCCCACGCATTTTCCTTTGATAAGTTTCCACATTTTCTTCCATGATAAATCTTTGTACTGCTCCCAAGCTCCTTCCTTGGTCCACCTGACCCGACTGGAATTTTTGCTTTGTTTCAGCTATTTTCTCCTTACTCTGCTTCCCAGTGCCCCATTAAGTAGATATCTTCTTAATGGTGTTCATCTCAGGAGCCTGACCTGTGGCTAGCAAGGTATGTGACCTATCTGCTTGTTCTGTATTCACACCTTCCCGCTCCACCGCCTGTGTTTTTGGTTCAACATCCATGTTTACTATCCCTTCCTCACATGATTTTTCTATTTCTGTGTTTGATCCTGTGCTCTCAATCTCAAACTTTTGCCTCAGCTGCCTCCATATCGCCCCATCCGCTTTTAGTGCCCCCTGGTGATAGCCAGTTTTGTGGGGCTGGAGATGCTGCTCTTAGATCAAAACCATAGGGGTCAGCTGCCAGCTGTGTCACATATAATCTTCCCACATCTTCTCAGCACTATCATCAAAGTAGACTAGCTCCCCAAAGCGTTTTGCAATTTTTCCGCCATTGATTGAGTTCTCAATTTCGCTGGGAAACCTCTTATTTGTGTCCACATGTCTATCTCACGCAGGTCAGCCACTGTAGGCTTCTGAATCATCCAGCTCGCTTTGAAAACTACGATGCAGTACTCATAATGCCACGACCCACCATAACAGACCTTGTTCCGGTCATCAAAGTCCAGGAACTGAAAAGCGAAGAGATTGTTATGCAGATTTGTGATCTGGTAAGTTTTCTTTAAGCCCCAGGCTTTTGAAAGGGCTATCTTCATCGACTTAATATTGGGTTGTTTGTCTGACACCAGGAGGCCAATAAGCCCTAGATGTCTCACCGCCTCCATCCGCACCACATCGACATCGCCATCTTCAACCTCAAGAGGTTCCTCCACTTCCTCCTCCAGCGTAATATTGTGTAGCTGGTCCTCGATTGCCCCTGTTGGGTTGAGGTTATCCTTTGTGGAATCCTCTGCTAGTGGTACCTCATCACTGTCCAGAGATGCCGCCATTCCGGTTCTTGTAGCTACTTGCACCAACCAACGAGACTT